CACGTTCCATAGAGTGAGCGCTAAAAAATGGCCCTGCTCCTCATATTTGCCAGCCTTACCACCAAAGGCTAGGATTCCAGAGCAGAGTCTTGTATGATGAGCTGATCCTATAGCGGGAAACAGGAATTCACAGGTTCCTAAGATAAGCTGAACCAAAACCTGCCAGGGTCAAGGGAGCACCTCCCTTTGTTTTGTTTTGTTTTTGTTTTGTTTTGTTTTTATAATAATATTTTATTAAAGTTTTCCAGAAAATTAACATCAACAAAAAACAACAGAAATCACAAAAAAACAAACAACAAACATCAAAAATCCAAACAGAACAACAGAAAAAAGAAAAATACAAAGAAAAAAAATTTAGCATAAAAGAAAACACTCTTTCATATTATAACTTTCAAAACCTTATTCCCTTTGCTTCCACCCGCCTTCCCTTCTTGTATTCTACTTTAAAGATTTAGTTCAGCAAGATCGTTCATTATTCGTTTTAAACCTTTGTCCCTCCCTTTATAATCTTATTTATCTTAATCGCTAGAACCCCTTCATTTCATTTTCAAAGCCTTCAACATTCATAAATTTTACAATATTTTTGTAGATAAACTTTAAACTTCTTCCAGTCCTCTTCCATCTGCTCCTCTCCTTGATCTCGGATTCTGCCAGTCATTTCTGCCAGTTCCATATAGTCTATTACTTGCATCTGCCATTCTTCCAGGGTGGGTAGATCTTGCGTCTTCCAATGCTTTGCAATAAGTATTCTTGCTGCTGCTGTAGCATACATGAAAAAAGTTCTATCCTTCTTTGGCACCAATTGGCCGACTATGCCCAGGAGGAAGGCCTCTGGTTTCTTCAGAAAAGTATACTTAAATACCTTTTTCAGTTCATTATAAATCATTTCCCAGAACGCCTTAATCCTTGGGAAGGGAGCACCTCCCTTTGGCGTCTTTATAATATTTTGACTAAACTGTACCGGTTATGGCCTTTTGCTCTAATCAGTAAAAATCTGACTGACCAATTATCTCTCACCTCTCTTCACAAAATCAGGGCAGCGCCTTATGGCCAAAACGCATGCATAAAAACACAATACATAATACAGTAAATTGTGCCACATGGTTGCCAACAATCTTTCCACTTGTTCGAACAGATCTGTCGTGAATATTACCCACCCACTTTGTGCAACTACGACATCGCTCATATGATGGCATGTCATGCAAAAGGGAGGGCGGTGGGCCAAAAATACATGCAGTTCCAAAAGGCTGCCAGACCACACTCCGTTGTAAATGCAGGATTTGCTCCAGTAACTGAAGAATAATGGCTTTGTGGGTTAGAAGTTGCTTACCCCCTCCCCACAGTCAATCATTTAAATTTAGACATAGTTTCCTAATGGTGTCATTGTGCAGCTTATGAAGGATGCGGGGATCTTTCCCATCAAGGACTTCTTGAAGAGCTTGGTCATCTCTCTTTGTTCTGTTATCAGGGTAGACGTTCTGGCCTTGCAAACTATGAAATCTGATTTAAACATTAGAGGCTGAAAGAACATGGCTTCCTGTGGTTTGTTTCAGATGCCCTTCGAAGGAGATGGAGCTGCAGCTTAATGGAACAACTCATCTCAAACCTTGCTGGTTTGTTGTAAAGAACTGAAAGGATGTGTTCGCACCAGCTGCCTCTCCCACTTGCCCTTGCTTCTGTATCATCCCAAATTCTCCTTCCCCTCAGTCTTCCCAGCCCTCCCTGTCATGCCAAAGGTCCCCTGCTCAGGCCTGGCATCTCCTGTTAAATCATCTCAGGGAGCAGGCTGTGATAAACCTGCCTGCTGTTAGGCAGAGGAGACAAGGAAGGGCTGGAGAACCATAACAGCTTGACTCTGGGCTTAGCCACACTTAAATTTCAGGCACGGTCTGCACTTTAGAGCTCTAGGTCTGAGCACTTCGCCGCCAGAACTTTACCCCTCGAAAACCTGCTCTTTAAAGCTCAATCGGAGCAAACTGCAATCCATGGAAATCCCAAATTGATGTTTGCTCTGATTGAGCACTAAAGAGCAGTTTTTTACGTAGAATGCTCCAGGCCAAAAAATAAATAAATTCAGCGCTCAGACACAGAGTTTTTAAGCACAGACCTGTGCCTGGAAAGAACTGGGGGAAAGGTAAGTCTGGATAAGCCCACTGTAGAAGGCAGCTTCTGCTCTATTCTGCTTTGGTCAAACCACACCTGGAGTACTGTGTTCAGTTCTGGGTACCACACTTTAAGAAGGATGTTGACAAGCTGGAACGTGTGCAGAGGAGGGCAACCAAGATGATCAAGGGTCTGGAAACCGAGCCGTGTGAGGAACGATTGAGGGAGCTGGGTATGTTTAGCCTGGAAGAGAGGAGACTGAGAGGAGAAATGATAGCCATCTTCAAATATCTAAAGGGCTGTCATATGGAGGATGGTACAGGCTTGTTTTATTCTGCTCTGGAGGTCTAGGATCCCAACAATGGCTTCAAGGAGAGTCCAGCTACACATCAGGAAGAACTTTCTGACAGTAAAAACTGCTTTGTCAGTGGAACAGACTCCCTCAGAAGGTGGCAGACTCCTTCCTTAGAGGTTTTTAATCAGAGTTTGGATGTCAGGGATTCGTTAGCTGTGATCTGCCATGTATAATCTAGTTGAGATTCCTGCATTGCAGGCGGTCGGTCAAACTCTCCATTCAATGATTCCTTGTTAAGGCTGAATTCAGCTTAGGTAGCAGGCTGGGAAGGTTGTTGCAGGTCACAGTATGTGTACTAGGCCATCTGGATTAACAGTTGGACACTAAATCAGGCAGCTTCGTTACTCCCAATTTCTTCCTTGCCCTTTTTCCGTTGTCCTTGCAAAGTGTGTGTTCCACCATCAGAGTTGTTGTAGGACTGGTTTTATTGCTGCCTTCTTCCCGGTAAAAGTGGAAGCCTTTCAATGTCTCAGGCAAGCTCCTGTCCTTGCTTGCCCCCAACCTTGCGCCTGTCACTGAGATCAGTTCATTTGTCGGTTCCTCTCAACTTCACTCCGAAGAGCAAACTAAGGGCATGTTCTGATGTTGTATTGCTTAAAATGATTTGTTGCTATTTGGGGGATGTGGGAAAATAAGTTTTTAAAGTACAGCACTGTGTATTATTATTTTTAAAAAGATTCAAGTTTGCTGCTGGGGGGAAACAAAAGAACCCTGAAAATGGCATTTTGTTAAATTTTAGGCTTTTGGGGTTTTTTAAAACTCAGTACATGGCCCTCTTAACAAAAGCAGTGAATCAAAGCCTGTTTCTCTATTGAGTAACATAGGAAGAGCCCTAGTCCAGCATCCTTTTTGCCTCAGTGACCAACCAGGTGTGTTTAGGAAGCCCACAAGCTGAACATAAGTTCAATGAGACAGCATAGGGGAAATATTTCACTTCTGAGGCAAGTATTCTATGTAGGTTAAGGTGTGATAGGATGAAATCACTGTTCTCTCTCCTGACCCCTGTTTAGAGTCATAAGCTACATAAATTCCATGCCTGGAACCTGCCTTGTTATGTTGAACCTTTAGGAAGGTGTGCGACACTCTTAACAACGCTGTAACATGCAGCTCTGTCTCTCTAGTTCCTCTGCTTAGCTGTGTAGGAGCTTCAAGGGGAAAGTGAGAGTCCTGTTAAATAATCATGGGTGTGTATGTGTTGGGTGGAAAGGGACTCATTTAATCCTAAACAATCCCTGACAGATGTTGCTAATCCTATTTATGGATGGGGTTGGCTGTTCAGATATATTTGTCCAGGTGAACTGTGATGGAAAGAGACTTAGGTCAATTGCAAAAAAAATTAGAAATTAGTTAACAGTTATGAAACACAGATTTAACAACTGTGATTAGTTTGTCGCCAGCAATGTTATGCAAATATGTGCCGTCGGTATTCAAGTGGTTGAATAGTACTTGGCTTTTTAATTGGAACCCAAGGGGATAGCTCAGTGAATTTAAACAAAGTCCATAGCAACAGTTCCTTTAGCTTGTAAATGTGATTGTGGTTTTGATAAGGGAGTAAGCTGTTCTTCAATAAGCTTTGAAGGTCCTGCTCATTTGCCAGCCTCCCAGGTGACTTAGGCTAGCAGGTGCTAGAGAGAGGAGGGCCTTCTCAGTAGTGGCTCCTACCTTGTAAGAATTCCCTCCCAAGAGACAGACGTCTGAAAATGTATCTCTTCTCTGGTTTTTAACTCAAAGGTGGTATTCTATATGCTGCTGGTGGTTTTTCATTGTCTTTATCTTAGGTTTGCTGGGCTTAGTTATGTTTTAAATTACATTTTTCTGTAGCTGAGTATTTTGAACTGGTTGCTTTGACATGATATGTGGATGACAGGGCTGTGGCTTTTAAAAAAAACCTTTTTAATGGGGTAGTATATTGTTTGTTGCATGTTGTCCTCGGGAGACTAGACTTGAAAGGCAGTTTTGAAATATCTGAAAATAAGTAAATGGGGTGGGGTTACCTGAGCTCCTGTAAAACTGGGGAGCATGGAGCCCCATCCTGTGTTTGCTGTCAGGTGTTGCAGTTGAAAGTGTGGGGCGTTGCCTTCTTGAAGGCATTCCTGGCTTCATGGAATGTTTGACCCAGGGAAGTATTTATTTAAAGTACTTCCACTCTCCTTTTCACCTGGAAAAGGTTCCCAGGTGGCTCACAATGACCACTAGTAAATCTGTCTGTGTCTTTAGGCTAGCAATCTAAAAGATACAGTGCAAAAGAGATTGGGGGGGCTGGCGTTCATGGGGTGGTCACCCCGCCCAGCTGCACTTCTCAGTCCAGCCTGGGTGCTCCTCTTTGTGACCATAGGAGACGTCTCTACTCCACTTGAATGGGCTGCTCTGAAATAGAAGTGCCTCTCCCCATGCTTGCTCCGGATAACGTGTAGGGTCTGTACAGGAAAGAGCTTGTTGTCACTTGGCCATTAAAAGAAGTGGCTGTCGGTCGATAGGGAAGGATGGAGTTGGGACTATTGAGCTTTCGTCCTCTTACTCTCCCCAAACCTCTTCCCAACAGTGGCACGTTTCGCAGGGAGCCAGGAGGAACCATCGTACTCAATGACCTTACAGCGCAATGTCAGATCGTTTGGGGCAAACAGCAAAGGGGAAGGATGGAAAAAAGTATTCGTCACTCAACTTGTTTGATACATACAAGGGCAAATCCTTAGAAACACAGAAACCCACAGGTAAAATGACCTATCTGTTGGGGGGGGGCAAGTATTTTCTTCTGAGTACTATTCTCAAAGGAGGAGGCAGTTGCCATGATGAACGTGCTTAGTCTCTGATGCCCCCTTGATGGCACTCGCAGCGCCCTGAGCAGCTGCTCCCTCCTTGTCTGAAACTACCAATTTGGGACTTGGCAAGAAAGCTCTCGGTAGTTGCAGCAGTTAATGGGAGGGGTGGGGTTGGTAAGGGAAGCTTTGCTGGGGGGGCGGAGCTTTCAAGAGGGTCCCAAGGACTGTGCCTGACCCCGCCTCCTCCTTCCCCTACAGTTACTCCCCGCCATGGCTTGCAGAGTCTCGGTAAAGTTGCCATTGCCCGGCGCATGCCACCCCCTGCAAACCTGCCAAGCTTAAAAGCGGAGAACAAAGGCAATGACCCCAACGTCTCACTAGTGCCGAAAGACGGGACAGGATGGGCAAGCAAGCAGGAACAGCCAGACCCAAAGAGGTAAGAGGGGCGCAGACACTGCTTTTCCGGGTGGTGGGGAGGAGGAAGGCACGTTCTCCACCAACCTTTCCTTCAACGGGAGTCTTCCTTCCTTCCGTCTCCAGTACCGATGCCTCGACAGCTCAGCCGCCGGAATCGCAGTCGCCGCCGGCTTCACAGACGTCTGCCTCAAACCCACCGAAACGACCCCCAACAGCCCCCGAGGTAAATCCAGGGCAAGAACTGGGTTGCTGAAGGCTCCCAATCAGAAGCTCTCCTCTTCTGGACAGTTGTGTGTATCAGCTTCCAGCCTAACAGATCCTAACGTTTTTTTCTGGAAAGAGCCACGGTTTCCTAGCTCCAGTCCCTTCTCCCCTCTGTTTGGCCCCAGCAGAAGCACCAGTTCTCTCCCTATTTAATCGCCATTCAGTCCATGCATGGGTGCAGTCCTTCTTCTACCAGGAGGCAGGAGCTTATCAGAAGAAGGACTCTTTCAGGACCAGCTAAGAATCACCTCCCACCTTTCCTCTTAGAGACAGCTTTTCTCCTGCTTCCAGAGCAAACAGTTGCAGGTTCTGGCATGGATGTGCTATAGTTCCTAACTGACGGTCCACATTTTGCATAGTTTTTGGTTTTTTCCCTGGCATCAAAGCTTTTGCAGAAAGTTGGGCTTTATTGTCACTCACTCTGTGACTGTTTGGGACATTGTGTTAAACTATGGCTTAGCATTACATGCCCAAGCCACTGGCTCATGTGCTTCCTTCTCCTCCTCCAGCACAGCTCTCATGAGATTCTGGAAGCCTGCAGTTGAGTGTTCAAGCTTAGTGAGAAGAAGCGTTAGTCACAGTTTTGGGTGCAGATCTAACATTACCCGTGCCTTATGAAAACAAGCTAGAATCATGAGACTGTTTGAAGTTGCCTTGTTTCCCTAAAACATTGCTAAGACTAATCACAGTTTGTATGGGTTTGGGCATAGTGGGTAACTGTGTATAACAAAAAATTCTAGCCTCAGTTGTGGGCACAATAGAAGAGGAGAAGGTTGCTCATGAGTCCAAGGCCTGCTCATTAATCCAGGGGTTGGGAAACTCTGCTTCTTTCCCGGGTTGCTGTCTGCCTTGTCCTCCTTTCTCTTGGGGAGAGTGAGACCAGGCACATTTGCAAGTCAGCTTAGAGGCCCAGCCACTGAGTGTGGCAGCTGAGACATGGCTTGGCCTCGGGGCTTGAGCGTGCCTGCCAGACTCTTTTCTCCTTGTAGTGTGGCTGCATCACTGCAGGCCAGATGAAACCAGACTTCAGTTGAGTCAGAGCAGACAGGACTGATCCAGCCCCAGCCCTGCTTTAAACCATAGTCTAGCGCTATATCAAAACAAAACCCATGTTAACAACTGCACAGCAAGGGGCAGGGCTGCCCCATAACTCCCTAGCCAACCTTGCTACTTACTAGAACAGGAGAAGTCAGTGTGCCCCCAGATGCTGTTTGGCTCCAGCTCTCATCAGCCCTAACCATCACTGTAACTAGTTCAGAATGATAGACATTCTGGAGGGCACTGTGTTGGCTGCCCCTATTCTAAAGGCATTTGAGCCATGCTTGGGTTGATTTGTGGGACGCGGGTGGCGCTGTGGGTTAAAACCACAGAGCCTAGGGCTTGCCGATCAGAAGGTCGGTGGTTCGAATCCCCACAACGGGGTGAGCTCCCGTTGCTCGGTCCCTGCTCCTGCCAACCTAGCAGTTCGAAAGCATGTCAAAGTGCAAGTAGATAAATAGGTACCACTCCGGCGGAAAGGCAAACGGCGTTTCCGTGCACTGCTCTGGTTTGCCAGAAGCGGCTTAGTCATGCTGGCCCCATGACCCGGAAGCTGTACGCCGGCTCCCTTGGCCAATAAAGCGAGATGAGCACCGCAACCCCAGAGTCAGCCACGACTGGACCTAATGGTCAGGGGTCCCTTTACCTTTGCCTGGGTTGATTTAACCGTGAGATTTGTGGGTTTTTTCTTAATGAATCGACGTGAACCTTTAGATTGTGTCAGTTTTGGAGATCGCTTGACAAAAGGAAGCTGGCAAGAAGGTCAGTCGGTTTTGACCTCCCACCCCTCCTCTTGTTCCAGAATCCCCCTACAGTAGCAAGCGGGGCAAAGTCCTGGGCGCAGGCCAGCGTTACCCATGGAGCGCAAGGAGATGGTAAGCTGTCTTCCAACTAATTTTGTGTGAAGCTAGGACCTCAGACTTTTGGAGAGAGGAGAATCAGTATGTTTCAGCTCCCACCACCATTTATTTTATTATTAAAAAAATTATATTGGCATCTGTATTTTCCGCTGCCCCTCCTAAAACATAGCAACATCAAACTTCTTGGAAAGACCAGCAGAGAAAGCCGCACGTGTATTTCCCTGGAGAAGGGTATTCCAGAGATATGGGGCCACCAACAAAAAGGCCCAACCCCTGGTGCACTCTGGTGTGCTGCCATCGCTCCAGATGTGTTAGAGACCCTTGTAAAGGACCCGCCTGGGCTTTCTTTCTTTGATGTCAAGGTGGAAAGGGATCAAGCCTACTGTCGCGATTCTCTCGCGAGGAATTTCCGACCCTGCAGGCGGCTGGCGACCAGGACAAAGCTGGCAAAGAAAAGGACACTACCGATGCGTCGTATGGGCCCGGACCAAACCTCCGCCCCCAGAGTGAGTGGTTTTGCTCAAGCGTCCGTTGCTTCTGGGCCCCAGAGCAAGCTGGGAGTGGGGGGAGCATTGTCATTATCAACCATTGCCAGAAGATTTTCTCCTTCACATGGGGACATCTAATGAAGCTAATAAAAATAATATTTATTTATACCCCGCCCTCCCCGACCAGAGCCAGGCTCAGGGCAGCTAACCACAGTAAAGTTACAGTAAAAACATAATAGGGGGGGAAACCCAATTTAAAATACGTACAGGTTAAAATGCAATTTAAAATGCAGCCTCATCAAAACCATAAGGGGAGACTGAGTCCAAACCAAAGGCCAGGCGGAACAGCTCTGTCCTGCAGGCCCTGCGGAAAGATGTCAAGTCCCGCAGGGCCCTGGTCTCTTGTGACAGAGCGTTCCACCAAGTCGGGGCCAGTACTGAAAAGGCCCTGGCCCTAGTTGAGACCATTCTAACTACCTTGTGAACTGGGACCTCCAAAATGTTGTCATTTGTGGACCTTAAGGTCCTCCGCGGGGCATACCAGGAGAAGCAGTCCTGGAGGGGGAGGACAGACAAAACAAAGCCCCTCTTCACGTATCACATAATTAAAAATGGGTGGGGGGCAAGGCTACTAGCCACAATGGCCACATGGAGGTAGACTCCTCTGTTGGAGGCAGTCTGCCTCTGAATGCCAGTTGCTTGCAGGGGGGGGGGGCACCCAGATTCTGCTTTCAGGATTTCCATGGGCGTTATATTATCTGGTTGGCCCCTGTAAGAGCAGGATGTTGGCTACTGGCCTGACCCAGCAAGACACATCTTACGTTCTTAACTTCTCTTCTGCCCAATCTCTTGCAGACGCTACCAGTTGGCGGGACGGAGGTGGGCGGGGCACTGACGGGGAGCTGGTGCCCGAGGACGGACGGGCTGGAGTTGGCCTGCAGCCCAACATCCCGCCTCAGTTCCCTCCCTACCGGGGGATGATGCCGCCATTTGTAAGTATATTGCAGAAGAGGAGGTGCCGAGTGACTTGGGCCACCTGCTTCCTTGTTCGAGGGCAGGGGAAATGGAAGAGAGAGTGGGAACCCTCCAGTAACCAATTTCTCCCCTACCCCATCTCAGATGTATCCCCCGTACCTCCCGTTCCCGCCTCCATATGGGCCGCAGGGACCTTACCGCTACCCCACACCAGAGGCGCAGAGGTAAGGGGTTTTTAAAAATTAAAAATGTGATAATGGCAAGTGATCTTTGTGGCAGAAGGGGAAAGTATGTAGAGGAGCAGGAACAGGAGCAAGTGAGGGGAAGTGCAGGAGATTGCGGTCAACTGCGTAACTGGAGCCGGATGTTTTGGGTTCCTTGTACAGTCGTACCTTGGAAGTCAAACAGAATCCGTTCCGGAAGTCCGTTCGACTTCCAAAACATTCGGAAGCCCCATTAGATGTTCAGCTTCCAAAAATAGTTCGCAGACCGGAACACTCACTTCCAGATTTGCAGCATTTGGGAGCCAAAGCATTTGAGAACTAAGCTAGTAATTGAACATGCGGACAACAAAGGGAAGGTGTGTGGTTGGAGTCTCTTTGGGCCGAGCAGATCAATCAGAAACTGGAGGGAGCAGGAAGTGGCATCTGTGAAATAGTGGAGGATATAGAGGGGCACCCCATTCCCTTCTCTGCTCCCACATGGAAGAGAATTCCTCTATAGGCTTCCTGTTGCACCATCAGAAGCAGACACTGAATCAGTGGAATGCAAATGTCTCCTGATTTCTCTGCAGCATGGGATACAAGTGTGGCCTAGAGGCCAGTGCACCACAAAACCCTAATCTTCATGCCTGCCCTCTGACTCCATGTAGGAAAAGACTGGCTGTTACACAAGGGAAGGCAGATACTTCTTCATAGTACTTTGGTCCCCTTAGTGCAGGGGCAGGGAATCTGTAGCTCTCCAGCATTTCCTGGCATGGCTGGTGTTGAGGAATGGTGGGAGTTTTGGTCCTTCAGCGCCTGGAGTGCTACACTGCACTGCTCTGTTGGGGTCAGGGGAACATTATTATTTAGATCAGCCGCAAGGAAAATCAGAGGTGTGACGTTTCTGTTGATCTCCATCTCCAGGTTCCAGCGGCTTCCAGGACCCCGCCCTTCGCAGCCTGCAGCACGCGTGTCAGAGCCTGTGAGCCGGCCCCCCGTCCTCAAGCAGGATGACCTGAAAGAATTTGATGAGCTGGACCAGGAGAATGATGAAGGCTGGGCAGGTAATGGAAGAGCCTAACCACAGAGCTACCCACCGGAGCCGGGACTCTCGAAAGCGTTTCTTCTTATTGGATCTGTCAATCGAAAGACATCCTATTTGTCTCCCACAGGAGCCCACGAAGAAGTGGACTACACTGAGAAGCTGAAATTCAGCGATGAGGAGGACGGGAAAGAGTCTGATGAAGAAACCACTGAGAACCGGTAAGATTAGGCGGTGGTATGGCCAATAACCGAGTCTGTCCCGCACAGCTTGGTTTTGTGAGACGGGTGACCCCCCCCCAGGTGCCTGTTGCTGAGCTGCAGCCCTGAGCCACATGGGGTCACCTTACAGAAAAGTCATTCTTGCCTGGCTGCAGCTACATCACAAAAATACCTGCGCATGCGCCCTCCTTGCTCCCTGCCCCTCCGCCAGCTCTGAGCAGAGGGTGCAGGATCTAAGTGGACCCATTTGACACCTCTCTCTTCACCTCTATCTCCAAGCAATGATGAGGCTTCCGGCCCGGAAAGCCAGTCGTCGGGCACAGACACCAAGAAGGCTGGAACTCCAAAAGAGGATCAACCCCTCGTCAAAGCAGCCTGGGCCGAAAACGCACGTCCCCCAGAAGGTGGCAAAGAACCGCCGCCACCTGCTGCTGCAGTCCGGGCACCGCCACCTCCGCCGCCACCACCCCCCAACCGGGGCAACTGGGGGCAACCCAATGACTTCCCGGTGAGTCTATGCAGGCTGCAAATCCTGCTTGAGAGCGCCTGCGGTTGGCAGCTGCTATTCAGGCGGGCCAAAGTGTGGAGAACCCAGGCTCAGGTCTCTTCATTCAAGGGGCGTACATTAGATTGCATTGGGTTTCCAGGTAAACCAGTAAAACAAATGTCAGTGTGGTGTAGTGGTTAAGAACGGTAGACTCATAATCTGGTGAACCGGGTTCACGTCTCCGCTCCTCCACATGCAGCTGCTGGGTGACCTTGGGCCAGTCACACTTCCTTGAAGTCTCTCAGCCCCACTCACCTCACAGAGTGTTTGTTGTGGGGGAGGAAGGGAAAGGAGAATGTCAGCCGCTTTGAGACTCCTTAGGGTAGTGATAAAGCGGGATATCAAATCCAAACTCTTACACTCCTCCTCTTGTAAAAATAGAAAACTTCCTTAGCCAGAACAATGCACGTTGGCATTGTTATTTTGATTTATGCTCTGCTTTTCGGCTAAAATAAAATAGGCATTTGGGTGGCACTTGGCATTAGCCCACTCTATCTCATCTTTAACTAGAACTTCCACGCTGAGTTATTGAAGGGGTGAAGCCGTGAGGGAACAGAGCAGCTTCCATGTGGATGTTTCGATACTTGGATTTGGGCCTTTGGGCTTCTTAGTGAGGGAACACAGGTGTGAGCAGAGACAAAAACTGCTCTCCTCGAGGGCCTTTGGGAGTTGAGTTTCCTGCTCAGGTTTCCTTTCAGCGGAACAGCTCTGAGCGAGGGCTTCTCTTTCTCTCTCTGCCATCCAGGACCGCTCACTGCGGCCGCTCCCCCCAGAAGACGAGGACGAAGCTTGGCGCCAGCGGCGGAAGCAGTCCTCCTCAGAGATCTCTGCCGCAGTGGAGCGGGCCAGACGCCGGCGGGAAGAGGAGGAGCGGCGCATGCAAGAGGAGCGGCGGGCGGCTTGCGCCGAGAAGCTCAAGCGCCTGGATGAGAAGTTTGGAGCTCCCGACAAGCGCTTGAAGCCCGAGCCTCCCAAGGAGCCGCCGCCTCCCGTCATTGTGGCTGCTCCTCCTCCCCCTCCCCCTCCAGCTCCCACCCCTGTGCCCCCCAACCCGCCGGCTGCCCCAGTCACCCCCGAGGAGAAGAGGGAGAAAGAGGAGCCCGTGCTGGCCAGCAAACCTCACAGTGCTGTCGCGAGCAGCAGCGGCAGGAGCAGCTTGGACTCCTCCAGCGCTGGTAAACTTGGCTTTTATTTTCGGTGTTCTTGTAAAGACATATTCTAACGTAGTTAGCAACCAAAGTGAAAAATCATTTGATTGAAAAGTACAATAAAACAACGACAAGAAATGAGAGGGGGAAAGCCCAAAGTATGCAATACAAGGAAAACAGGAAGGCAACTTGGCCTGATCTGCCTGCAGACATGCCACATTGTGTTTCTCATGGCCAAATGATTCTTGGCTGATGGTACAAATCTCCCATTTTATTTATTTATTGAATATCTACGTTGCCCTCCCGCCCCAAAGGAGCCCAGTGCTGTGTGTTGCAGTGGCCATTATACACATGGCAAGTTGTCAGGTGATGTTGCTGTCATTTGAGTCATAGGGACATAGGAAGCTGTGTCGTTGTCTTCATCCTGAGTTCTTACCATTGGGTCCACCTAGTTCAGTACTGTATTGGCAGTGGCTCTCCCAAGATTTCAGCTGGGAGTGAGTCTGGGAGAAGCTAGGTGGCCCAAAGGCCTGACCTGGCGTCAGGCAGCATCTCATGTCCCTAGCAACAAGGTCCGTGCAGCATGCCGTCTTGCCTGCTGATTTGGTGGGTGGTGCATACAGGGCTTTGGGGATCTGTGGCCCCCTCATGCGATGCTCGACTCTGAGCTGCCATCATCCCTGACCATAGGCCAGGCCAGAAATTGAGAGTCCCAGCTTCCCTGTGAAGGGCTGCAGGCTCCCCACCCCGGGCTCCAGAGATCGGCAAGGTTGAACCCAGAGTCCGCCTGCTGCCTCACAAAGCCTGCCTTTCTTTTGTGTGTGTCTTGTGCATGTCTACTACAGCTGAGCCCGCTGTGGCTCCGCCTCCCAAGGAAGTCCCCGAAGTGCGGGAAGAGCCACCCACGTTGCCTGGTCCTGCTCTCCCAGCCGCTCCCGCCCCAGCCAAGGTGGAGCCCAAAGCCGAGACGGTCCTTCAGGCCCGCCAGCCGCCTCCGGCTCAGACCCTCAGCTATTCCAAGTACCAGAAGTCATTGCCTCCACGATTCCAGCGGCAGCAGCAGGTACAGGGGGTGGAGGCAGGCGTCTGGGCTAGGCACTTGCTCCTAACAGGGGAAGGGGTAGTTGGGGTGGGGCCAATATACGGAAGCAACTTGGCTGAGGTTCCGTTGCAGTGATGAGTCTTTAGACTAGAGTCTCTGACACCCCCTGATGTCCTCGCAGCTACCTGAGCAACTCATAACTTCTCTATCCAACAACACACGTGTCGCAGGAAGTGAGGGTCTCTCATTAGTGTGCTGTTGAGGTCACTGAAAGAGCCCTCTCTCTTCTTTGCCCCCCAACCCCCTTTTCAGGAGCAGTTACTGAAGCAGCAGCAGCAATGGCAGCAGCAGCAGCAGCAGCAGCAGCAGCAACAACACAGCCAAGTCCAGTCCCCAATGGCTTCCTCTTCCCAGCAGCAGGCAACAGGGGCTCCTCTGGCTGCCATGGGCCCCTCAGCCAGCGTCCATGCTCAGCCTGGGCCGGCAGGGCAGCAGCAACCCCCAGCCCCGCCTCCAGCACAGCAGGCCCCGCCCAAAGGCATGTACCCCGGCTCCATTGGAAGGCCGCCCCCCATGCCGCAGATGAACTTTGATCCTCGCTGGATGATGATTCCGCCTTACATGGACCCACGTGTGATGCAAGGGCGGCCCCCCATAGACTTCTACCCCCCTGGGGTCCATCCTTCCGGTAAGTAGAGCTGAAGAAAAGAAGTCCAGGCTTGTCCAAGTGCATTTGACCAGGCAGCCTTTTAGAAGACTGTCGGAGCCGGTAGGCCTGACTCGCAACGGGTGTGTCTTCTGTTCACCCCTCAGGTCTCCTGCCCCGTGAGCGATCAGACAGCGGGGGCTCCAGTTCAGAGCAGTTTGAACGCCATCCTTCGATCCTCCGAGAGCGTGGCACTCCGCCGGTTGATCCCAAGCTGGCCTGGGCTGGAGATGTCTTCACCAATGCCCCTTCCGGTGCAGACTCGAGGTCTCAAACGGCATCCCTTCGGCAGCAGGAAGAGGAAGAGAAGGGCTTACGGTGAGCGAACATCTGGAGGGAGTCTGTTGGGTTGGCTGGGAGCAAGATCTCGCAGCGGGGGGAGGCTGAGGTTGTCCCATGTTTGTTTTGAAGGCCTTCCTTTTGTTATTGGAACCACTAGCAAGTCATGGAGTTGGGGGCCTTACAGTTTCTTGACTGCAGTAATGTCAGTGGGATGGGCCCATGGTCTTGTGTCCTATCCCTAGCGGTTGAGGCTCTCCTGCCACTTGTGGCAGTTTGGAGTGACAGCTGACACTGCTTGGGGTCGTCAGAATAGAGGACCTTTCAATCACCCTTGCTTTCCTTCCTTTAGGAGCGAGACCCCTCCGGTTCGCCTGCGTGAGGCCATCACTCCCCAGCCCTACATGGGGAACTACCAGGGTTTCTCCGAAAACGGCAACCCTGCCTCAATGCACCGCTTCCCAGTGGATGAGCCACCGCGAGCGGGTCCCCCTTGGCAGGCCACCATGGCTCTGACGGCACCCGCAGAGGTGAGCAGAAACGGGCGCCCTGAGCCGCCGGTCCAGCTGCCCCGCAAGAGCGAGGAGGAGCCCCAGTTGCTGCACCCCCCAGAAGAGATCAAGACGGTTGAGCCTCCCGTCATTCGACCAGTGGTGGCTAAGAAGCCTCCCTCGGAGCAGCCCAAGGAGGAGCCTCTGGTCAAAGAGGAGGTCCTGCGACGGATGGAGAAGCCCCCGCGGCAACAGCACGAATTCCACAAGCAGCCGCGGCGAGAGTCCAAGACGGAGACGCGCTGGGGGCCCCGTCCCGGCAGCAGCCGGAGGATCGAGGAGGTTTCCGGGGACAAGGCCCCGCGGCGAGCCGGGCCCATCAAGAAGCCGCCGCCTCCCCCTAAGGAGGCAAAAGACGAAAGCGAGGAGATGCGCTCTGCTGGGAAGGCCAAAGAGGGGGCCGAGGCGGCGGGCAGCAAACCCGAGCTCCCTAAAGAGCCTCCGAAAGCAGGCAAGGAGAACAAGGCCAAGCCGGTGGTGAATGGCGGAACTGTGGTGCCACCCAAAGAGCAGCAGCACACTGGCACACTGTCGCCAAGCCGCCGGCGCCGGGAGCCCCCCTACGAGCGTGGCGGCTACGCCGGCCGGGGGCGGGCCAGGGGCCGAGGAGAGTACTTTGCCCGAGGGCGAGGTTTCCGGGGTGCCTATAGCGGGCGCGGGAGAGGGGGGCGCGGGAGAAGCCGGGAGTTCCGCAGCTACCGCGAACCCTTCTACCGGCTGGATGACGGCGTGGGCAAGGCGGCGGGGCCAGGCTCCACCTTCCGCCCGCGCAACGCCAGCGAGACACGCAGCGAAGGCTCGGAGTACGAAGAGATCCCCAAGCGGCGGCGCCAGCGGGGCTCCGAGACGGGCAGCGAGACGCACGAGAGCGCCAGCGACGTGGCCCACTCGGACAAGGAGGTGACCAAGGAGCCGGGCCCCAGCCATCGCAGCCGGGCCCCTCCTGTGACTTCTGCCATGGCCCCCTCCTCCCAGCACCCTGGCTTGCCTCGCTTTGCCGACAAGCTGCCTCCGCGCCTCTCGGACCCTGGCACCCGTGGCGGGCGTGTCTTCACCCCTCGCGGCGTTCCCTCACGCCGGGGCCGAGGTGGTGGCCGGGCGCCCCCTGGGGGGTGGAGCCCTCCTTCCAAGCCCCAGCCCAATAAGAAGCCCGAGAAGCAGCAGGAGGCGGTTCTGGAGCCCTCGGGCAAAGAGAAGGCGCCGTCAGGCCCTCCGGCAATGGCCCCAGAAGAATCCGGTGGTTTCCAGGCCCCCTTAAAGCAGCAGCCACCTCCGCCACCTCTTGGCCCTGGCTCCGACCGTGGCTTTGACCGGCCCCCCCGCCGCCGGCGCCACGGGCGTTCGCAGCAGCAGGACAAGCCGCCCCGGTTCCGGAGGCTGAAGCAGGAGCGCGAGAACGCGGCCCGACTCAACGGCGAGCAGAGGGCCGGCCAACCGTTCTCCCCGGCCCCTGCCGCCCCGCTCCCCGAGGAATCGGCTGCCCGGCGCGTGGCTGGCACAAAATCTCCCGACTTGTCCAACCAGAACTCGGACCAGGCGAATGAGGAGTGGGAGACGGCTTCGGAGAGCAGCGACTTCACGGAGCGCCGGGGCGGCGGGGAGAAGGAACCTGCTCCTGGCGGGCCTCCCCCCACTGCCTTCCTCAAAGGTGGCTGCTCTGGGGCCCCTTCGGTGGGCGGACGGCCCTCCAACAACGAGCTCAGCTTAGCCCAGAGGAAGGAGATGTCCAAACGCAGCTTCTCCAGCCAGAGGCCTGGCATGGACCGGCAGAACCGACGCTCCAACCCCGGCCCAGGAGGAGGAGGCAAGGCTGGCCGCGGAGGGAGTGGTGGCGGGCGTAGCGGAGGGGACAAGAGGAGCTGGCCCTCTCCCAAGAATCGCAGGCAAGTACTCGGAAGAGAAAGCCCGAAAGATGGAGGGGGGCAGGGGATTGGTAGACAAAACTGGAATGGCAGAGAGGTAAAGAGAAAAAAGATTGAAAAGGAAACACGGGTGGCATTTGGCTAGTAATAATATCAATAACGCGGGTTATTGCGGGTTATTAGGGACGCGGGTGGCGCTGTGGGTTAAAGCCTCAGCACCTAGGACTTGCCGATCGAAAGGTTGGCGGTTCGAATCCCCGCGACGGGGTGCGCTCCCGTTGCTCTGTCCCAGCGCCTGCCAACCTAGCAGTTCGAAAGCACCCCCGGGTGCAAGTAGATAAATAGGGACCGCTTACTAGCGGGAAGGTAAACGGCATTCCGTGTGCTGCACTGGCTCGCCAGATGCAGCTTGTCACGCTGGCCACGTGACCCGGAAGTGTCTCCGGACAGCGCTGGCCCCCGGCCTATAGAGTGAGATGGGCGCACAACCCTAGAGTCTGTCAAGACTGGCCCGTACGGGCAGGGGTACCTTTACCTTTACCTTAATATCAATAATAACAATAATAATAATAATTTATTTATATCCTGCCCTCCCCAGCCAAAGCCAGGCTCAGAGTGGCTAACAACAGTAAAAATAGCAGTTTACATAAAATCAGTCAATTGAAATACATTCTAAAATCAATTCATTCTAAAATCAATTCAGAATCAACTTAATGGCAACCATTGGGCTAGAGTTTTGTGAAGAATTACCAAAAGAGGAGGTCAGACTGTGGCTTGGCCAAAGGCCTGGTGGAACAGCTCTGTCTTGCAGGCCCTGCGGAAAGATGTCAAGTCCCGCAGGGCCCTAGTCTCTTGTGACAGAGCGTTTCACCAGATCGGGGCCACGGCCGAAAAAGCCCTGGCTCTGGTTGAGGCCAGCCTAACCTCTCTGTGGCCCAGGATCTCCAAGATGTTTTTATTTGAAGACCATAAGGTCCTCTGTGGGACATACCAGGAGAGGCGGTCTCGTAGGTACGAGGGTCCTAGGCCCTATCAGGCTTTAAAGGTTAAAGCCAGCACCTTAAACCTGATCCTCTACTTCAGTGCAGCTGGTATAGCACCAGGTGAATGTGATCCTGCAGCGAGGACCCCATAAGGAGTCTCACCGCGGCATTCTGCACCCGCTGGAGTTTCTGGGTCAGTCTCAAGGGCATCCCCACATAGAGTGCTATGTGAGGTATTATTTCACCCAACAAAGTCCACCTCTGCAATGTGACTTTCCTCCGCCTAACTTTCCTGTTCCTCCAAACCTCCAGAGCAGATATAGGGATTGGGGAGTCACGACGCGTGAGTTGGCCTCGTTCTGTGCATGCAAAAACTTGTGTATATTCTGTCCCTTGTTTCCCTTCTCCAGAAGTATTCTTTTAAAGCATATTTGTGGAACGTTATGCCCCACTCTCATTTGGCCACAAAAGTTAACAAATCTTCAGCCCCTTAGTGGTAAATAACAGAGGAAGGAATCTAGTTTGACCATGGGAAGTTGGGAACAGACAGAAGACGGGGCAGTCCTACATAAATTCAGTAAGAGAAATGGTCACCATCAAAAACCGGGAATTTTGAAGATGACTTGTTGATGGAGAGGGAGGGAGAAACAGCCAAGGAAATCCCCGGTCCGCTGCCATAATGTTTCCTGCTTCCTCCTCCTCCTCTAGCCGGAACACCGATGACCACTCTCCGGGCCTGAGCCTTCCCCCAGCACCCACCACCAGCACAGTGTATCGTTTGGACCGCGTCATCCACAGCGACCCAGCTGGCATCCAGCAGGCTCTGGCTGAACTGGGCAGCCGCCACACAAAGCCAGCCTCCCCTGGCCCTGCCCAGCCTCCCTTCCTGGGGCCTGGAGGCAGCAACTCCTCTGCCCTCCCACTGCGACGCTTCGAGAGTAGGAACAGTGGCAGCGCAGGTAATGGGCAGAGTCTCTGCTTAGTAACCAGGGGATCCGGATTTCTTGGAAGAGACTAAATTCATTCTTGGCGATCGATTACCATATCTTTCCGTCCATTAGATGCCCCCTATTTTGGGGGACTCCTAATTAAGAAAATGGGGGGAGATGTATCCGTGTATAAGACGCCCCCAAATTTTTGGCATTATTTTTTTTGGGGGGTACCTAGTCTTATACATGGAAAAAGACGGTAATTTGCCCATTGGTCATTATCTTACTTGGCTCAGTTGACAAGCGTGATGGGACACATGACCAGTACATCTGCTGAGTGCGTTAATCAGCTCTTCCATTGTTCCAGGGGGCTGTAGTTATTTCAAGATGCCCGTCCCTCTCCCCAATCCCCCACAAGGGACTTTCTAGGAGCTAACAAGTGCTGCATCGGTTCTCCCAATGCACAATACGGCCTTACATTTCCAAAGCTAAGCAGGGCCCAGTACGGTTTCAGATTGGATGGGGGGCTGGATGTTGAAATTCCTGCATTGCAGTGGGTTAGGGTTCCTTCCAACTCTATGATTCTAAGATCGGCTGCTAATTGGCTTTGGCAGGTCTTGTTGAACTGCATTTCCAAGTGCTTCTGGTCTCGGTGGGGACCACATGCCTGCTCCTTCCCCACTGCAATCCCATTTTGCTGTTTTTTTCCCATCCCCCCAATTCAGACTCTTGCTTCCTGGACAAGAACCAGCTGCTTCTCTCCAGCAGTGCCCCAGTGAAGGAGTCCGGTGCATTGGGTGGCTTTTCTGCAAAGCGCCGGGAAAGGCCCCGGAAGCAAGACCTGCTCCAGCAGGTAAGCGCTTTTCTCTTTATGTAACCGCGTGGCATGAAGCAGAAGGAAGGTTGCAACTGCAGCAGTTCAAATACTCGTGGCCAAGGGATGGAAAGATCAGGAGGCTCCAAAAATAACAGGTTGGCAAATTAAATTAGAGGAATTTGTGGAGATGGCTCAATTGACTAGCAAACTCAGAGGAAACCCAAAGCAAAAATTTGCGGGGAAAATGGGATGGTTATAGAAGATAATAGTTTTGACTCTGTGCTAGCATTCGAGTGACGAAGTAAAAGGAGGTGGATAACAATTAAGGATTTATTATGTTTTCTGAATGTATTGGAAAATTTATATAGAAAGGTTTAATGTTCTGTGTACATTCAGTTATAAGATAAAACATATGCGAAGGGACTTGACAGGAAGTCAAAATATTTTCATTATTATCCTTATTATTATTTTCTATTTTTATGTTTGTGCGGGTGTGTGTTTTGTATGGAATGTTTGGGAGGAAATAAGACGGTAAATAACAAACAAAATATTGATATATGTAATTTTTATTTCTCAATTATACTTTGTGGTAGTATGGTTGTAATTTTTTTATAACATAAAATCATTCAATAATTTTTTTATTTTTATTTTTAAAAAGGAAGGCTGCTCAGCTTCTCAAGGTCTCACATATGTATCTGTCCCCTGTCTCTCTCAGGACCCCATTCCCTTCCCCAGTGGCCCTGGCTTCTCGGCCCCCAAAGAGGAGACCCCTGGCGAACCTCGTAGCAGGAGCGTTCCAGTGTCCGAGGGGCTCGCCCCACAGATCTGGAACCAGCTGAATTCCAGTGAGTTACTGCAAGCATGCGGAGAAGAAGGAAAGGCCATGCTCCTGGGGCAGGCTGGGAAATCAGAACTGGCAGCGAGAGGGAGCAGCTTTTGGGATCAGGGAAGAGAGAGCAAACATTCCTGGCTCAGAGGTGCCCCTGTGTTTTGTTTCATCAGACTCCTCCCGAAAGAGCTACCGCCCTGCCTCTGTGGAGCCCTGGATCGACCCTCTGAATGCCTTTGAAGAGGTTGCTAGTACGGAGGTGAGGTCCATTGAGATGGGATGGATCAGGCGCATGCTCTGCAGAGGCTCCCTTTCCAGGGCGGAGCCGGACTTTGCCGATGAGGGAGCTTTCCGAGCACAATTCAAAGCGTTGGTGCTGACCTTTAAAGCCCTAAACGACCTCAGTCCAGTATACCTGAAGGAGCGTCTCCACCCCCATCGTTCTGCCCAGACACTGAGGTCCAGCGCTGAGGGCCTTCTGGCGGTTCCCTCACTGCGAGAAGTGAGGTTACAGGGAACCAGGAAGAGGGCCTTCTCGGTAGTGGCACCCACCCTGTGGAACGCCCTCCCATCAGATGTCAAGGAAATGAGCAGCTATCTTATTTTTAAAAGACATCTCGAGGCAGCCCTGTTTAGGGAAGTTTTTAATATTTAATGCTGTATTGTTTTTAGCACTTGATTGGCTGGGGATACTCAGCCAGATGGGCGGGGTATAAATAATAAATTATTATTATTTTCTGTCCCCTAACCCTGTTTCCTGACTCTGCCTTGCCCCTTGCCCAGATGAGCCTGTCTGACAGCGGGGTGGACCTCAGCAGCGACTCACAGGTCTCCTCGGCCACCTGCAGTCAGCGCAGCTCTCCCGACGGGGGTCTGAAGGCCACACCAGATGCTGGGGCCAAGCGCAGCGGAGCCATCGGCAAAAGCACCGAGGATGCAGCCGCTGCCGCTTCAGCTGGACCGGAGGGAGCAGAGCCTAAAGAGCAGAGGAGGCGGCCCCCGCCAGCCAGAGACTCCAGTCTGCTGAAGGAGAAGAAGGTACACAAGTAACTCTGGGGTGTCGCCACATCTTCAGTCAGCACTGATATAAAGCATGCCGCTGCATTGGTTTCCTTAATGCAGCGGTGGCCAAACTCGGCCCTCCAGCTGTTTTGGGACTACGACTCCCATCATCCCTAGCTAACAGGACCAGTGGTCAGGGATGGTGGGAATTGTAGTCCCAAAACATCTGGAGGGCCGAGTTTGGCCACCACTGCCTTAATGGTTTCCTTTACTGGATTGGTTCCACCCCACCCTGTTTTACTAAAACAGCTCTCCCAAAGGTTTCTGGTGTGTGTGTGTGTGTGTGTGTGTGTGTGTGTGTGTGTGTGTTGCGCTGACTGAGGTGTCCTCTTTTGGCTCTTCCACTGCCCTTCCCATGATTGCCACCTCTTGACACAGTTGATTCTGCCATCCTGATTGGGCTTCTGAAATCGCCTGTTCTCCTGACTCAGCCACCTCATTTCTCTCTTGAGCTCTTCTTGTCATTTTTGCTCCAGTTTGGACTTGGTCCTCTGCTTCGGTTCGGCATTACAAATGGGGATCTGTGGCTTTTAGGAGGATTCCCACCTTACAAAGATCCTTTTAGCAGCAAAGAAAGCATCACCCCTTAACAGCCACAACAGCTGCATCCTGCTCCACTTTTCCAGAACAGCTTCCCTGCCCTCTTCTTGCTAGAAAGGAGTCCACATGTTGGTGGTTTCAAGGAATCTTGGTGTGGGGTGCGTTTGTAGCTAACACGGACCGTGCATCCCAAGTTCTTCTTGCTTTGGGATTCTTTCAGGCAACTTCCCTTCCTCTTTCTGAAAGTACCGTATTTTTTGCTCTGTAAGACTCACTTTTCCCCTCCTAAAAAGTAAGGGGAAATGTGTGTGCGTCTTATGGAGTGAATGCAGGCTGCGCAGCTATCCCAGAAGCCAGAACAGCAAGAGGGATTGCTGCTTTCACTGCGCAGCGATCCCTCTTGCTGTTCTGGCTTCTGAGATTCAGAATATTTTTTTTCTTGTTTTCCTCCTCCGAAAACTAGGTGCGTCTTGTGGTCTGGCGCGTCTTATAGAGCGAAAAATGTGGTATCTTCAGGAGGGGTAGCATAATTGAAGGACGTGCAAGTCTCTGCACTTAAAATTTTATCCAAGCAAAACTAGCCCAGGCTTTTCACCAGCTTGAATTCCATAAATGATTTTCACATATTCTAATCTTGGGGAACTGGCAATAATCCAGGCATGGAATGTAAGCTTCCACCCCCTGAAATCCTGCACTGATTTTGAAAATAGTACCAGGCATAATTCTCCCCCTTACATACCTTCATGCCTGTCTTTGCACTCATAAATATACGTTGTTGTTTTTTAAGTGCTTTCACTTCAGCTGCAAGCATCAGTTGGTGCTAAATAAATGTGAAGTAACAGCCGCAGCACTTCCCCTCAACCCGCCCGCCCCCCCCCAAAAAAAAAACCTCTGGAAAGGGAGCTTGGATACTGCCCTCCGGCTAAACTGTTTGCCACCCCCATGGTCTCAAAGGGCCCATGAGTTTCACCACCCCTCCTCCTCCTCCTGCGACAGGTGAGCAGCTCCCCTGAGCCGCTGCCCCGGGACCACCCTCCCCCTGGTGCTATTGGCACAGAGCGTTCCCAGCGAGTGGAGAAAGCAAAAGACAACAGCGCAGAGGGTCTGGGTGCGATGACGTCCGAGCCAAACCCCCAGCTCGAGTCCCCCGGGGCCTGCCCACCCATCCAGTTTGGCGCTAGCGACAAGGTAAGTGCCAAGACGCATGTGCTTTGCGGTCCCTTCTCGTCCAAGTCCCAGGCTCAGATTCCAACCCCCTCCCCCTGGTTTTTGCCCCCTTCAGGATGCTGACCTTCGCTTCATGGTGAACGAAGGGCCGAAGCCAGACAAAGAAGAGCTGCACCAGGGACTTGCCGAGGGGGTAAGTAGGGAAGCCGTGCCAGCACTGATTTGGGGCTCCCTCTTCTCTTCCCACCCGCTTGAGTTCAGCTTGGAGGGCTTGGCTTTGCTAGCTGGGCACTGGGTGACCTTGCATTCCAGCTGTGGGGCCTGTTGCAGTTTCTGCGTGTCTCTTGGATCACGATTCAAAATCAGGATTAAACTGGCTTCTCTTTTGAAAGGCCAGTCTTGGCCAGATTCCTGGATGGGAGCAGGGACATCTCTCTCCCCCCTCGCTGTTGCTCCCCATCAGTCCACTGCATATTACTAATATTCCCCTCCCCTCACCCTAACCCTAATCTGAAGAATGAGATCATTACCCCACCCTTACTTACCTTCCCATCTGCGGCCACATTGTTCTTTCTTTTATCAGATCAAAATGATCAGACAACCGCAAAGGTTGCTAGGTTTATCAAGGGTGCAGTGAGATTAAGGGCCACTATCTGAACGATAATCTTGGTCATTTGATTGCCCTTTTAACCCATTGTTGTCTTTTTAATTGTATATATTGCTTGCTTTATGTTGCTATGGCCGTCGGCTAATGCGAATAAAGTTTATCTATCTATCTATCTATCTACCTACCTACCTACTAAGGTGTCGGGGCGGGTTACAGCATGCACCTTTTTAAACCACGTATTCCACGGAACGGGACACGGGTGGCACTGTGGGTAAAACCTCAGCGCCTAGGACTTGCCGATCGCATGGTCGGCGGTTCAAATCCCCGCGGCGGGGTGCGCTCCCGTCGTTCGGTCCCAGCGCCTGCCAACCTAGCAGTTCGAAAGCACCTCCGGGTGCAAGTAGATAAATAGGGGCCGCTTACCAGCGGGAAGGTAAACGGCGTTTCCGTGTGCTGCGCTGGTGCTGGTTCGCCAGAGCAGCTTCATCACGCTGGCCACGTGACCCAGAAGTGTCCGCGGACAGCGCTGGCTCCCGGCCTATAGAGTGAGATGAGCGCACAACCCTAGAGTTCCACGGAAGATAAAATCAGAAATAATACTGATGTACAAGCGATATTGGGGCTTGATTTCTGCAACCTGTTGTGCATAGGATTGCCCTTGGCAGTTTCCCCCAAAACCTCTGCAGGTTAAAAATTCAGCTGTTAGACCTGGGTGATAGGGAATATATTTTGCCAGATTTACTGTCATTGCAGTGCAGGGGGTTAAACTGTTAATATGATTTCTCTATTAGTACATGTTTGCACATGGCAAGGTAGAGTTTAAGTCTGTACGAGGGAAATAAACATTTGGTCCGTTTAGAAAGGAAGCCTAGAGCCTTGGTTGCCTCCAATGACTCCCCTACCTCCTCCCTCTCCGCAGCTGACCTCGGCCCCCAGGGAGTGGGAGCTGCTTCCGCCGGCCCCTCCCAGCCACCGAGCTTCCCCCGAGGCGCCTCCTGGTCGCGGCTGCGAGGCCCGGCCATTCCCCGTAGCCCCAGCATCTTGCCTGCACGGCCTCCCAGCAGACACTTCCGTGTTCTCAGGTATGGAGGGGCATTTGGAACGGAAAGGGAAGATTGCTCACGTTATGCGGCTCCCAGCCAGAGCAGTGGTTGACTGTGCTTCTTCCTCCCAGCAGGTGAGAGGGGCCAGGGTCAGCGGCTGTACCCGGAGCTGTTTTACGGGAACCAGGTACCTACCTTGGCAGATTGGGCAGAGGAGGGGCCAATTTGTGTTGCTGTGGGGCCTCTGGCACAGCTCAGGAGGAATGGTTTTAGCTTTCCCACCTCCTCTGAAAGGTTCCTTGCATCCTCTTTCTGCAGGTCCAAACTGCCCAGCTGGAGTCCCAGCTTCATGGCGCGAGCGGGGGCAGCAGCTACCGACCGAGCACCCCTTCTCTGCACACCTACAGGTAAGGGCAGGGAGCATATGGGGCTCTGAGCTCCCCTTGTGGCAGGGATAATAATAATATAATATAATATAATATAATATAATATAATATAATATAATATAATATAATATAATATACCCCGCCCATCTGGCTGAGTTTCCCCAGCCACTCCCATTTGAGTGTTAAAAACAATATAGCATTAAATATTAAAAACTTCCCTAAACAGGGCTGCCTTCAGGTGTCTTTTAAAAATAAGATAGCTGCTTATTTCCTTGACATCTGAAGGGAGGATGTTCCACAGGGCGGGCGCCACTACCGAGAAGGCCCTCTGTCTGATTCCCTGTAACCTCACTTCTCGCAGTGAGGGAACCGCCAGAAGGCCCTCAGCGCTGGACCTCAGTGTCCGGGCAGAATGATGGGGGTGGAGACTCTCCTTCAGCTATACAGGACCAAGGCCATTTAGGGCTTTAAAGGTCAGCACCAACACTTTGAATTGTGCTCGGAAACGTACTGGGAGCCAATGCAGATCTCTCAGGACCAGTGTTATGTGGTCTCGGCGGCTGCTCCCAGTCACCAGTCTAGCTGCCACATTCTGGATTAATTGCAATTTCCGGGTCACCTTCAAAGGTAGCCCCACTTAGAGCACATTGCAGTAGTCCAAGCGAGAGAGAACCAGAGCATGCACCACTCTGGCGAGACAGTCTGCGGGCAGGGAGACACCTCAGAGCCTCTGCAGCACTTTGAACCTGGTCCACAAAGGTGATACTGTACCCATCTTCGTGCGGGCCACCACGTGGAACATGAAGCAAGCTTGTTTTCTGCTGCTTCAGGGGGGTGGGACCTGAACCAGTGGATTCAGGTTACAGGAAAGGGGAGATTCCGACTAAACATCAGGAAGAACTTTTTGGAATAGGAGTTGTTTGACAGTGAAACAGACTGCCACAAGAGGTGGACCCTCCTTCCTTGGAGGTTTTGAAGCAGAGGTTGGATGGCTGTCTGCAGGGATTCTTTAGTCATGTATAAACTAGTTGAGATTCCTGCATTGCAGTTGGGAGTCCCTTCCAACTCTGCAATTCTATGGTAAGACTGAAGGCAGCTCAGCTAGCAGGCTGGAAAGGTCGTTGCAGGTCACAGTATATGCACTAGGCCAGCTGGGTGACACCAAATCGGGCGGCTTCAGAGGTTCATCAGACCAACTTCTTCCTCCTTGGGAAGGTGGTGGACTTAGGAGCCAGTGTGGTGTAGTGGTTAAGAGCGGTGGACTCATAATCTGGGGAACCGGGTTCGCTTCCCCGCTCCTCCACATGCAGCTGCTGGGTGACCTTGGGCCAGTCACACTTCTCTGAAGTCTCTCAGCCCCACTCACCTCACAGAGTGTTTTTTGTGGGGGAGGAAGGGAAAGGAGATTGTTAGCCGCTTTGAGACTCCTTCAGGCAGTGATAAAGCGGGATATCAAATCCAAATTCCTCCTCCTTCCTTTGTTGGAGGTTTTTAAGCAGAGATTGGGCGGCTACCTGTCAAGGATTCTTCAGCAGCGAATCCCTGCATTGCAGGGGCTGGACTTCCATCTCTGATTCTGACCTGTGGCTTTCTTCCTTCACTAGGTCCCAGCACCTGTACCTCCAGCCCAGCCCAGCGCCCACTTCTCCTGCTCAGACGGCCGGGGGCGCTGTCTTGCCCAGCTCCGCCTTGCTTTCGGGGGTGGCCCTCAAGGGGCAGTACGTGGAGATATCGGCCCTGCAGGCAGCGGAGCTTCCCAAGCTGCCAGCCACAGGCCTGCTGTACCAGGCTCCCCCTCCTTCCTTCATCTACAGCTCAGCCTTCTGCAGCAGCCAGCTGGCTCCAGAGCAAGCCCTGCTTCAGGTACTAGGCGTTGTGGTGGGCGAATTAACTGAAGGGCAGGTCTTCTGGGAATTGGGGGTGCAGAGGAAACCCGGATTTCTGGAGGCAGGTTGGAGAGGAAGAGTTTATGATGTGGCACAAATGGGTGGGAGCTGGGAGAGAGAGCAGGGCAATGGTGATTTCAGGGAGCGGGGTCACGTTTTAGGAAGCCAGGAGCTCTCCTCTCACGCTGTGTCTATAATAGTAGGCAGCTTGGGACGCGGGTGGCGCTGTGGGTTAAACCACAGAGCCTAGGGCTTGCCGATCAGAAGGTCGGCGGTTCGAATCCCCGCGATGGGGTGGGCTCCTGTTGCTCAGTCCCTGCTCCTGCCAACCTAGCAGTTCGAAAGCACGTCAAAGTGCAAGTAGATAAATAGGTACCACTCCGGTGGGAAGGTAAACGGCGTTTCCGTGCGCTGCTCTGGTTTGCCAGAAGCGGCTTAGTCATGCTGGCCACATGACCCGGAAGCTGTACGCCGGCTCCCTCGGCCAATAAAGCGAGATGAGCACCACAACCCCAGAGTCGGCCACGACTGGACCTAATTGTCAGGGGTCCCTTTACCTTTACCTTACTCTCCATAGGTAAGTAGCTTTGTGCCTAGGAGCCAAGCGTTCTTTTCATTTGGCTCGCTCTGAAGCTCCAGAGCCACAGATGTGAGGAGTGTTGCCAGTTACTGAGGATCGTGGACCGCATGCTTCTAAATACCGGTTGCTGCAGATCACGAACAGGAGAACGTTCCTGCCCTTGGGTCCTGTGTCATGGACTGGTTGGATGTAGAGGATTGATGGGAGGCCCCAGCTGGGGGACCCTCAAAGGAAGAAGGCTCAGAGCTCAGGGAGTGGTAGTGGGACAACAATGAGTGGTCGGAGGGAGAAGACTGGGAAGAGGAGTGTTGAAGAGGTAACAGGGAGCAGAGAGAATTGTTGGCGCAGAGAGCTCCAGAACCCAAAGAAGGAGAGGCAGAGAGGTGAAGCCAGGAGGATCTTCCCCTAATTCTACAACAGACCCGTTGGTCTCCCAGAATCAGAAGGAGTATGAAGAGGGAGGAGCAGAGGCAGATGTATCGACGTAGTCTCAGATTGCTTGGGAAGGACCCAGGGAAAGAGGACACTTAGGGAGCAGTGGGAAGGCAAGGACCTGTAGTCTCCATAACTGCCTCCTAGGAGCAAGAGAAGAGAGTTGCTGTGCTTGCGGGCCTGGCACTCTTCAGCAGATCCTGTTCTTCTGATAAAAATCACTCTTGTGTGATTTGCTGCCAGCTAGCCTCGTGACTCCCTGCTTGTCGGTTTTCTAGAGCCATCGGCTTTATGGTGGACCTTGGAACTGATCCAGGAAGGCTCCGATGTCGAGCTTGCATTCAGAAACCTTTGATGCAATCAAAGTGGGCCTCCTCCTCTGGCCCTTCAAGAAATGGACTGTGTTGGGAGTTGCCATCATCGTGTTCCTTCTCCCTTGCAGGTGCGCCAAGAACTTGCATCCCCCTCCGAGTTCTACCCAGCCGCCCTGGGGCAAGGCAGCCAGAGCAACTTCCTGACTGCTCCAGGCCCTGGCCAGCAGGTGAGCGAAGCGCCATCTCCTTCAGCCCAGCTCCTGGACCAAAACTGTCCCAGGATTGTAATGCAGCCCCTCTCTTTCTCTCTCTCCGTCCCCTCTGTCCTGCCCCAGGTCCTGTTGCCCGTGGTGGAGCCGCCCCAGTTGCCCCCCGTGGTGAACTTTGGCTCCTTGCAGCAAGCGCCACCTTCTGCCCCTGCCCCTCCACAGCCGCCGCCTCCCCCCATGCCCCTGGTGTCCGTGGCCACCCAGGCTCTGCGGGCGCCCGGGCAGCTAGCCGGGCGCCTCGTCTCTCCAGCCGTGCGAGCCTTTCCTCACGGCGGAGTGGGCCGTAGCGAGGTAAGGAAGAGGGCTGGTGGGCTGGACTCTGCTCCATGGGAAAGGCCTCCCCACCCGCTAGTTCTGATGTAGGGTTTTTTCCCTCCCCGCCAGCTCCACGCTCTGGAAATGAAGCCGCTACAAGATTACAGGAAACTCAATGGCCTGGGGTCTCCAGGGGCCCGGCCCCCCTCTGGGGGCAGGTGAGTGTTCTGTGTGGGGCAGAGCTTTGGAGACAAGAGGAAATGTCCTGGAAACAGACTAAGGCAGGGTTCAGCAAACTTTTTCAGCAGGGGACCGGTCCACTGTCCCTCAGACCTTGTGGGGGGCCGGACTATATTTTGAAGAAAAAATGAACAAATTCCTGTGTCCCACAAATAACCCAGAGATGCATTTTAAATAAAAGGACACATCCTACTCATGTAAAAACACGCTGATTCTCGGACCGTCCGCAGGCCAGATTGAGAAGGCGATTGGGCCGGATCTGGCCCCCGGGCCTTAGTTTGCCTACCCATGCTGTAAGGTCTCCATTTATCAAGACTGCCCCCCCCAATGCTGCCTGGGGGTGCTGGCGCCCAGTTAATATGTAGCAGACTCATAAAAGGACGACGACTGGACCCATCTCACATTTTGTGGAGTGGACCCACATTGCCTTGAGTCAGCCAGGAAGCATAGAAAGGCCTTTCCCTAAAGCATCTTCCTGTTACTGGTGCCTTCTCTTTGCAAGTTCTCAGAAGTATCATTTCCGTTAAAAGTAGTAAGTGTCGGAAGATGGTTCCTGGGCAGCGAGAGAGAAGTGAAATGGCCCCTTTGGCTGCCTCGTCACGGAGACTTTTCCTCTCCCTCAGGCCTTTCACTGGAGGCTTTGGTGCCAGGCTGAAGTCCCCTGGTTCTGCCTACGGTGGTATCTTCCGTGCCCAGCGCTTTGAGGTCTACCAGCAGGTGAGGACTTGGTGGGATCGGGATTGAGAAACGGAGCCCACTTTTTAAGGCAATTATTTGGGTGGGGGTTTCAGGAACGCAGCGACCTTCCTCCTCTCATCGGCTGTGTGTGTTCTGCTCCCCAGTCGGACGTCCTGCGCTGGAACCCCCGCTCTTGGGAGCGAGCCGCTCCACCGCGTGACGGCACGCCAGCCCGCCGCCTTGAGCCAGACGTGCGCTCCCACACTGACAAGCAAGACCCCAGTCTCTCCGGCCACCACTAGCCCAGGATGCTGATCCCTCCCCTTTTCGATTCTGTTAACTTCCTCCCCCCTCTCCTCCCCAAGATCGCGGGAGGGCTGTTTGCAGGGGTTTGTTCCTCTCCCCCCCCCTTTTGGTGTATCCTGAATACGGGGTGTCTCCTTAAACTCCTTTTCTGTTTGTATGGGGGGGTGACACTGGAATTTGCCCCTTGGAGTAGGGGTGTTAGACACTTAGTGGGTGCTCAGAGTGTAATTTGGGAGGGGGGCAAGGATCAGGATTTTGGGAGGCTCCCTGCTGAATGTATTTTTGCTTATTTCCTTTGGTTTCACCTGAGTTTATTTTTCTGGTAGGGGGCTCTTTTGCCCTTTGATCTGAGGGGGGAGCAGCTCTGAGGTTTGGAGTGTAAATATATATAAATATGAACGTGTCGGGGGGGTCTCTCCTCTTCCCTCTTCTATTTATGGGGGCGGGGGGAGGTGAGACTGGGAGCCTGTCTCCTCTCCTATTTGCTCCCCCGAGTTTGAAATAGGAAGCATTGAGTTTTTAAAAAGGTGGTCGAGCTGGTTTGTTTAATAAATAAAACCAAAAAAGTTGTTTAAAAAAACCAATAAAATAAAAAGTCAGACTGTGAGTTTTTTGGATTGTCATCTTACCTGCCGACTTCCTCAGCGTGCGGAAACTTTCCACTCCATGGAAAATGAAGCCTGGTCAGGGCAAAGAATTAGTTCTCTGTATCATGGGGATTTTAGAAATTACAGGTGCCCGGGACGGTGCTTTGTGAAAAATATTGTCTTGGCAAAGCGCTGGTAGTGACTGCTTCCATATTAGCAGAGGCACGAAAGGTTATATAGAAACTGCTTACCACCCCTTTGTAGGCAGCTCTGCTTCTTGAGCGCTTCCATTCTCCCAATCCCTACTGGTGGCGGGGGGGGGGGAATCGAAATTGCAACACACAAGCCTTCAAACCCATTCCCTAGAAAGTTTGCACATTAGGCTGGCCTGCCTCCGTTTCTGTAGTGCTTAAAATAAAGGTCTACTTAGTTGTGCTGCTAGAAAAAGGTAACTTTCAAGGACGGTTATTTCCCATCACCCACACACCTAGCCTTTAAAAAAAAAAAAGCATTGTGTTGTGTACCTTCCTGATAAACGCATGCTTTGCAGTGATTCTTATACCCTGGATTAAATCAGTTGTGCAGCAGCTATTCTTGCTGCAATGTGGATGGTGGCTCTAAAGCAGGCATAGGCAAACTCGGCCCTCCAGATGTTTTGGGACTACAACTCCCATGATCCCTAATTAACAGGACCAGTGGTCAGGGATGATGGGAGTTGTAGTCCCAAAACATCTGGAGGGTCGAGTTTGCCTATGCCTGCTCTAAAGTATTAAGGCTGTCAGTGGGTACCAGTCTGGGTGGCTAAAGTGCCCCTCCTGCCAGGACAACCAAATGCCTCATTACCAGCCACTAGAGAAGAGCAGCACACCTGGGCTCTTCAGAGGCTCCTATAAGAACCTCCAGGCAATGAGCATGCCTCTACAACAGAGCGAGGGAAGAACAGGAGCAGCTGGACTGAATGTCAAAGGATCTGTTGCAGGCACATTCTCCAGCCACGCCTACAAAAGGAAGAGAGTTCCATTGGTTCACGGGCAATAAGGGACAGATTGACAGATGGCCTACATTGGTTGGCGGAATCAGCTGTGCTGGGCAACAACATTTGGCACTTAAGCATTTAATCTATTCCCGAAGAGAAGGAAACTGCAGGGATGTTGGTTGAAGAAGAAAATCCAGTCTTATAGCCCGTTTTTCACGTTGCGGCATCAGTTTGCTGCTTGCTTTTTAAAAAAGAGGTCTTTATAAAAAAAAATTGGCAGCATTTTTGTGCAGATTCTTCCCCAATACACGTTCTTGTATGCATTTTCCCCAATACAAAAATGTGTGTTAAGTACGTTTCCCTTTTTCTGTGCTATTTTTCACATATACCGCTTTTATCCATACTTTCCCCTCATACACATTAATATTATCTGCTTGGAGGCAGCTTTTCTTTAAAAACCTAACTGAACCAGATGGGCCTATTCCAGCAGGCTCTTCTTAAGTTCTTACAAGTTCTCTTCAGTTCCTCATTGCCACGTTTAGACCACGCACAAGACTGAGGCACAAAAACAAGTTCAACATAGAGTGGTACCTTGGGTTACAGACGCTTCAGGTTACAGACTCCGCTAACCCAGAAATAGTACCTCGGGTTAAGAACTTTGCTTCAGGGTGAGAACAGAAATCACACAATGGCAGCGCAGCGGTAGTGGGAGGCCCCATTCGCTAAAGTGGTGCTTCAGGTTAGAACAGTTTCAGGTTAAGAACGGACTGCCAGAACGAATTAAGTACGTAACCAGAGGTACCACTGTACTACTTTGCTGTGAGTTTTAAAGGGAAAGGTTTTTAAAAATCTGATTTAAATGGAAATGAGGCTTACTTTTTTTGAAAAAAGGCTATCTTAAAACAATAGGTGTTTGAGAAGTAACCTGGTACCCCAGTATTGCCAGAAGTTTGGCACAAGTGGGGTGCAAAGGGAAGAGGTGCCTGTCCACCCCCAGCGTAGAAATGCAACACTCATCCTCTGGCAGTATCCCACCTTTCCCCCCCCAAGGAGCTGAGGGTGACGTACATGGCGCTCTCCTCACCCTGAGACAGGGTATGTGAGACAGTAACGGGCTACATGGTGGCTCAGTAGGGATGCGAACCCTGATCTTTACTACCGCAGTCCAACACATTAACCGCTATACCCCGCTGCCTTAGACATAAAGGTAAAGGTACCCCTGCCCGTACGGGCCAGTCTTGACAGACTCTAGGGTTGTGCGCCCATCTCACTTAAGAGGCCGGGGGCCAGCGCTGTCCGGAGACACTTCCGGGTCACGTGGCCAGCGTGACGAAGCTGCATCTGGCGAGCCAGCGCAGCACACGGAAACGCCGTTTACCTTCCCGCCAGTAAGCGGTCCCTATTTATCTACTTGCACCCAGGGGTGCTTTCGAACTGCTAGGTTGGCAGGCGCTGGGACCGAGCAACGGGAGCGCACCCCGCCGCGGGGATTCGAACCGCCGACCTTTCGATCGGCAAGCCCTAGGCGCTGAGGCTTTTACCCACAGCGCCACCCGCGTCCCCGGTGCCTTAGTCATAAAAGTGTTCAAACCACACTCTTGTTAGCCCTACAAGTTTTTATCTTTCACCTGAATCAGTGTTAAGGTGTAAAAGCCGTATCATAACCAATCTGACAACTTCACTCAGGAATGTTTATATTCCGCCTAAAAAGAACTTCATTTTTATTCGATGCCTTACTGAGGGAGGGTAGCGCTGGGCCAAGCGGCGCAGAAAGAAGAAAGGACAATTGTATCGTCTCCTACATGGGAGAATGCAAAGGGACTCACATACAAGTCTTATCAATTTGTGAAGCTTTCAAACTGCCATAGGTGATAGTTAGAAGGAAGCGTCTATTTGGGAATAGTGTAAAGCGATTCCCTTTCTAGTTTTTTTTTAAAAAAGGAAAGCATGTAAATATATATAAACACACAAAATACATATGAGATGTAAGGTTTGGTTGTTAAGGACAAAATAGTGTTTTTTAAAAAAACCTCTTTAGTTAATTTTACTTGTATATTATTAACACTGCTGTTGAAGCGATATCAATGGTAAAGATTTAAATCAGCCTCTTCCTTGGCGACTTAAATTGCCGGTTTTGATCAATTCATCCTTTAATGCGAGATTGATGCACTTGGCTGCGGTCGCCGGGCCACAAAGCAACTCAATATCCCACCAGCCATAAGAGCATTTTGAAAACACACAAGCACCACCGGTCCCTGGACAAGTGGCTTTATTTACTGATTCAGCAGCAACTTCGAGCACTCCGCTGGGGGAGAAAGGTCACAGCAACCAGAAGACGGGGTTGGGAAGGGGGGGACGTAAGTTGGGAAGGAACTTAAATATTTGGCCTGAGAAGGGAGTGGCTGTCTGCATCGTGCACAAAAAAAGGACAAAGAGGTGAGCCCCAGAGAGAGGACCTCCCTATCCATGAGGGTTTGGGGGCAGTGACCGTTACAAGTCCTCGGCCACAAAGGCTTGCTGGGCGTTGGGGAACCTCTGCGGGGTGAAGCTGGGATCAGCTTGCAGCCGCTTCTGCAGATCAGATTTCAGCTGAAAGAGAGAAGAAAAAGGAGAGTGAGGGGCAGGAGTCCGGCTGCCCCAAATCGCCTGGACAGATACCGTATTTTTCGCACTACAGAACGCACTTTTCCCCCTCCAAAAATGAAGGGGAAATGTGTGTGTGTCCTGTGGAGCGGATGCAGGCTCCTTGGCTTCAGCGATAGAAATGCGAAGCCTCCGAAGCACAGAGGGAGCGCTCCCTCCGCGCTCCGGAGGCTTCGCGTTGCTTTCGCTTAAGCCAAGGAGCCTGCATTCGCTCCACAGGACGCACACACATCGCCGAAGCCTGGAGAGCGAGAGGGGTCGGTGTGCACCGACCCCTCTCGCTCCCCGGGCTTCAGGCAGCTATCCGCAAGCCTTTGGAGCGTGCCCCAAGCCCCGCAAGCTCTGGGAGCAACCTTACCGCCACTCCCGGACCTGTTCTGGGGGCTGCGGTCGGGGGACACTCGGGCTTCTGCCAAAGTCGCGCGCAGCCTCTCCCAGCTGGAGAGGTTGCGCGTGGCTAAAGAGGAAGCCAAGACAGCAAGCGGGATGCATAAAAAAAAATTCTTTATTCTCCCCCCCTAAAAACTAGGTGCGCCCTATGGCCCGGTGCACCCTATGGAGCGAAAAATACAGTAGGTGTCATACAGCCCCCATTGGGGTATAAAAGCAGAAACTAAGGCCCCACCCACCCACCAACAGATCCCCATGCTCACCTGCTGTCGGTAGCCCTCCTGCAGCGCTGGCTCTGCCAGGTCTCTGCTCAGGCTCTCGGCGCTCGTCAGAGGTTTCACGCCTGCTACTTTGGCCGCTTTGTTGACTGCCTCGGACAGAAGGAGCTGGGGACCATCCCCCTGCATAGTCTTCCAAGAGAAGGAAGAGACAAGTTAAGGGTTCTGCGCTTGCGCTAAGGTGCTGGAGCGGCAGATAAACCGGAGCGGAATCTGCCTGCGTTACGCGATCAGCCAAAAAAGCACAGCGGAGATTCGCACAGAGACTTCCTTCAGCAGTGGGTCAACCCTGCTACACACACCCAAAGCATTAGGGGAAGTTCCCACAAGGCAACCCTCTCCAGCTCTGAAGCAAGAATGAATGAAAGCTCACATGACTAGAGGCCAGAGCCAATAAGAGCCCTGCATCACTATTGTGAGTCTAGTTGTAAACATCCAGGTCTGGGATGTGCTGAAATTATGGAAGCAAGCATTAGCCCTTGCTCAAAGCTGGGGGTTGAGAAAGTTGACTTCCAAAACTTTTGCTTGCTTTCAATCGTCACATCTACTAGAGGAAGGGAGGATTTTGCATCCTTATTAGTGATACCATTTCCTTTCCATCATTCATTTACTCCTTGAATTTCTTTACTGCCCTTCCTCAGAGAATCACAGGGCAGCTTAGGAAAACCACAGAAAAATACATAACACAGTAACATCATGAAAGAAGAAGTTAGAATTCCCAAGGGAAGGGGTGTTGAGTGGGCATCACACAAGGGAGAGGACTAAAAGGAGACAGAAGGGGGAAAGAAGTGGTGAGTTTCTCAAAACAAAAACCCAGAACATCAGAACTGGGGACATGTCATGTCTCCCAAACCAGAAGGAGCTCAAGTCTGATTTAAATCTGCCTCCACTCTACACTTCCCATTGGTGAAGACTGCCCACCAGAGTCGGAGCGAAAAATAAATATTTGTTTCCCCCCAGAAAATTCACCACCCACAAGCAAGGCGTCCCCGAATCCCATCAAAACAAAAGAGGTTTAAAGACACTCAAGGCAAATCTTAAAAAAAAATGTAGTATAAACACCGACAACTGGGAAACACTGGCCTGCGAGCACTCCAGTTGGAGAACAGCCTTTACTAAAGGTATCATGGGCTGTGAAGACACTCGAACTCAGGACAAAAAGGAGAAATGTGCTAAGAGGAAGGCACGCTTGGCAAACCCTCACCGTGAACAACTCCCGCCTGCAAACCTATGTCCCCACTGTGGAAGGACGTGTGGATCCAGAATTGGCCTCTACAGTCACTTACAGACTCACTGTTAAGACTTTGTTAGTGGAAGACATGTTAGAATTCCTGCTCCATGACTGCAATCATGGGATTGTTGTCTTTCACATGACAGTGTATGTTTTGACTCCACAAAGTGGGAAGTAATGGAGACAGGATGTTTGTGTGACTGTGTTCCCTGAAGTGGGACTATTGTCCTTTGTTTTGTTTTTTTCTTTGCTGTCTGATGCTAGAGAGAGAGGGAGCCATGTTGCAGCGCTCCGTGTGTGTTTATATGTAAATAAAGTAGATTAGCCAAAATGCTGAGTCGCTGAGGTCTGTTACGCAAGCTGTGAAGACTCTGTGGGTCCCTAAGTGTGCCGGTGTCGGTTGCCATCGGTTGCTGTGATGTTCGGGCTGAAGAAAGCTTTTGAAGCTCCCGAACGATCAACCAGGAGAGAGAGAATATGCCAGTCGGGCATGTGTCTCTGCCAGGGTCCTACTCAAGTGTAGGATAAGCTCCTGACAAGACAATCGTACTCGGCTACGAGTGGTCGCCAAAGAAGAAGATCCCGTCCAGGGAAATGGAATGGTGGACTTGCAGAGTTGGAAAGGACCCTGAGGACCATTCAGTTCAGCCCTCTCCCATGCAGGAAGTGCTGCTTTAAGCCCCTGGGGTTGACCACGCGAGGAGAACCCGCTGTTTAAGAGAGGCTGGGCCGCTTTTGTCGTTTCCGTGGGGCAACCCGAGTGAAGCAAATCCTGCCTAGGGCAGAAGGGCCTTCTCACCTTGCGCCGCTTGGCCGGCATGCCGCTCAGGTAGGCGTCGCTGAGGGGGGGCTGCTGCTTCAGCTTGCGCTGGCTCTGGATGTCCTCCCGGATGATGGGCACCCACTCCTTGCGGACGAGGAGGAGGGAAGAGGAAAGCATTGGGGGACCCGTTAGCAACTCCAGAGAGTTCTTTCTCCCTGCCCTCCCCCTGGTCGCCGCCCGCTTCCACCCCAGACCACTCACAGGGGGCACGGCAGCTGCCCAGGGCTCTGCGTCGGGGGCGGGCGGCTCCCCTTGCTGCGGCTCCTCGTGCTCCGGCTCCCCGTGCTGCTGGGGCATGGCCTCCTCGGCCGTTGTGGCTGGGGCTGGGGATGCGGCGCTGTCTCGCTGCGAGGAAAGGGAGGAGAGAATGGGAGTGGGGCCCAAGCAGGGTGTGTCTGCCGGTCTTTCAGGCGGAAAAGGGGCTTGGCCCCAAAGTCAGACAGTGGGCAGCACTGGGGGGGGCAGCTTCAGAATCAATAATTAAGTTTTTTCCCCATATACCAGCAAGTTGCAAATGGGTTCAGACACACAGACTGAGCCTAGAAGGTCGGGGGAGGGAGGCAGCCTCAGTCCTTCCACCTGCTATATGGGAACACTCCTATCTCTCAGGGTTCTTACAAGGATCACTGGCAGCAGCACATGCTAAGGGCTTTGTATATTATTTTATTTATATGCCGTCCATCCTACTGGTTTTCCCCAGCCACTCTAGGCAGCAGCAAAAAGGCATAATAAAACACCAACTATTAATAACTTCCCTGTACAGGGCTGCCTTCAGATGTCTTCTAAAAGTCTCACTGAGGGCGTTCCACAGGGTGGGTGCCACCACCGAGAAGGCCCTCTGCCTGGCTCCCTGTAACCTCACTTCTCACAGTGAGGGAACCACCAGAAGACCCTGGGAACCATACCCTCTCCCAGCTCCACAGCACCCTGACCCTGGCTCCCACTCCATACCTGCAGGGTTTCGGAAGGCTGCTCTGCAGCCTGAAGCTCCATCGGCTCTTCTGGTACAGGCTGAGAGGAGGAGAGAAGAGAGAGAGTGCATTCAGAGGCCTTGGAGGTGATACCCAGCACCCACAATAGAGTCACGGTCTCCCCACACGCCTCCCCTCTGATCTCCCAACAAACAAGTCCCACCGGGATGTGGTCCACAAAACAATCTGATCTGGCTCCTGGAGGCCCTACCAAATCTTAGCCAAATGAAAAATGAAGAAGGCGAGAGAGACTGCAAACAGCACCCCACAACTGCTCTCTCCTTGGGTTTTGCATGGAATGTCTCGGCTGTGCACTGGACCCCAGGGTCAGGTTTAAGGTGCTGGTTTTGACCTTTAAAGCCCTATGCGGCCTAAGACCCTCTTACCTACAGAACCGCCTTTCCTGGTATGCCCCACGGAGGACCTTAAGGAGGACCAAATAGCAACACTTTGGAGGTCCCAAGTCGCAAGGTGGTTAGATTGGTCTCAACTAGGGCCAGGGCCTTTTCAGTACTGGCCCCGACTTGGTGGAACGCTCTGTCACAAAAGACCAGGGCCCTGCGGGACTTGACATCTTTCCGCAGGGCCTGCAAGACAGAGCTGTTCCGCCTGGCCTTCGGTTTGGACTCAGTCTGACCCTTATGTTTCCCTCCCCTTATGGTTTTGATTTATGGGCTACTATTAAAATGAGGCTGCATTTTAAATTGTATTTTAAGCCGTATTTTAATAAACTGGGGGTTTTTTTTGTTTCCCCCCTATTACGTTTTCTTGTAATTTTATTGGTGTTAGCCACCCTGAGCCTGGCTCTGGCTGGGGAGGGCGGGGTATAAAGAAAATATTAATATTATTAATAATTATGCCCCGTAACTGCAATGTCCTCACTGCAACTGAAATTGTGGGTTGTGGGACAGTAATGGGGTTATGGGCCAAAATGCTCAACACTCAGAGACCTGGTCCAGCGTCTCCTCAACAACAGAGGAGCCTCCCAAAAGCTACAGGAAACCAGGGTTTAGTGCCTGATTCCACTCGCGCTTCTCTATCCAATTTCAGGAGTCTTACCTGTGGGGGGTCGCCCATCCTGCGGACATACTGTAGTATTTGATCCTCTGTGACGGGCATGTGCTCCAGGATGACCTGCAGGCGCATGCTCATCATGGTGGTGAGCCAGCTCACCAAGGAGGGGTTCATATCTGCCGACATCCGCCTCTGCCGCCCAGGCGGGCCAAGAAAGAGAGAGAGACACAAGGCTGTCAGGACCGCAAACTCCCATTCCGAGCCAGCAGCCGTCAGTGAACGAGACGGCGTCCTTCCAATTCATTGACGCAACCTCGAAATTAGCCAGGGCAACAAGTCCTTTGGGTTAGGGTGAGTTGGCAATATACAACTCACAAATTTAACTGTTTCAATGAAAAGAGTCCTTAGGGCTGAAGAAAGTGGGAGACCAGCTGAGATCTCCCATTTGTTTTCCTAAGGGACTTCATGACCAACACAACTCCGATACAGTCATACCTCGGATTATGAACTTAATTCGTTCCAGAGGTCCGTTCTTAACCTCAGGTGTGCTTTCGCTAATGGGGCCTCCCGCTGATGCCGCGCAATTTCTGTTCTCATCCTGGGGCAAAGTTCTTAGCCCAAGGTAATATTTCTGGGTTAGCGGAGTTTGTAACCCGAAGTGTTTGTAACCCGAGGTACCACTGTACTGCATTAGCTGAAGCCCCATGCAATACAGTGGTACCTCGGGTTAAGAACTTAATCCGTTCTGGAGGTCCGTTCTTAACCTGAAACTGTTCTTAACCTGAGGTACCACTTTAGCTAATGGGGACTCCCACTGCCGCTGTGCGATTTCTGTTCTCATCCTGAAGCAAAGTTCTTAACCCAAGGTACTATTTCTGGGTTAGCAGAATTTGTAACCTGAAGCGTCTGTAACCCGAGTTACCACTGTACAGAACAAAGTATGCTGGACTCTGACTGGGGAGACTGGGATTGTTACCTATAATCCCCACTCAGTTACAAAGCACACCAGTGGGCCTCTGGTTCAGCTGCTCCCTGCCAGATCACCCTACCTTACGAGATAAATTGGGATGGTTGACTTCCATACTTCATTCAATCGGTTTCATTCTCCAATTTTTCTGCACCATTTTTAATGAGGTCATTATCATTGGGCAGACGTCAGGAAAGGTGAAACCGACACACTTTGAACAGTGAAGGGCTTTATAGGGCCGTGTGGAAGCTAGTTGCTTGACCATGTTTCCCACGCCCTATTTCAACAGTCTCACCCCTGGCACATCCATATTACCATATTTTTCGTCCCATAGGACGCTCCCAAGGACGCACCTAGGTTTTTTGGGGGGAAATAAAGGGAAATTTTTTTCCCTTTATTTCCCCCCCAAAACCAGGTCAGGGAAACCAAACCAGGACGGGGAACAGCGGTATGGCGGCGCTGCGCCTCCCCGCTGTCCCCCGAGCTTGTGGGGCTGCCTGATGTCTGCCCAAAGCGCGGGGCACTCTGCTTCAGTGCGCCCCGTGCTCCGTGCAGCAGGCCTAGGGAGCCCTGCGGAAACTCCTGCAGGGCTCCCCAGGCTGCGGCTATCTGCCCGGCACGTGGGGCGCTCTGCTTCAGGGCGCCCCGCGGCCGGCGCAGGCTGCTGTCCGCAGCCTAGGGAGCCCTGCGGGAACTCCCGCAGGCTCCCCAGCGTTGCTGATAGTTTCATGAAGCCTGGAGAGCGAGAGGGGTCGGTGCGCACCGACCAATCTCGCTCTCCAAGCTTCAGCGAAAGCCTGTATTCGCCCCATAGGACGCACACAGATTTCCCCTTCATTTTTGGAGGGGGGAAAGTGCGTCCTATAGGGCGAAAAATACGGTAACTTCTGCTTGGAGAATTCCAAACAGAACTTCCAGCACGCAGCTCTGCCCATGGGATTCTGACGCTATCATCGGGGGACACCACAACTCGCAGGCTTCCTTTTCTCACAACTCTTCCGTTGGCTCCAGTACCTCCCCAAAACTGCCCTGCATCAGCCCTACATCCCCTGAAGATGGGGAACGTCAGCGGAGCACAACTCATCACTCACAATGCGGTCGTTGATGACAGCAGTCAGGGCTCCCTGCTCCCCGCGCAAGCAGTAGAGGTTCAGCGCCAGGCACTCGAACAGGCCCTGGTTGCACAACTCCAGCAGCCGATACCCAAAGGTATTATCTGGAAGGAGAGAGGAGATGGATGCTGGAGGGGGTGGGGAAGGAGCTGGAGGAGAAGCAGCCCCCTGAAGAAAGCTCCCAGAACTCAGCCCATTCATTCCCTTACCAGCGCAGTGGAGGATGTGCATTGCAATGCGGTTGAACTGTTCCTGCAGGAACTCCAGGTTGGTGCGGGTGATGTCAACGCCATCTTGAACTCGGACAGAGGCCTAGGGGGGAAATGGGAGGCATCAGAGACGAGGGGGAAGGGGGAAGTCGGGGTTATATAGCTTTCGGGCAGCAAGAAGCCGTTTCCGCCTGCGTCTGCTCTTGTCACATGTTGGCTGCCTACCATTGTGGAGGCTAGACCAGGGGTCAGCAAACTTTTTCAGCAGGAGGAAGTGGAACTTACAAAACTCTCGCGAATGTACTCCTCCAAGCCGTTGATCAAATTGTACGTGGCCATCTGGAAAAGCCGGAAGAGAGAGGGAACTGTTAGCAAGCAGCACAGGAATGGACTCAAGGTGGGGAAGGAGGGGAGGTTGCGCTTGGAACTAGGGGCAGGTCCACTCACCCGAACGTTGCGCTCAGTGGGCTCCTGGCCATGCAGGTACTCCTCCCGGAAGAAGCGGCTGAGCTGGGGCTGGATCCGCTGGAGGGGCTGGAACTGCCCGTGCAGAAGCATCACCATGTCGACCATGGAGAAGTTCTGGCAGATGAGGGAGAGCAGGTCTCCAAAGAAGCCTAGAAGGGACACAAACCTTGCAAGCTGACCTTCTGCTTAACCCGAATGGGACGGGAGGAAGAAGCAGTGGCTGGAAACCCCAGGAGAGAGAGAGAGAACAGAAGGAGATATCGACTACTTCCTTGGGATTTCCCCAGGGAGAAAGAGCCTCACGGCTGGAGGGAAAGAAGCAATGTCAGCTGGGAGAGGCTGTCCCTCTAGCAAAAGACACTTCTATGGGCTATTGCTGGCAAGGAGCTCAGGCAGGAGAGTGGCCAAGAGGCAGAGCTGCAACCCAGCTTGTCCCGTTTCAGCCATGAGCTTCTCAGTCAGCCTAAGGCAGGGGTCAGCAAACGTTTACAGCAGGGGGCCAGCTCACTGTCCCTCAGACCTTGTGGGGGCCGGACTATATTTTGAAAACAGAAAGAACGCATTCCTATGCCCCACAAATAACCCAGAGGTGCATTTTAAATAAGAGCACACCTTCTACTCATGTAAAAACACCAGGCAAGTCCCACAAATAACCCAGAGATGCATTTTAAATAAAAGGATACACTCTACTCATGTAAAAACACACTGATTCCTGGACCGTCCGTGGGCCGGATTGAGAAGGCGATTGGGCCAGATCTGGCCCCCGGGCCTTAGTTTGCATACCCCAAGGCCTAAGGCAAGCAGTTATCCCTTTGCCTCAGGATGAAGCAGAGCTGCCATGCAGAGAGGGGAAGTGAAGCTGAAAAAGGAATCCGCCCCCCTCCACCTTCTCCTCCTTGGGCAACGGTGGCAGAGCCAGGGCCCAAAAGTCCAGACCAGTGTTTCCCATCATCCCGAGCGAGCAAGACCAGTGGTTGGGGATGATGGGAATGGCAGTCCAAAAACAGCTGGAGAACCAAGTTTGGGAAACGCTGGTCCAGACTGTGGGAAGTTGTGGGCGACAGACACCCAAGAAAAAGGAGGAGCAAGGTTTGCAAGGGGTTCTAGAGAGGGTAGTGACCAGAGAGATCAAAAGGGTCAGCCTGCCTCTCCCAACTCGGGCAACCAGGACGCCAGAAAACAGGAGGAGTCTTTGAATTATTCAGGGGGCAGGGGGCAGCCTTCTCTAAACCAGTAGGTTTCCGAGCACAATTCAAAGTGTTGGTGCTGACCTTTAAAGCCCTAAACAGCCTCGGTCCAGTATACCTGAAGGAGCGTCTCCACCTCCATCGTTTAGCCCGGACACTGAGGTCCAGCTCCGAGGGCCTTCTGGCAGTTCCCTCCCTGCAAGAAGTGAGGTTACAGGGAACCAGGCAAAGGGCCTTCTTGGTAGTGGCGCCCGCCCTGTGGAATACCCTCCCATCAATGTCAAGGAAATAAACAACTATCTGACTTTTAGAAGATATCTGAAGGCAGCCCTGTTTGGGGAAGCTTTTAAAGTTTGATGTTTTATCGTGTTTTTAATATTCTGTTGGGAGCCACCCAGAGTGTCTGGGGAAACCCAGCCAGATGGGTGGGGTATAAACAAAAAATTATCTGGTTTTCAACATCACGATATATCACCAGCTAAACACTGAGGTATATATCACGATGTCTGTTATAAGGATGGAGCTATGTAGAGGCACTGTCTGGCTTCACAGTTTTCCCTGCTTTGAGATTTTCGCACAACACACACCACGATTCACAAAATATTGCCAGGTCCAAAATTATGAAGCCGATAGCACAATGTGGACTTCAAACCGGCTGTTGTTGTTCTTGTTATTATTAACCAGCAGCGTCCCCCCCACAGTGCAAAGGGGGCACATCCAAGACCTTCCTTACCCAGGGCCCCTTCGGTGCCTGGCTCAAAGATGTTGCTGGTGCCGCTCAGGCGCTGGATGAAGTCCGCGATGCTCTCGGTGCTGCCCTGCTGGGCGCTGAGCGACCCCATCATGGACGACAACACCCCTTGCACCACACTGGTGAAGAATTCGGGTGGCAGGGAGTCTGCCGAGGCGCCGCCACGGACGTTGCTGCTCCCGCCCCCCAAAGGTGGCTCCATGCCGCTCTGGGGAGCTGAGGGCGGGGGAGGAGGCGGTGGCGGGGAGGCCGCTGGCTGTGGGGGAGGCGGGGCCTGCTCCGGAGGGTGGGGAGGAGCCGCCCCCATCTGCGTCGCCTGCGGAGAGAAGGGGGGGGGAGTGAGGCCGGAAGGGTGCTGGGGAAAGGCATGCAAAGGCTTCCAGGCCAGCAGATACAGGGCAAAATGAAGGAAGGGCTGAGGCCAAAAGATGGCAGGTCTCTGGGTGACCCAAAGCACATCAAGCAAGGGCTTTGGATAAAGGTGAAGGGAAAGGGACCCCTGACCATTAGGTCCAGTCGTGACCGACTCTGGGGTTGCGGCACTCATCTCGCTTTATTGGCCGAGGGAGCCGGCGTATAGCTTCCGGGTCATGTGGCCAGCATGACTAAGCCGCTTCTGGCGAACCAGAGCAGCGCACGGAAACGCCATTTACCTTCCCGCTGGAGTGGTACCTATTTATCTACTTGCACTTTGATGTGCTTTCGAACTGCTAGGTTGACATGAGCAGGGACCGAGCAACGGGAGCTCACCCACTCGCGGGGATTCGAACCGCTGACCTTCTGATCGGCAAGCCCTAAGCTCTGTGGGTTAATCCACAGAGCCACCTGCATCCTGTGAAAACTGTTAAGTAGATCTAAAAGCAATAAAGCTTCTGAAGCAAATTTAAGAGCAGATGGAACAAAATCAGGTATCTAGATAACATCTTTTGAAACAGAAGTTTCCAGTGGACATCTTGAAGAGAACAGTGATGGCGCTGGCCTAATCTCGCTATGGCCGTTGAATGTCTCTGGAGTCTCCCAGTTTCTGCCATTTCCTCTTTCCGACACAATTTCCTGACTTGCATGTGTGCTGGCGGTTATGTGTTTCAATTTCTGTAGACTGCTTTGCTTTTGGTTCGCAGTGTCGTTTGGCTAACCAAACCAAACCAAAGGCTGTCCTGGGTGCTTTAGCTGAGATTCCTGCACTGCAATGGATTGGACTTAATGAACCTTGGGGTTCCTTCCAATTCTATGACTTTGCTCCCCTAAATTACACAGCTTAAATGGGCACCGGGGGTAACTTGGAGCAGATTTTCGTGCAGAAGGACGAGGTTGGCTCCGTTTAAAAATGCCACGCACTTTTATTGTGGTTGCGAATCGCTTCAAGGCTTTTTCTAGCGGGGTGCGATAATTGGATTCAACAGACAGAACCCAAAACCCAGTACAGTGGTACCTTGGGTTAAGAACTTAATTCGTTCCGGAGGTCCGTTCTTAACCTGAAACTGTTCTTAACCTGAAGCACCACTTTAGCTAATGGGGCCTCCCGCTGCCGCCGCACGATTTCTGTTCTCATCCTGAGGTAAAGTTCTTAACCCGAGGTACTATTTCTGGGTTAGTGGAGTCTGTAACCTGAAGCGTCTGTAACCCGAGGTAGCACTGTATCTCCTGAAAGGATGCTGGCAGACCCTTCCTCCCCTGAGAGGAAGGATGGAAGAGGGGCTGCCACCGCCCACCGCCCCCTGCTGAAACCGCCACTCCGGGGAATGAAGCGAGGCTGGAACCAAGCTTACCTGGAGGAAGTCTGTCATGCCTTGCAGGAAAGCCGGGACGCCAGGCATTGCCACGGTGATGGTGGGGGAACCCAGGCCGGCCACACCGGCCATGCTGGAGCCGGCTGCCCCCAGGATGTTCCCCAGCAGCTGAGAGAACTGGAGCTCCGCGGCGGCCGCCGTGGGGGGTTGGCCGGAGGGGATGGGCCCTCCCGGGGCACCGGCCGAGCTGCCCCCTGCAGCGGTGGTGGCGGTGTTGGTGGTGCCAGCGCTGGCCGAGGCTGTGGGAGGGGAGGCAGAATTGCTGGTGCTGAAGGTGGCTTGGGCGCTGACAGAGGAAGAGGTGGAGGAGGAGGAGGAGGAGGAGGACGAAGAAGAAGGTGAAGTCCCGCTGCCCTGAGCTAGGAAGGAAAAACGAAGAGGTCTGCTACGTCAGTGACCAGGCAAGGGCATGGGAGCATTTGAGAAAGAGGAAGACAGATCCATCACAAACTCCTGATTTTAAAAGTTTCCTTCTGGCTAGCTTGCACCACACACCAACCACAGCTGGAGTGCTGTATCTGTTTTCCAAAACAGGGTAGAGCGAAGCCAAACCCATGTGGGTAGGTCTACAGAGACCACACCATCTCACAGCAGAAACAGCCAGGATTCACGAGTGCCAATGCTGCTCTTATGCTACATAGGGCTTTCAGGAACAGAGAACAAGTAGGGAATGTCTACTCCTCTGGAGACAGAATGCAAAGCTATGCTTGGAAGTGCGTAGGAAACCTTGCCTAATCATGGAAACTAGAGGAGCTGAATAGGGCTTACAGGAACTGGAGGTGGGGCTCTCCCCATCAGATTTTTCTCCTACAGACACTGTTTTTTAATCAGTTTGTAAAAAAAAAAACAAGTGAGGCTTTGGAAAAGGCACTTGGGCAGAAGCCTGTGGGGAAAATAGCAAAACACTCATCCTTTCCAACACCCTTGAGATACAGTTCTCTTTTTTCCTCTCCTCCCAACTACCAGCAAAAACAGAATTATGGAAGTGTCTGAATTGCAGAATTCATACAGGTTGCAGAATTCAGCTTTTTTTGTTTCGGAATTTAAATTTTCATAGCCTGAACAACACATGGTCCTTGGCTATCACTCTTGGGTCTGAGATTTGCAATTACCAGCACATCTTGAAATCACTGTTTGCATGTATTTTTTTAAATGAATAGATGTATTTATTGTTGCCACCAATAAAAAGTCTGAAAGAGTTTGAAATCCTAATATAGGATTGCACAATGAAAACGAAATAGTGCTGTTCGCATGCAAACCTTCATTGGACAAAGTCAGCACCCTGCCCCCCCCTCTCTCTCTCATTCTCTCTGTGTCACACACAATCCCCTATGCCATTAACCATTCCAGAAGAAGAGTTATGTACTGATGAGGTCCAGCTCCCATTAAGTGATCACTGCAAGACGACCCACCCACGTTTCCATTCCAAACACGACGAAAACGTCACCCCACACTTCCCCTTCCCTCTGCCCCTTGCCACCTACCAACTATCACCGGCTGCATGAGGAGCTGCCCCACCAGCCCGCTGATCATCTGGGCCAAGGAAGCATTCCCTCCGAGGCCAGGGCCCTGCAAAAGAGAAAGAGATTCGGTAGAAGACGACCGGCGGGGAACAGCGATCCCCTCTCGGAAAAGATGCTCCCCTCCGCCCTAGTCCTCACCCCTTGTCCCGGTGCCTGGGGTGACCCAGGGTGTGTGGGCCGCACAGACGGAGCAGAGGGCCTGGCGATCACGACACGCGTCGGAGCCGACTGGAAACTGGGGACCTGCTGGCCTAGGGAACAGGAAAAGGCAGGTAGAAGTCCGTCCCGTTCAAAATCCGGGCCCTAGAGCCGCTGCCACTCAAGTGTACTCAATAAACACACAAGACGTAACCGGCTGTACTTTTGAATAAATAAGGTATAATATTCACTGTATCAAATTGTAGAATTCAACGGAAGTCTCTTAAGGTTCAACGAAAACAGCAGAAGACCCAGTGGATCAGTTCATGCATAAGATCCATACATGTATAAGTATCTATTCCACCTGTCTGTTCATAGAGTCCAATAATCCACAAGAAGGGTTGTTACAGTTCCACATATTAGCCACACTGGGAGCACATTTCGAGCCCATAGCTACACCTTGTACTTCGAACCAAACCTGAAGAAATTATTCCATAGAACTAAATCTAGAATCTCCATTAAAAAATGCACTGGTAGTAAAATGAAAATCAGATAGGTGGGACTTGGGGAAGCCCACTTAACAATGTTTAGCAAAACAAGGCTATGACAATCATTTGTATTGTTTGTTTTTCTGTTTGTGTACTTTATTTGTGTTATAAAATGAATAAAAAATTTTGGGGGGAAAATAAAAATAAAAAATGCACTGGTGGAGAAGACTGATTATGATCAACTAGCAATTCTTGGATTAGAGATTTTACTGTGTCCAAATGTACATTATTGTATAAAGACGACACGTCCCATGTAGCAATTACCGTATTTTTTGCTCTATAAGACTCACTTTTTCCCTCCTAAAAAGTGAGGGGGGATGTGTGTGCGTCTTATGGAGCGAATGCAGGCTGCACAGCTATCCCAGAAGCCAGAACAGCAAGAGGGATTGCTTCTTTCACCGCGCAGCGATCCCTCTTGCTGTTCTGGCTTCTGAGATTCATAATATTATTTTTTTTCTTGTTTTCCTCCTCCAAAAACTAGGTGCGCCTTGCGGTCCGGTGCGTCTTATAGAGAGAAAAATACGGTATGCTATGGCAGTGACATGTAAATTTTCGATGAGAGTCAAGTGTAGGCAACAAGGGCTTCGATGGGCCAGCGATCTGGTTCAGCCTAAGGCAGCTTCCTGCGTACTGACAACAACACGGAAGGGGAGGGAAAGAATCAACCGTTCCCACCCCCAAAACAGGATCCTCTGCTGTGTTTCAGCGCCCTCCTGTGCCGTTACCTGTTGCCGCTGATGCGGCCGCTGCCATGGCCTGCTGGGTGATCTGATGGGCGACAGCCTGCATAAACTCTGGCGGGAGGCTGGGGAGCGGCATGTGAGCAGTGCCACCTTGGGGGTGGGAGAGAACACAAAAAAAAACAGCCCACAGTCACCAACAGCCCACAGTCACGATGTGCAATCTCATACAAAGCCCTCTCTCTCCCCCCACCCCAGCCTCCGTTCTCCCTCCTTACCCATTCCTTGGGGGTGCCCAGGGGGTCCGGCGGGTCCTGTGGGTGGCACTCCGGCTGAGCCGCCCCCACCCATCGGGGAACCTGAGTCTTGAAGGATGAGAGAGGCGAGCAGAACTTAAAACGACAACAAGTGTCACAGACTCCCCCCGCCTCCTCCCAGAGAAACTGAACGGCGCAGGATCCCACATGCGAACCTATTCTATCTGTGTGTGTGTGGGGGGGGGGGGCTTTGTTAGGAGAGATCTGCGGCATCGCTCCCCCTCGAGTCCCCACTTTCTCTCTTCTTCTGCTCCCCCTTTTCTCCTGGGTTCTTTCCCTCCTTGCTACCTACGCAGAACTCAGCCAATCAGAGACCTCTGGGCCTAACCCCCCCCCCCAGGCCAGACCAGTACACTGCAAAGCCCTGGGCACCCTTCTACACCTGGGCACATTTTTACGTGCTTTTAATGTTTAATAGGTTAGTGTATTTTAATATTCTGTTGGAAGCCGCCCAGAGTGGCTGGGGAAACCCAGCCAGATGGGCGGGGTATAAATAGTAAATAATTATACAGTGGTGCCCCGCAAGACGAATGCCTCGCAAGACGGAAAACCCGCTAGACGAAAGGGTTTTCCGTTTTGGAGGCGCTTCGCAAAACGAATTTCCCTATGGGCTTCCTTCGCAAGACGAAAGCCCATAGGGAAATCTCCGGGACAGCGGGGAAGCGCAGCGCATCTGCCTGCCTTCCCGGGGGCTTTTAAATCGCCCCGGGACAGCGGAGAAGTCCTCCGCTGTCCCGGGGTTTTTTTAAAATGCTGGGGGTGGGAAGAAAAGCCCTTGTCCCCCCCCCCCAGCCTTCAGAAGAGGTCGGGGGACAGACTGTCCCCGGACCTGGTCTGAAGTCGGTTTCCATAGGAACGCATTGATTGATTTTCCATGCATTCCTATGGGAAACCGTGCTTCGCAAGACGAAAAACTCGCAAGAAGAAAAAACTTGCGGAACGAATTAATTTCGTCTTGCGAGGCACCACTGTATTATTATTATTATTATTATTATTATTATTATTATTATTACAAATGACCTGATAAGCCAATGCCAGAAAGGAGCCAGCATACCCCAGAAAAAGAAAGGCTCTTTGCCCTCCCCCCTTCTCCAGGGCCCCACAATCCATCTCTCTCCCCCCCTTTCGGCTCCCCAAGAAGGAACCTGGCCAGCCCTTACCCTGAATGTTCATGTGCATCATGACCACCGGCTCGACCGTCTGGTGAGAGATGCGGATCACGCGGGGGTGGCCTGTCTGGGAGGCCTGAGTCTGAGTCGGGGTGACCACCGGGGAAGACGAAGGGGGCGGCCCTTCGGGTGGCTGCCCGGCCTCGACGGGGCTGGAAGTGCGGGGCTGGGCGGCGGGGGCAGCCGGGGAAGCAGCGGAGCCTTCTGAGCCGGCCGGGGCCCCCCGAGCGCCGTTGCCTGTCATGGTGACTGTGGTTCCAACGTTGATCTGGAAGAGAGAGTGAGAGAGCAGGCTGCAGGCGCCGCTGCTCCTTTCTGCTCTCCCTCGCTGAGCTGGCAGCCAGCCTGCAATCGATGCCTCAAGCAGGGAAGGCAAAAGCGCCACCAACCACCCATCCACAAGCAGGGGGCACTCACCTGGATGGGAATGGCGGCCTGCTGCAGCACCATGGGGCTGTGTAGTGGGACATGGGCCGCACCACATGGAGGTGGCGGGGGGCGCTGCAGGAGAGGTTGCAGCGCAGGTCGGAGAGCGCCACAAAGGTGTTCCCCAGGAGGCGCAGAGACTCCCCCACCAGGTTGATGATGCGCTGGTCCTCTTCGCGGCCCTCCGTCTGCCAAAGGCAAAAGGAAGTAGAAAGACAGTGAGCGGCCACAGGCTTCGGATTCCAGCAGGAGTCTCTGCCAACCCCATCCACACCCAGGCCAAATCCCACCTCCCAGCTGAAACCTACAAAGGGCAGGACAGGAACCCCTTGTAATATAATAGGCTAGAAGGAAAACTGGAAGTGAGGCAGGTAGAGGCTCACAAGGAACAGAGCTCAGCTTTCGAGAAGGGCACCTTAAAAACGACCAGGACGGTGGCCTGGTAAAGGGGGTGCAAGGACCTAACTCTGCTGAAGCAAACCAGGTGCGAAACTGGCTGGTTCTCTAATTGGAAACCCCATGCAAGAACGGTCACCAGTGGGGCTGGGTGGCCCCCTTCTTGGAACAGTGGCGGAAAGCCCCAGGCACTCTGATGGAGTGAAGCTGGCTTGCTGTATTCTTCACTTCTGAGATCTACACAGCAAGGCACAGCGCAGCACGCCAAGCTAGCCGCCTCCCCCACTACTTGCTTCCCTTCCCAACAAACAAGGCTGTCCCAGAAACATATGAAAGATAATCGTCCATTGTCTCAACCACCGGGATAGGAGACGAGCGGACCCAACACTCGCCAAAATTCAGCCCCAGAACTTCCTGCGGGTCCAGCCCAGAAACATACAAAACGCCCTAACATTTCTCAACAAGCCTCCACCGGTCAGGATTTGGAAGACAAGCAGCTCCCAAACACAGATTTGAGTCCCAGCATTTGTCATATGAGTAACACACTGCATAGAAAAGAAAGTGTTGGGTGTGGGGGACATACCCAACCCCCCACGTGAAAACAGAACAAGACTCCAATCACTGCTCCCTGGTCTGGGATGACACGACGCACACCTCCGAGTTTGCCCTTACGTTATTGTTGTAGTCTGCGGTGCTGGCCGTTCCAAGGATCTCCTCATATCTCTGGAGGAAGGGCTGGAGCCTGCTCTCCACCCCGCGGAGCTCCCCTAAGACCTCCACGTACTCGCCTGGGGACGGGTGGCTGTGGGGAAGAGAGAAAAGGTGCTCAGATGATGCTCCGGCCTCCTCAATGGTGATCATCTGGCAGAAGCAACAAGGCCTCCCTTCTGAGCTCACCCATCTACTCCACTCCACCCTCCCCTTTGTGACCCTTTTGCACAGCCACCCTCCTGTTTCGGCGACCCCTCCACCACGCAGCAGCAGCTCCCCCCTTTGAATGCCAGGCCACAGAAGCCAGCCGGGACCCCATTCGCCCTCCCTGCCCTGTATGCCAGCTGCTCACTTGGGCGCAGCAGCCTCAGCGGTAGGGGGCGGCTCGGCCCCCGATGGGGGCGTCTCCTCAGCTGGTGTGGGCTCACTGGGAGGCTCAGACTCAGCTCCCTCCATGGGCTCCCGTTCGGTGGGGCTGGCAGATGCCGTCTCCTCGGGTCCCGATGCAACTTGGCCATTGGTGCGGCCCTAAGAAAAGGAGGAGCACGTGAGGAAAATGTATTCCTTTACGCAACAGCAGCGGCCAGAATATTGATCGCAAAGAATTGGAAGGGGGAGAAAATACTATCATTATTAGAATGGCAAAGCTAGCTCTGTGAGTTTGTGGAAATGGCAAAACTGACGGCAATCGTTAAGAGGCCATTCAAATCAGAGAATACCGTATTTTTCGCACTATAGGACGCACTTTTTCCCCTCCAAAAATGAAGGGGAAATGTGTGTGCGTCCTATGGTGCGAATGCAGGCTTTTGCTGAAGCCTGGAGAGCGAGAGTGGTCCGTGCGCACCGACCCCTCTCGCTCTCCAGGCTTCAGGAAGCTATCCCAAGTCTTGCAAGCCCGGCGGGATGTCCCGCGGGCTCGCAAGGCTTGCGGGCAGCAGCCTGCACCCAAAAGCTGGGGACAGCGGGGAGGCGCAGAGCCGCCACCCCGCTATTCCCCGACCTGATCTGGAGGCTGGCGGGGGGAGAAGCAAGCCTGCTTCTCCCCCCCCCCAGCCCCACAAGCTCGGGGGATAGGGGGATGGCAAAGCGCCGCCATCCCGCTATTCCCCGACCTGATCTGGAGGCTGGGGGTGGGAGAAGCAAGCCTGCTTCTCCCCCCCACCATCCCCACAACCTCCAGATCAGGTCGGGGAATAGCGGGATGGCGGCGCTCCGCCATCCCGCTATTCCCCGACCTGATCTGGAGGCTGGGGGTGGGAGGAGCAAGCCTGCTTCTCCCCCCCCCCAGCCCCACAACCTCCAGATCAGGTCGGGGAATAGCGGGATGGCGGCGCTCCGCCATCCCGCTATTCCCCGACCTGAACTGGAGGCTGGGGGTGGGGAGAAGCAAGCCTGGCTTCTCCCCCCCCCCAGCCCCACAACCTCCAGATCAGGTCGGGAAATAGCGGGATGGCGGCGCTCCGCCATCCCGCTATTCCCCGACCTGATCTGGAGGCTGGGGGTGGGAGAAGCAAGCCTGCTTCTCCCCCCCCCCAGCCCAACAACCTCAGATCAGGTCGTGGAATAGCGGGATGGCGGCGCTCCGCCATCCCGCTATTCCCCGACCTGATCTGGAGGCTGGGGGGGGAGAAGCAAGCCTGCTTCTCCCCCCCAGCCCCACAACCTCCAGATCAGGTCGGGAATAGCGGGATGGCGGCGCTCCGCCATCCCGCTATTCCCCGACCTGATCTGGAGGCTGGGGGTGGGAGAAGCAAGCCTGCTTCTCCCCCCCCCAGCCCCACAACCTCCAGATCAGGTCGGGGAAATAGCGGGATGGCGGCGCTCCGCCATTCCCGCTATTCCCCGATCTGATCTGGAGGCTGGGGGTGGGAGAAGCAGGCCTGCTTCTCCCCCCCCCAGCCCCACAACCTCCAGATCAGGTCGTGGGATAGCGGGATGGCGGCGCTCCGCCATCCCGCTATTCCCCGACCTGAACTGGAGGCCTGGGGGCGGGAGAAGCAAGCCTGCTTCTCCCCCCCCCCAGCCCCACAACCTCTCAGATCAGGTCGTGGAATAGCGGGATGGCGGTGCTCCGCCATCCCGCTATTCCCCGACCTGATCTGGAGGCTGGGGTGGGAGAAGCAAGCCTGCTTCTCCCCCCACCAGCCCCACAACCTCCAGGCTTCAGGAGAGCCCCACCGCCAGCCCCACAAGCTTGGGGGACAGCGGGAGAGGCGCAGCGCGCCCTTCCCGCTGTCCCCCGACTTGGCTAGAAGGCTGGCGGGGGGAGAAGCCTGCTCCTCCCCGTCGCCAGCCCCGCAAACTCGGGGGACAGCGGGAGAGGCGCAGCGCGCCATCCCGCTGTCTCCCGACATGGTTTGGAGGCTGGCGGAAGGCTTCCTCCTCCCCCAGCCCCGCAAGCTCCCAGAGCGATGCCAAAGCTGCGCGCAGCTTCGGCATGGCTCTGGGTCCCGTTCTGGGGGAGGGGGAAGCTCGGGCTTCCCCGCCCCAGCCCCGCGCCTGGCGGGGGGGGGAATAATTTTTTTTTGCCTTTATTTCCCCCCCCAAATCTAGGTGCGTCCTATGGACCGGTGCGTCCAATAGTCCGAAAAATACGGTAATTAAAGAGTGGGATGGAGTGAAGGAATACATGAAAAAATATGGTTCCAGAACTGGAATGTTAATAGATAATGTGTAAAACGTGCAGGGGTAAGCAAGGAAATAATAAAAGAATCAACTGAATAATTATTAAACTACAACAACACAACAAGATGGAAGAAATGAAAAGAAATACTGAGATCACGCATGGGTGAAGGGGAGTGGGGGGTATAGGAGAACTTATAAACATTTCTAATATAATATTTCTAATTATGCTGCATTTCTAATTTACGTTGCAAAGGGAAGTCTATAGCAATTAGGTATATTTTAATCTAGTCAACTATGTAATAGGCTTATGTTACAAAACAAATATGGATTTTGAATTTGATGTTTGTAATTCTTTTTTGGTTTTGGAATAAGGTTAAAAAAAAGAAAAGAAAAGGAGGAGCACGTGGCGGATGAAGCCCAGAAGGAGGTGTCCCTGCCCCACTTCTAAGTTGTTGTTGCTATTATTATTATTAATTCAATTTACATACCGCCCTTTGTCAAAAGATCCCAGGGAGGTGTACATTAAAAACACATTACAGAGCACAATAATAAAAACATAACAGATAATCTACTTATTTTATTATTATTATTATTATCTTAACAACTGCCTCTCCCTCAAGCTTTAACAGGCCATTGATATATTCCTGTCTGCATACACCCCCTCCCCCCCAAAAAAGTTTCAAAGGCCGGCTCACCTCTAGTCGGTTCAGAATGCCCTGGACGTCCCGAAGCATATGCTGGGCCATAACAAGGCGGACTCGAGGCTCGCTCTGGAACGAGAGGAGAGGAGAGGGACCCCAATCAAACAAAGGGGCTCACCTTGCCAGAGTCCCTTTTCCCCACTTCTCTGAATCAGAAGCATCATCCCCCTCCAGCCCCCTTACAGAGCTCATGCCGTAAAGGAAAATGGGCTCATTTAAGACCAAATTGCCATGCCCCTCCTATTCCATCTTCTGCTCAAAGCAAAAAAAAAGGGGGGGTGAACTCAGAGGGCCAGACCAAAACAGGGTTCAAGAGCCAGAATGTATGTAGTCCACCACCAGTAGTCAGATTGGATTCACCCAACCTACGCCCTGTTTTCCCCAAACTGCCACCCTCCTGAACCTCAGAGATCCCCTTCATAGAACAGAGAGAGAGGCGTCTTATGACAGGCCCCAACCAAGCCCAATATTGCCTAGCCCTAGCCTGCCCAGAAGTAAATCTCCTTGGTGTCACAGCAAGAAGGTCTTGCACATTATCTGCTTCCCGGGCCTTGTAACTCAGGGATGGGGAACTTCTGGCCCTCCAGTGTTACTGGACCACAACTCCTCTCACCCCTGACCATTGGGCAGGCTGGTTGGGGCTAATGGAACTGGGGTTCAAGAACACCTGGAAGGCTACCAGCTTCCCAGCTCTGTTCTAACACGTGATGCCATGAAACTGGAAAGTTCTGCGTGCCAAGGAGATGCTCTACCAGTCAGCTGCAGCCCATTCCCGTGCCAGCAACTGCCAAGTCTAACTTCAGGGATAGGCAACGCTGCTAGCAATCTCGTGGGAAGTTGGAGGGCCAGCGATTTCTCAGTTGTGATGCTGACCCTTTGAAATCCTTCCCCTAGAGACATCTAACCGGCTCCTCCTTCTGATAAGCCTTTAGGAAGCACATGAATGAGCTTTATCTTCTTTTCTTGCAACAGGCGCCTGAAATGTGATTTCTTCAACACGGAAGCAATTCATGACCGTTCATGCTTTACTTCTTTTTGTTGCAGTTTTAACTTCATGGTCCGAACGACAGCGACAGGCACAAAGTAGTTTCCGTAGCATTATGCAGATTTTAGGCACGGGTTGTTGTTGTTGTTTTGGTAACAGCAATATTTAAAGACTTAGAACGCCCTCGGAAGTTCATTTTGGGATTCTCCTGGGAGTCACCACAAACGGGCTGCCAAGAACACCGAACCCACAGATTCGGGACACAACATCCTTTGGATGTGCTGCCAGTGGAAGCGTCTAGCGAAAACGGATGGTGGGAGCCAGGCAGCTGAACGGCCTTCACACAGGAAAATATCCCTGATAGAGGAAGCTCCAGCCTGTCTCATGACTAGTGAAGTAAGAACCACAGATTTCAAACATGAATTTAGCAAGAGTCATGCTCACTAGGGAACCAGCTCTGAAGTCCTGCTGGGCTCTTGTGAGGTGACATCCTCTGTTCATAAAAATTCTGGTATCTAAGGATAAGCCCCAGACCATGTCCAGAGTTCCAATGTTTCAATGAGGAGGAAGTTTAGAACAAAGTGCCCCCAGCAAAGCCTATCCTTTATTGTTGTTGTTGTTGTTTAGTTGTTTAGTCGTGTCCGACTCTTCGTGACCCCATGGACCAGAGCACGCCAGGCACCTCTGTCCTCCACTACTTCCCGCAGTTTGGTCAAACTCATGCTGGTAACCTCGAAAACACTATCCAACCATCTCGTCCTCTGTCGCCCCCTTCTCCTTGTGCCCTCCATCTTTCCCAGCATCAGTGTCTTCTCCAGGGAGTCTTCTCTTCTCATGAGGTGGCCAAAGTACTGGAGCCTCAGCTTCAGGATCTGTCCTTCCAGTGAGCACTCAGGGCTGATTTCCTTAAGAATGGATGCATTTGATCTTCTTGCAGTCCATGGGACTCTCAAGAGTCTTCTCCAGCACCATAATTCAAAAGCATCAATTCTTCGGCGATCAGCCTTCTTTATGGTCCAGCTCTCACTTCCATACATCACTACTGGGAAAACCATGGCTTTAACTATACGGACCTTTGTTGGCAAGGTGACGTCTCTACTTTTCAAGATGCTGTCTAGGCCTGTCATTGCCCTTCTCCCAAGAATCCTTTATTAAGGTAATGCTACATTCCTTGTTCAAAGCCTGGGCTGCTTCCTGGCACCTTTGCCCTCAGCCTAGCCACCTAGGGCGGCAATGTCTGGATCTATAGGCAGCTTGCCACTTACACAACGGCAGTCTTGAAATCATAATATTTGGCTACGGTGAAAAAGAGGCTGGCTGTCAACTGACCAGGTCACAGCTGCATCGCACCAACAGTCAAAGCGTGAACCCAAATAACAATTTAGGACGCCCCCAAATTTTGGGAAGGCGCCCATATTAGTTATAAAAAAGGACAAATCAATTTACATCACCATGGAAAAATTACATTTCATGGAAAATTAAACACACACACACCCGAAATCAAACATCACCAAGATGCTACTGAAATAAATCATTGTTCCTACGCAAACACACACGTGCGCGCACACACCCCCGACAGAATATGTACAACCTTAAGTCAGGAAGTCCCCGTCTTCCCACCCCCCTTGTACCTGTATGGGAGCCTGGTCCATATTTATATGAACATCCACAGACGATCCATCGCTCTTTGGGAAGCGGGGTTGGGGGGAGAGAAAAGGAAGAGACAGAGGGGGAGGAAATTAAAGAAACAAACAAAAAATATAGGGGGGGGAGAGGATGGAAGAGAAGAGAGAAATAACAAAATGGAGCAGAAAGAAAGGCAAGGAAATCCAGGAGAAAACAATACCGCCATCAAACCACGGCTTCCCCCCCAGCCCTCAGGGTCTCTTCTGACATTACGCAGCACTTGAAAGATACTGCCCCATAGTGCTGGCTGCACCGAGACTGGAGTCTGATTTTTCACGAGACAAGCTTGGTCAAGACACACTGCTAAACCATATTCAAACATTACTTCCAAGCCTCCATGTGCTAAAATTAGTGCTCAGCCCCGGCAATCCAGATTCTGCACCACAGAAGGCAGGCACTGGAAATTGTGACTTTCTTTGCTGGTCACAGGAACCAGCACTGAGGTCTGGAGAACACCAACCAAACCCTGCCTGCAAACTGACCATCTGATTCCGCTGCCCCTTGGCTTCTCAGAGTTCACCAGGCGCTTTTAAGCTTAACTGTCACAGGCCTAAGTGCTAGAAATGTGTGTTTTGTTAAGAAGGAAACTGGGATTCTCAGGGAGCTGAACCTGGGGGCAAAAGCACATGTTCTGCAATCTCTGGGCTCTTGTGAGTTCACAGGTTATGCAAGCTGCAGCGTTATCCCAAGCTGCACAAAGACAGTCAGAGGGAAACAGATGCAAACCTGACCAAAACTGGTTCATCCCTATACGTGTGTTTGTGTGCATGTTCTGAAAGGCAGGCAGGCATGTGCTTGGGCTGCAATCCAGTGCACACTTACCTGGAAGTAAGCCTCAAAGGGGAGTGTTTCTGAAGCTTAGGACCATGCTGTGAGGCACCGATCCAAGTTATAAATCATTTTGAAAGACCTCATTTGCCAGCCGGCCAGCACACCACCGTTTGAAGTGCACTAACAAGCACGCGTAATTTCAGAAGTGGCCCTTCCCTTGCTTCCTGGGCGTCCACTGTACTGTCATCATTGGCCAAAACCACCACCCTCTCTGCGTCCCCTGCAAGTCTGGCTGAGGTCATGCATGCTGCCCACACAAGCCAACAAGTCAGCTGTTGTGAGAATACAATGAAAGGTGCAAAGCCAGATAGGGATTTGTCCCCGATGAGACCCTGTAGAGACGTATAGGTAAGGTCGCCGCTTCTCGTTCCGAATACCAGGCCTTTAGAGGTCTCTCCCAAGCAGCAGGAGAAAATGTTGCCATGGCTACTCTAAGCGGTTCCCCTGCTGATCCTGTCCCTTGCCCCCTCCCTCCTCAGCTGTTTGCAAAAGGGCAAGAGGACCAGGCAGAAGGATGCATTCATTCCCTCCTGTTGCATCACAAAGTGTCTGGGGTTAAGAAAGACAGTTCAGGTACAGCACAGCGCCCTCTGCCACTGACTGCATGCAAGAGCACCCAGCTACTAAGCCCCCACCACCGTGTTTGCCCCCCTCTCCACGTAGCGTTAACACCAGCAAATTCCTCCCCTTTTTATTGTGGGGGGGGGGGAGAAGCACTAAAAGCATTATGGGGAGGCACAACACTCCCCCTTCCCCTGCAATGCAGCACCCTCTGGCTAAAACTCACTTGCGTGGGTGGCTGCGGGTCCATAATGCTTACTGGTAAGTTGAAGGTTCCCACCATGACGTAGCTGTTGGCATTGCGGTCGTGCACAGTTGGGCCCGTCACCCGGGGGCCTGCTCCGTTGTGAGGGACGGAGGACGAGCCGGCTCCAGAAGGGCCCCCCAAGGAGGGCGACTGGGTCTGAGGAGGCGCACGCTCCACCAGGTGGATGACTTTGCCCCCAACATCTGGCACGGAAGAGGGGACAAGCGTGAAGGTTTCGTCACAAGGGCAACCGCCTTTTATCCTCCCGGCAACCTTCCAAAGTTGAGGAGTCAGAGAGCGGGTCTTGGGTTTCAAAAAGGGTATCAGCATGGGCCTTCGACTGGCATACTGACGCTCTTTGAGAAGCAGCTCTCTTCAGGGGTAAAGATGCACATCGCGGGGAAATGTACATAGGAAAAGCTCAGAAAGTTCCCTTTTTTAAATGTAAAGAACTTTCGCTGGGTGTATTTTAAGCAGAGAAGTGGCAGAGAGGGTGCCTAACCCTCTCTTCCGCCAGTCATTTTCTGCTTGTCATTATCTACTCTCAGACTGTTCTGCCCTCATCCAGGGCATCCATTTCAGATGCGTGTTTATGAAGATAAAAACATGCATGGAAACCTGCTAGGCAAAACAACAAAGCACGGGAGGAGGTATTGAGAGGGAAAACACCTAAGCACCTCCTTCCCTGTTTAAAAATTGCAGCCTCCTCAGGCAATTTTACATGTGTTTCTTTTTAAATTTTGGGGCTCGGTTGCGCAGTGTGATTAACAGTAGCACATATTAGGTCAGCCAGCAATTATGAGAGCCCTCAGAAGTAATTATGAAACAAGGAAATTATACAATGTTCCTATTCAATGCTGAGCTTGCTCAAGGGCCTTTTCTGGGGAGGAACGGCAGGAGCCAGCACTTTTCAGTGCCCCTCACAACTTAACATTTTATCCATGCCCCCCTCCCCGCCCCAGGCAAGAACTCCTCAGGCCCTCCCCCGTCAACCCCCCACTGGAATTTCCACTCACTGTATTCTTTCAACTTCTTGTCATCCTGAAGGACTCTCCCTTGATAGATGAGGCGCTGCTTTTCCGAGGGGATACTGACTGAACCTGCAATGTGCTCCTTAAACTCCTTCACGGTGATCTACAAAGCAGAAACAACTGCACTGAGAAGACGTAGCAGGGCAACCCTCTACCCCCGTTGCTCATCAGTCCTAGGCCTCTGCTCCATGTCAGTATTAGTCAAATAAATAACAAACCCTCCAGAGAATATACAACTTCTGTACAGCACTAGCACACTGTTGCTACATGAGTGGCGGAAAAAACCCCTATTCAATTACCGTATTTTTCGCCCTATAGGACGCACTTTTTCCCCTCCAAAAATGAAGGGGAAATGTGTGTGCGTCCTATGGGGCGAATGCAGGCTTTCGCTGAAGCCTGGAGAGCGAGGGGCATCGGTGCGCACCAACCCCTCTCGCTCTCCAGGCTTCAGGAAGCTATCCGCAAGCCTTGCGAGCCCGGGGGAGTTCCCGCGGGCTCGCAAGGCTTGCGGGCAGCAGCCTGCAGCCCGGAGCACGGGGCGCCCTCCGGAGGACGCCCCGTGCTTCGGGAAGGTGTCTGCAAGCCTCCCGCGCCCGGCGGGAGGTCCTGCCGGGCGCGCGAGGCTTGGGGCGGCAGCCTGCATCCCGAAGCACGGGGCGCCCTCCAGAGGACGCCCCGTGCTTTGGGAAGGTGTCTGCAAGCCTCCCGCGCCCGACGGGAGGTCCCGTCTGGCGCGCGAGGCTTGGGGCGGCAGCCTGCATTCCGAAGCATGGGGCGCCCTCCGGAGGACACCCCGTGCTTTGGGAAGGTGTCTGCAAGCCTCCCGCGCCCGACGGGAGGTCCCGCGGGGCTTGCAAGGCTTGCAGGCAGCAGCCTGTTCTGGGGGCTTGGGTCGGGGGAAGCTCGGGCTTCCCCCGCGCCAGCCCCACGCCTGGGAGGGAAATAAAAAAATTTTCTTTTTTTTCTTCTTTATTTCCCCCCCCCAAAAAAAAACTAGGTGCGTCTTATGGGGCGCAAAATACGGTACCCTAAATGATCCAACGCCATACCAGTAGAGTTCCACAGGAGCAACAGGACTTGTGCTCATTCTCCCCTATATGCACACACACCCCAAATCTGCTGCAGAGGATACCCCGGTTCCCCACAGCTGATTATGAAGATGTGTGAGGGGCTGGAGGAGACAGCAGAAGAACTTCTGCTGTGCTCATGGAAACCAGTTGCACCAGCAGTGCTGTGGCATTGGATAGGGCCCTGTCACAGGATAAAAACTACTGGAACTGAGCTTGAGATGGGCATTTTGGAAAGGAAGAATGCAATGTGAAATGGGTCGCTAAAAATTAATCAAAAAGTTTGATGCCATCGCTTGTGGGTTGAATTGAGACAGGATTTTTCACGACACTGCATGTGTGACAACAGCTGGACAATGCCAGACTATCTACATCCCTCTTTTTAATTTTCCAGAGGCCTCCTGGCTAGTGTTTTCCTACCTACCAGCCCCTGCCATCTGGGTCAGCAACTGGGCCTAGGGATCCTTAGTTGTTCCTCCAAGGCATGAGCCCTCCAGACCCCACCACCCAGTAGATACAAATGTCCTGCCACAGTTACACCAGAGCACCTTAATACAGTGGTACCTCAGGTTAAGAACTTAATTCATTCTGGAGGTCCGTTCTCAACCTGATTCCAAATCGATGACTTTGCTCCCCTAGATGACACAGCTTAAATGGGCGTCGGGGGTAACTTCGAGCAGATTTTCGTGCAGAAGGACTGAGTTTGCCTCCGTTTCAAAATGCCACGCACTTTTATTGTGATTGCGAATCGTTTCAAGGCTTTTTCTAGCGGGGAGCAAGCGATATATGGATTCAACAAACAGAACCCAAAACCTAGTACAATGATACCTCGGGTTAAGAACTTAATTCGTTCTGGAGGTCCTGAAACTGTTCTTAACCTGAGGTACCACTTTAGCTAATGGGGCCTCCTGCTGCCACCGCGCCATTTCTGTTCTCATCCTGAAGCAAAGTTCTTAACCCGAGGTACAATTTCTGGGTTAGTGGAGTCTGTAACCTGAAGCGTCTGTAACAAGAGGTGCCACTGTAGTTACCCCTCACTACCCTCCCACCTTCTGGCTGCAACCCCGGCTAAGGCCTTCTCACCTCTTCTTCCACTGTGAAAGTCCTTGTCTGAGAGTCCAAGGTTTTAACCATCACCTCAAGGTTCTCTGGTTCCGCCATGACGCCGCCTCAAATTCTTCCTTAGCTACTCCTGCAAGAAGGGGAAACATATCAATCTGATTCTTGGCCACTGTAACCAAAGAAGTACAATTGTGAAGGCATCAGAAACAAAATAGACTTAGGAAGGGGTGGCTTTCCCGAATAGATCTTCAGCTGTTGGGTGTTTTTTTTAAAAGGCAATATACAAAAATATCCACAAAGAACAATGCTGGCTATATAACATTAAAGAGTACAGCTTTAAGTATGTATAATAGTCAGTTTATATGTAAAAAAGGAAGATAAAGTGATTTCACATTGTAAGACAATGTAAATAAAAGAAGCAATAAAAATACGATTAAAAATCTCTCAGCATCTAGCAGTGTATTACAACTGCTACAACCATTAAGTGGTCCATCAAGACCCTCAGCAATTTTAAAGTGGTCCATGGGGTAGGGAGTCTGAGAACCAAGGGACCAATGTCATTTTGTCACATATACAGTGGTACCTCGGGTTAAGTACTTAATTTGTTTCGGAGGTCCATTCTTAACCTGAAACTGTTCTTAACCTGAAGCACCACTTTAGCTAATGGGGCCTCCTGCTGCCACCGCGCCGCCGGAGCACGATTTCTGTTCTCATCTTGAAGCAAAGTTCTTAACCTGAGGTAATATTTCTGGGTTAGTGGAGTCGGTAACCTGAAGCGTATGTAACCCAAGGTACCACTGTATAGCATACCCTTAACTGGCAGACAGCAAGAAGTAGAGCCTCTAGCATTTCTAAGCAAAGCTCTGCTTGCTCTACTTTGTGCTACATTTGAACTTTGCACACACATACAAAATGTCAGACCAAATACTTTTGGCTGTACACCCACGTATGCATATCTCCCTTTCCAAGGATAACCCTTCATGGCTCTGATTAGCTGGGCTCTAGTCCGCAAATGTTTATACCACAAGGAATCTGTATGTTCTGTTGTCTTTCCCCTTCCTTTTGTGACACCGCTCACCCCTACTGGCTTACTTATTACTGATACATATGTCTTGACCGGCTTAACAAAAGGTACGTGCACTCTGCGTTCTAAGTATTTTGTTCCCATGTCTACCAAAACATGATCATCACTTGCATTCTCTGCAACAATGGCACGTGGAACGACATACAAAGTATAAAGTGCAAAATTCCAAGCTGGACAAGCATTAACCACTCTCAGGTTTTATTGCAGGCTTCCTCGACCTCGGCCCTCCAGATGTTTTGGGACTACAACTCCCATGATCCCCAACTAGCAGGACCAGTGGTCAGGGATGATGAGAATTGTAGTCTCAAAACATCTGGAGGGCCGAGGTTGAAGAAGCCTGTTTTACTGCATGCCTTGGGACTGAAAAGGAAGAAATGTCCCTCAAAAGTTGCAGTGTGTTTCTAACCCTCCTGCGCTAGGTTCCACTGTGTTAACATGTACAAGACTGTGCTGAAAGTACATCTCTCTTCTTCAGGAGGCAGTGGGTACAACTAACACCTGTACAGTGGTACCTCAGGTTAAGTACTTAATTCGTTCCGGAGGTCCGTACTTAACCTGAAACTGTTCTTAACCTGAAGCACCACTTTAGCTAATGGGGCCTCCTGCTGCAGTTGCGCCGCCGGAGCACAATTTCTGTTCTCATCCGGAAGCAAAGTTCTTAATCTGAAGCACTATTTCTGGGTTAGCAGAGTCTGTAACCTGATGCGTATGTAAACTGAAGCATATGTAACCCAAGGTACCACTGTACAAGCTTTACAGGAGTCCACAATGCTACCAACCCACCAGTCCACATATGAGTATGTTAGACATTTGTGACCTAAAAGAAAGAACACATCAATTTGGTTCCTTCTCTGGTGACCTAGAAGAAATTCTAATTTTTTACGTGTTTATAAAATTTCTATACCATCTTTCATCCAAAGAAACAAGAAATGTTATGAATTCCTATGAGGAAGCGTAAGAAACCCATTGACCACGGGGGGGGGGGGCAGCAAATGAAGACTGCAACTAAGAAGAAGAAGAAGAAGAGTTTGGATTTGATATCCCGCTTTATCACTACCCTAAGAAGTCTCAAAGCGGCTAACAATCTCCTTTCCCTTCCTCCCCCACAACAAACACTCTGTGAGGTGAGTGGGGCTGAGAGACTTCAGAGAAGTGTGACTGGCCCAAGGTCACCCAGCAGCTGCATGTGGAGGAGTGGAGACGCGAACCTGGTTCACCAGATTACGAGTCTACAGCTCTTAACCACTGCACCACACTGGCTCTCTAAGCACATTCATTTGGAAGTACATTGAAATCAATGGCCTTACTGCTGTATAAGCATGACTAGGATTGGGGGTGGTTCAGCCTTGATTCTGCCTAACATGGTGCTAACTTTGGGTTTCCAAAGACTGATAATGTTTCCCACTCAGACTCCTTTAGCCTTTCGCTTTCCTTTCTGTACCATTTACATAGCATTTCACGAGCAACAATCCCTCTTCCAGGAAGGATTAGGTTCAAATCCCTGCTCAGCCATGAAGATCACAGTATTATGTGCATAGCCTTATGTGCACCTAAGATAAATATTTTAGGACCAACCCTATTCTCATGATTGTAATCTGTATTAACTGTTTTCATGTACTTTTAAATTGGGACCTCGTGGTAAAAGGCAGGCAATAAATCAAATAATAATAATAGTGCAAGTCACAGTCTCTTAACTTATCCTGAGATCCTGGAAAGAGAGCTTTGACCTTTCCTCACTTCATCTCTACCTCCCTGAGCTGTTTTATTTATCAGACTTATGCATATTCTATCATGTGGACTCAGAGCATGTTACAGCAAGCTTTCCAAGAGAGATGTTTTTGTTGTCAACAATCTCACAATCTAAGTAATTAGGGTTAAAGATAAGTAACATGCATTAAAAACAGCATTTTATAAACAAGTAGAAGTTCAATTTAGGAACTTAATTTTATCCAACGCCCCCAACCAGAGATGGATAACAAAACTGCTAACTGTCCTCCAGGGTACAAAACAGAAATTGGCAAGTCTCTCCTACAACTTGAACACGGCTAGCCGCTATTTTATTTATTTAAGCATTTTCATCCATCTCCCAAAGAAGCTTACAAAGCATTGGGTACTTGCTCACCCATATATGCCTACCTTCAACTTTTATTTGCTTTCAGGCTCATGAAACCTGGCAGTCTTTGCTCCTAAAAGTTACAGAGTTCTTGTAGCTACTAGATGGGGAGCCAAACCCAAACTAGTCACCTTCTTTCAAAAGGTGCTGGGCTGTGGCACGTACAAGGCAATTTACAAAGGGAACCTAGAACGTCACCAGCTGATACCACAGTTAGCAAAGGAAAGAAAGAGCAGAGCATGTGATCCAGCCATTTACTGTACAAGGAAAACCTCACAGCAGCAGAACCCCTCCCCGCCATCCCTTGCTTACATACACCAGCACAATAAGCTAAAAGAGATGTCAGATCTCAGGGCTTGACCTGAAGTTTCTTGGCCGGCTTTCTCAGAGGATTGTGTGACGTCGCAGAGAAAGGAGCCTGGTTCAAGAAACCAGGCTGATTTCTACCTGGCTTGAGTGCCTTTTCTCCATTAGCTTGCGATGGAACCTACATCAACGGAGTCTATCCTCCCAAAACTATCCCTTGCTTCATCTCACAGCCCCAAGGATCCAAACACATGCAGGTCGCAGGATCTGGTCCTCAGGAGACCTGGCAACTATGTATCCTCGTGCCACCACCCAGAGCTTGCCAGCCATAGGAAGCAGAAACATCCTCCCTTCTTTTTCTTTTTCCTCCTCCTCCTCCTCGCCCCCCTATTATATATACACGCGCTGAACCACAGATTTATTTTTCAAACCTGCCCTCCGTCCTTTCCGATTCACGTCCGAGAGGGAGCCAATTCCAGCACAAAAATCCTACTTCCGCTCAAATGCAAGGACACTTCCGGTCAAACAAACGACCGTCCAGAAGTCGAGCCACTGACGCACCATAGAGATAGGAATGGGGGAAGGAATGAAGAGGAGACCCCCCCCGCCACGATCGTCTCTAAATTAATGAGCCGGCTTTTCACTCTTACGCAAATAATAGTAATGATACAGGCGCCGTCAGAACAGAGATGCCAAGTGGCTAAGCAACGCCATTACGCGAAGGCTTTTTGCCGCAGCTTCTATATAGCTCTAAGCTTTCTAGCTCTACGCAACTCACTTGCCTCTCTCCCAAGATGGCGGCACTTCCGCTTCCCTCGGCGACCAGAGGGAAAGGAGGGGGGCGGTCTACGGGATTACCGGAATCTTCCCGCTTCTTGTTCCCTCTCACGAAATTCCTTTCTGCCTCCGCCACACCCCTCCGGGTCTACAAAGCTCTGAAGCGGCCGTTGGTGACGAAACCGCCGCCGGCCTCGCGCCTGGAGCGTCTCCTTCCTCCTGCGCCGTCGCGTTCCCCGGCTACTCGCTACAGCGCATGCGCGAGCGGCCCAACAGGACTATTTACGTCCCGCTCTTCCGTTCCCGGCGTATAGCTGGCTATCAAGAGTGCCTGCTTTGCTTTACTCGCGAGCGGTCTCCATGACCGCCTTCACGGGTCTGGTTCCCTCATAATTTGGGTCGGGATGTGCTTTAAAACAATTCCCCGTATACGAACGGAAGCTTTATTGTTCCTAAATAAATGCTTAAAAGAGCGAAGTGGGAGGAGCTTAATAAACTCACGCCTGCGCCCTGCTCTCCTGACGTCATTGCGTTAGCCTTATGACGCAGCTTCCGCCTCATTAAGCGCCCGGCCGTGAAAGGTAACTCATAAAGGAAGTGAAGCGCGCTGCGGAGTTTGAAGTTGGCGCAGGACAAACACTCTGTGGTGAAGCCAGTTTACCCGCCATGTTGTTTACAGGCACGGGAATCTGCGTTGTCCGCCATGTTTGTTTAGGGCATGCTCCCCTTGTAACCCGAAAACCAATCCTGTCGCCGCCATTTTTGTTTACCCTGTTTCCTAGCAACAGTTTCCAACCTGAACAAAATCCCATTTACCTAGGGGAAAGCCTCGTTAAATTCACTTGGGAATCACTTCTGCCTAGATATGATTGGAATTCTCCTGTGTGTGAATGTAGGAAGTCCAAAATATGGGGCGCGCACACAGGCAGAACTTGCATATTATCCCATAATAACCAATGGAAAGCACCAATATCCTTTGTCATTGGGATAAGATGAATGTCTTTAGGGGAGGCATCTCTTGGAGGCATCATCTTTAGCTGAGGCAATTTGGGGGGGGGGGCTTCTCAGTGGTGGTGCCCCAGTTTTGGAACTCCCCTCTCGGATACAGTTTCCTGAAGACCTGGTTATGTGCCCAGGCATTTGAGGAAATCTTCTGACAGCATCCATGCCTTCAGTTGGCTAGTTGTGGCATGCCTACCTTGTTTTTAATAGCCATATTGCAAATTTGAAACTGATTTAGTTGTCACCGTCACTAAAACTGTTTTAATTAATTTAATAAATAAATATTTTTTTTAAAAAAAAGTATAGGGATCCCTACCCAGCCTTAGGCAGTGTCCCCTAAACAGGACTTTTGGTTAAAAAGAAAATCTACTAATATTTTTAAATATATATATATATCATATTGCAAAAACACCTCTCTCTTCCTTCCCCCATGCAGGCTTCAACAGCTGTTTTCAACAAATGAGGTTATCCGCATTTGTATGCTATGAAAAGTTGCACCGGTATTTCTCCCAGTCGTGTAAGATTAGGATGTCTGTATGTATGCATGTAATGACGGGATCTGGTCTACAAATGAGCAATCCCTCAGTTCCCATCAGCCACCAACTCAAGGCGGGGGTGCCCTAAGATGGACAGCTATTCTCTCAGCACCCCATTTGCAATATGGAGAAAAAATGATCTACCTTACAGGGTTGTGGTAAGAATTACAATATAATGTACGTGAAACATACTGAAGGCTAAAAAAAGTTTTGCCTAAACTTCCTAAGTCGCCTAGAAACTTACCTGCCTTAGGTAACTAATACAAGAATAATTATTAAATATTATTATTAGGCAGCCCTTAGCCACTTTCTGCTCTCAATCACTGAAGAATGGAGCAAAGTTTGCAGCTGTAAACATGGTTTCTGTGTGTGTGTGTGTGTGTGTGTGTGTATTAATAAGGCTTGACCTCAACACTTGCTGTACTCAGATTTGAAATGTACATGGGTTGAAACCCAAATAAATTAATTTGAATAACAAGTAATAACTTATGAGGCACAGCCCATATTCTCTCCAAATCACTGCCAGTTTTTGCCTATGCAACCCGGTCTACACTGTTTCCCACAGCAAGGCGTGGGTGTTGCCTGTCAATCACATTTTAAATCCACCCACCCTTGCTATTGGCTGAGCTGTTCTCATGTCATGATACACTGAGTCAATATGTACCCTCAGTTTACAACCTGAAACTTATTAGGCCCTGAGGTGGCAGATGCAGGAAGCAGCTGCATGTTGTAATATGTACATCTGTATGTGTAATGTAGCCTGCACTAAGCTTGTCTGCTACCCTCAAGTGTTGTGGAGGACGTTGCCATGTTTTTAACTTTGTACATGAAGGGACAGGCATCGTCTTGTCCTTTGCCTCAGGCAGCATAATATATTGAGCCATCTTTGTATTGCAGAACAATATACAGTGGTACCTCGGGATGTGAACGGGATCCATTCTGGAGCCCTGTTCGCATCCTGAATAGAACGTAAGACGCGACGGCGCGTTTGCGCGTGCGTGGGTCGCGTTTTGCCACTTCCACGCATGCGCATGACGTCATTTTAAGCGTCTGTGCATGGGCGAGTGGCGAAACCTGGAAGTATCGCACTCCGTTACTCCCGGGTTGCCGCAGAGCGTAACCTGAAAACGCTCAACCTGAAGCATATTTAACCCGCGGTATGACTGTACAGCAGTACCTCGTGTTAAGTACTTAATTCGTTCCAGAGGTCCGTACTTAACCTGAAACTGTTCTTAACCTGAAGCACCACTTTAGCTAATGGGGCCTCCTGCTGCTGCTGCGCCGCCAGAGCATGATTTCTGTTCTCATCCTGAAGCAAAGTTCTTAATCTGAAGCACTATTTCTGGGTTAGCGGAGTCTGTAACCTGAAGCGTATGTAACCCGAGGTACCACTGTATCTCTAATAGGACCATATATATTCCCGGTTGATGGTGACCTTTCCCTATTTGTAGAATACCCTTTCTGATGAAATGTATCTGGCTGCCCCATTATTAACATTCAGGAGGAGTTTTAAAACTTTCCAGAGAGAAATAGCTTAGCTAACAGAATTCTTATCAGCCACCGATGCACAAGAGGAATTATATGGACACATTCCCCAAAGGAGACTGTTTGGAAAACATTTCTCGGGAACTTAGGACTGACTAGGACATATTTGAAAAAGATGTAAGGTCGAAAAGGATCTATAGCTGGTTGTTCTGCAGTGTTACTATTCAGTCATTTTTTTACATGTTTGTTCTTTGGAGTCCATTACATTATTCACATTTGTTGGTCTCATCGCTTATTGTGCTTAATGCATAGGAACCCTCGGGGCATATTAATTATACTGTTGTTGTTGTTTAGTCGTTTAGTCGTGTCCGACTCTTCGTGACCCCATGGACCAGAGCACGCCAGGCACTTCTGTCCTCCACTGCCTCCCGCAGTTTGATCAAACTCACGCTGGTAGCTTCAAGAACACCATCCAACCATCTCATCCACTGTCGTCCCCTTCTCCTTGTGCCCTCCATCTTTCCCAACATCAGGGTCTTTTCCAGGGAGTCTTCTCTTCTCATGAGGTGGCCAAAGTATTGGAGCCTCAGCTTCAGGATCTGTCCTTCCAGTGAGCACTCAGGGCTGATTTCCTTAAGAATGGATACGTTTGATCTTCTTGCAGTCCATGGGACTCTCAAGAGTCTCCTCCAGCACCATAATTCAAAAGCATCAATTCTTCGGCGATCAGCCTTCTTTACGGTCCAGCTCTCACTTCCATACATCACTACTGGGAAAACCGTGGCTTTTACTATACGGACCTTTGTTGGCAAGGTGATGTCTCTGCTTTTTAAGATGTTGTCTAGGTTTGCCATTGCCTTTCTCCCAAGGAGCAGGCGTCTTTTAATTTCGTGACTGCTGTCACCATCTGCAGTGATCATGGAGCCCAAGAAAGTAAAATCTCTCACTGCCTCCATTTCTTCCCCTTCTATTTGCCAGGAGGTGATGGGACCAGTGGCCATGATCTTCGTTTTTTTGATGTTGAGCTTCAGACCATATTTTGCGCTCTCCTCTTTCACCCTCATTAAAAAGTTCTTTAATTCCTCCTCACTTTCTGCCATCAAGGTTGTGTCATCTGCATATCTGAGGTTGTTGATATTTCTTCCGGCGATCTTAATTCCGGCTTGGGATTCATCCAGCCCAGCCTTTCGCATGATGAATTCTGCATATAAGTTAAATAAGCAGGGAGACAATATACAGCCTTGCCGTAGTCCTTTCCCAATTTTGAACCAATCAGTTGTTCCATATCCAGTTCTAACTGTAGCTTCTTGTCCCACATAGCGATTTCTCAGGAGACAGATGAGGTGATCAGGCACTCCCATTTCTTTAAGAACTTGCCATAGTTTGCTGTGGTCGACACAGTCAAAGGCTTTTGCATAGTCAATGAAGCAGAAGTAGATGTCTTTCTGGAACTCTCTAGCTTTCTCCATAATCCAGCACATGTTTGCAATTTGGTCTCTGGTTCCTCTGCCTCTTCTAAATCCAGCTTGCACTCCTGGGAGTTCGGTTGGCAAAAAAAAGAGCAGAAGGACAAGGGTGCTTGGGAGGCAGAGGATTCATGAGCTCAGAAATTGAGCAGGCAGGCAGGGGTAAAAGGTAAGGGTAAAGGGATCCCTGACCATTAGGTCCAGTCATGGGCGACTCTGGGGTTGCGGCGCTCATCTCGTTTTATTGGCCAAGGGAGCCGGCGTACAGCTTCCGGGTCATGTGGCCAACATGACTAAGCCGCTTCTGGTGAACCAGAGCAGCGCACGGAAACGCCGTGTACCTTCCCTCAGGAGCGGTACCTATTTATCTACTTGCACTTTGAGGTGCTTTCGAACTGCTAGGTTGGCAGGAGCAGGGACCGAGCAACCCCGTCGTGGGGATTTGAACCGCCGACCTTCTGATCTGCAAGTCCTAGGCTCTGTGGTTTAACCCACAGTGCCACCCGTGTCCCACAGGCAGTTAGGGGAAGACAAGCTAAAATGCACCTGATATTAACTGGCCAGCTATATTTGTGGATAGAACCGCACACAGCAGGAGAAAACCAACCTCCCTTTCAAATCAATGAAATTTAACAAGGTCACTGGAGTGGCCAAATTAATCTAGAGAAAATCCCTATTTGATATCAAATATGTGCTTACTTGGCTATAATTATAGACTACTCTTCAGAGTAGTGAACACAGTATAAAAAATGAAACAATTAATTAATCCTCATCGGACCAAGACAAGAAATCAGCAGCGAGCATTTGAATTCCTCTGCCCACTTACAGACCTATTCCCAAACTGCTATGTGAAAATAAGTGTTTAAGCTGCCATCTTAAAAAAATAATAATCAGGGAAAGTGGGAGTTCCCCAAATGGGGGGCTACCACAGAGAAGACCTTCTCCTGCTTCACCCTGTAACAGGCCACCCCTGCTGTTGGGACCACACAAAGGGAGATATGGGAAGAGGCATTCCATCGGGTAATGATTATCTCTGTTTTCCCGCAATAACATCCCCATCATCAGAAACACTGCTTCCTTTGTTTGCTCTCAGGGCCCCCGGTTATGCTTGGTAGGGTCTTTCTGGATTTCAATCTCTGCCTCTGCTGTGAGGCACAGGGCAGCCCAGGCTGGACTCTAGACCCCAGAGAGCTAAACATTTAACAGGCAGGGGGCAAAGGTGAGCCTTGCAGGATGTTCCCTGCAGAGGTGGATTCTCCAAGTGCCTGCCATTCCCGCAATGGAGGGTCTGTGGTGCTATCTCTTCTACTTCTACGGGGTCCTTGTGGACGCTCTCTCCTTGTGTGAGGGTCCCGCGAAGCTGCATGCCAGCGAGCTGAACCGAGATCAGGTAGTTGAAGCCGATGGAGGGCAGCTGGGGTTGACAGCAGGTGGAAGCCTCTTAAATGTCCTGAAGGAGCGTCTCCACCCCCATCGTTCAGCCCGGACACTGAAGTCCAGCTCCAAGGGCCTTCTGGCGGTTCCCTCATTGCGAGAAGTGAGGTTACAGGGAACCAGGCAGAGGGCCTTCTTGGTAGTGGCGCCCGCCCTGTGGAACACCCTCCCTTCAGATGTGAAGGAAATAAGCAGCTATCCTATCTTTAAAAGACATCTGAAGGCAGCCCTGTTTAGGGAAGTTTTTAATATTTAATGCTGTATTGTTTTTAATACTCAATTGGGAGCCGCCCATTATTAAAATGCTTCTGTGTTCAAGCAGGTAGAACCCTTGAAGAATGAGGAGACCTTCATCCAGCATTTGGGGGGTGGGGAGACAAAATGCACATGATTATTATCACTATTAATCCTACTATTATTTTTCCATCGCAGTGGAATCTTGGTTCTCGAACACTGAAAACCTGGAAGTAAGTGTTCCGGTTTTCAAACGTTTTTCAGAACCCAAAGGTCTGATGCGGCTATCAGCTATTGTTTCCGGTGCTCTTATACCAATCGGAAGCCACGCTTTGGTTTTCGAACGTTTCGGGAGTTGAATGGACTTCCGGAACGGATTATGTTCAAGAACCAAGGTACCACTGTATTTTTTTATCCCCCCACCCCCAGTAGAGGAGGTTTATCACAGGTGGATTTAAGGAAGTGCAACAGCTTTGGTTGTGCTGGTGCGGAGCCTCAGGGGCACTGCAACCATTGTGTAGGATGGAAGGCAAGAGGTGGGGGATGGCGAATTTAGGCATTGCTGCTGAAAGTTGAGACCTGACATTGGTTTCAGGGGTCTCGCAGGAGGTGGAAAGGGGAAGAAAGTCTCATTGTGCAAGCAGACCTCATTCTGTACACACGTACATCAATGAGTGTCATGTTTAATTCCACCCCCTGTCCTTTGCTTTTTCATTATTTTAATCAGGTTTTTTTGGGGGGGCCCTTTGGGGCTTTGTTTGCGAAGTGGCTGTTTCCTGCATTTATGATTTATAGCCAACTAACTTGTACTCAGAGTAGACCCATTGAAATTAATGTGCCTAAGTTAGAGCCGTTAATTTTAATGTAAGGCTGTCATATGTCCAGAATTTCCCGGACATACCTGAGATTTGTCCAGGTGGAATTTCCGAAAATCGGTAAAATGTTCGGGAAGAACCAGGCGTATGGCAACCCATCTCGGAAGTGTTGATTTTTTGCCAAATTTCCTTTTTAAAAAATAGCTAAAAAACGTCATTGGGGGGGTGGGGAGATCAACAACTTTTGTATCCAGATTTTCACTTCTTGAAATATGGCAACCTTATTTTAATGGCTCTCCTCTGAGTAGGCCTAACAGTGGCCATGATCCTTTGTAGGTGGGGGTTCTTAGCATCACCATTTTCTTCTTCTGTGAAATGGGTATTTTGTGGTGCCCGTTATACATCATCAGGTTTTGAAATGTGCCCTGGGCCCAAGAAGGTTGGGAATACCTTGGGAAAGAGCCACCCAAGTTAAAAGACACAGTTTTTGCATGTAACATGTAGTTTGGCCCAAGGCCAAGACATTTTGGCATCTGAGGTGAACCACAAAATGTGCCCCCACCCGCAGCTAGGGAAGAAGGGATGAGTGAAGGTCTACACCAAGAACAAGGGAGAAATTAATTTCTACTTTGGGAATAAGGGGGAAGTAAAGATCTATACAGTGGTAGCTCGGGTTAAGAACTTAATTCATTCTGGTGATCCGTTCTTAACCTGAAACTGTTCTTAACCTGAGGTACCACTTTAGCTAATGGGGCCTCCTGCTGCCTTCGTGCCGCCACAGCACGATTTCTGTTCTCATCCTGAAGCAAAGTTCTTAACCCGAGGTACTATTTCTGGGTTAGCGGAGTCTGTAACCTGAAGCGTCTGTAACCTAAAGCGTCTGTAACCCGAGGTACTACTGTACTGAAAACAAGGTGTGGGAATCAAACCAACCTTATCCGATGGTTGAAGTGAGAATTAAAGGTCATGTCACTGCAGAAGAAGCAGGTGACGCATTCCTTGGAGGTTGAATCTGCTGCCCCTGTGGATCCTGCCACCTGAGGCAGCTGCCTCACCTTGCCACATGGGTGTGCTGGCCCTGCTTTGTCCCCAGGTGTGACTCAGTTCTCCCCTTTGCAGTATATCGGCAGGTGGTTCTTCATTGCAGCAGCCGCGGCATCACCTTCCTCACTGGAGACGTTCACCAGCACTGACAGCAGCATCTTCAGCATGACACAAACCAGCAGCCCAGAGCGGTTGCAACTGGAAGCTGCCGTCAGACTGTGAGTTCCTTTTCCCCTTTGGGCCTTTCCCCGCAAAACACACTACTTTCCCACGGAACCCAGGCTGAGCAAAGGCTCTCCAGGGCCGGTGTAGGGAAATAACAAAGAAGAGTGTTTCTCGAGCATGTGCAGAGCACTGGATTCGAGATGTTTCGACAAGCCAAAAGATCCAAATGGGACTCTCTATGTAGGACTCCCCACCTGATCTGTGGATACCTTGAGGGGAGGGGGAGTTCAGAGATTTTGTAGGAGAGGATCCCCCAAGTTGGTAGTGTTGTAGAAAAAAATGGAGTTGGCTTTTACACTCCAACTCCCCTCAAAGGATTCAGTGTCCCCTAAGTCCGTTATCGGTCAGAGAATCGAATCCCGTTGCTCGGTCCCTGCTCATGCCAACCTAGCAGTTCGAAAGCACGTCAAAGTGCAAGTAGATAAATAGGTACCACTCCAGTGGGAAGGTAAACAGCATTTCCGTGCGCTGCTCTGGTTCGCCAGAAACGGCTTAGTCATGCTGGCCACATGACCCGGAAGCTGTACGCCAGCTCCCTCGGCCAATAAAGCGAGATGAGCGCCGCAACCCCAGAGTCGGCCACGACTGGACCTAATGGTCAGGGGTCCCTTTACCTTTACCTAAGTCCGTTATCAGTCAGAGAGAAATGGATGGAAGCAGGAACCAGTCTGAGCAAGGAAGATATTTATTTTTCTGTTGCAACAGTGCCTCCGCCCCGCTTTGCAAGGAGGCAAAGACCCAGAACAAGATGTGCAAGAACTTTTAAAGGCTTTAGAAATTGCCCAATCTCTTAGCCAAAAACCAGCCAAAAGCATCACACAAGCATCATAGAAGGAGGTGGGTCTACAACAGAAATTTGCGTGTGTAACTCATCTCCTGTCTGTCAAGGTACCTGAGAATGTTTGCTGGCTATTGTTTCCTGGCTAGTCAGGGCTGTTTCTCCCAAATGGTAAATACCTACTGATACACAGTAGATTCTCTTTTGACAGGTCTGCTTTGCCTTTAACAAATACTTGCCAGACCGATTTGCAGGATCTGCAAGTGAAAGAAAATATTGGAAAAGGTTTCCCAAGATGAGAGGAAATGGCTTCGGGATTGCTCAGATGAACTCAAATGAAGCGTAATTTTCTCAGGGAATATTTCCTAAATTTTGAAAGGCGGCAGATTGGTTTTCTGTGGAGTGTGTTTCCCCAATGTGTGTGCACCCTAAGTTTTAAATTAACAGTAGACACCCCCAGTCCTTGCAGAAGAATACTGGGAGGAGGTCACACCAAAAAAGGCCAGGTCCATGCACTGGTGCTTACAATGGAAGAACCAACACCAGGAGTTGGCATCATTGGGCATTTGCCAAGGCCCCACTGCCACTCTGGAGATGCCTGGCTTTGCTGTTGTTGACTAATCATCTATGTTTTCTGGACATGCATCGCCCACATGCCTTCTGCTGTGCCCCTGAAGGTGCGCAGCCTGGGAGTCATTCTGGACTCGCAGCTGTCCATGGATGCGCAGGTCAATTCTGTGTCCAGGGCAGTTGTTTACCAGCTCCATCTGGTACGCAGGCTGAGACCCTACCTGCCCATAGACTGTCTCGCCAGAATGGTGCATGCTCTGGTTATCTCTCGCTTGGACTACTGCAATGCGCTGTACGTGGGGCTACCTTTGAAGGTGACCCGGAAACTACAACTAATCCAGAAAGAAGCAGCTAGACTGGTGACTGGGAGCGGCCGCAGAGACCACATAACACCGGTCTTGAAAGACCTACATTGGCTCGCAGTACGTTTCCGAGCACAATTCAAAGCGTTGGTGCTGACCTTTAAAGCCCTAAATGGCCTCGGCCCAGTATACCTGAAGGAGTGTCTCCACCCCCATCATTCTGCCTGGACACTGAGGTCCAGCACCGAGGGCCTTCTGGCGGTTCCCTCACTGCGAGAACCCAAGTTACAGGGAACCAGGCAGAGGGCCTTCTCGGTAGTGGCGAACGCCCTCCCACCAGATGTCAAAGAGAACAATAACTACCAGACTTTTAGAAGGCATCTGAAGGCAGCCCTGTTTAGGGAAGGGTTTGATGGACTACTGTATTTTAATATTTTGTTGGAAGCTGCCCAGAGTGGCTGGGGAAACCCAGCCAGATGGGCAGGGTATAAATAAATTATTCTTCTTCTTCTCCTCCTCCTCCTCCTCCTCCTCCTCTGTGGGGTGGGGGTGGGGGTGGGGAGCCGTATCACTGTCCTTCCACAGCCCTTTTCTTCCATCTGTCCAAATCACTTTTTTTCAAGGAAAAATCTAGATGGGTACTTTGCCAAAGGTGCATGTTGTAGCTATGAGAAATCCTGGTATTTAATTGAGTGTATTGTTACGTCAGCTGGAGTGATATTGAAAAATATGCAGGATTTAAAAATAAATTAAGAGGTAACATGTTAAGAGGCCCCCCCAAGGCCTCTCAGTTGTCTCTGACGTCCTGCCTTACCAAACCTACCTCAAAGAATCCATTAGCCATCCATCCATCCATCCATCCATCCATCTTCTCTCTCTCTCTCTCTTTCTCTCTCTCTCTCTCTCTCTCTCTCAGGAAGACAGGCCAATGTGTTCCCAGATCATGGATTTACTTACTTAAGGAGCAGAGTGCTGATCTGGCTACAGAAGGTAAGGCAGAACTTCCTTTTCTAATGGCCCCTTTGATAAGCCCACTCTCAAAGCTGAGCTCAGAACAGGACTGGCCCTCTCAGCAGGCAGAGGGAGGAGCCTTGCAGGTAGAAGCAGCAGCGAGGTGTTTAGGGGGCAGGACTGCGAGTGTCATGTGGCCTGCCGACTGCATACCTCAGGAGCCGCTGAAGACACTGCCCGTGTTGTTGTTTTTCCGAAGTAGTCCTTTTAATTATTTGCTGTTCAAGTCCTTTTGTGTTTTGATAGTGGTAACGTTCCCGTTCACGGGGATTAAGTTAAACTCTTAAGAAAATTCTACAGTGGGAGGAGAACTTCTTACAATCGCCCTCTGAAAATAAAACATTCACTTGTCAGCTAGCAGAGACCAGGAGCTGAAGCAGTAAGAGCAGAAATCCACATTTCAATTACCGTATTTTTTGCTCTATAAGACTCACTTTTCCCCTCCTAAAAAGGAAGGGGAAATGTGTGTGGGTCTTATGGAGCGAATGCAGGCTGCGCAGCTATCACAGAAGCCAGAACAGCAAGAGGGATTGCTGCTTTCACTGCGCAGCGATCCCTCGTGCTGTTCTGGCTTCTGAGATTCAGAATTTTTTCTTTCTTGTTTTCCTCCTCCAAAAACCAGGTGCGTCTTGTGGTCTGGTGCGTCTTACAGAGCGAAAAATACAGTAGGTGGAGAGGTTTTGGTTTCTGTCCCACAGAGACCACAGCAGCCCCACTTTGATGCTCTTTGTTCTCCAACTTACACATGTCACATAACCCTCCTCCCAAGTAGCACACAGTGCCCTTTGGTTTCTTCTTTAGGCCCAGGGTTGCATCTAATGCAAGTGTTTGAATGCATCCAGCATAGGTGCATTTTTTGTGTAGTTATACTGCACTGCCAGACAAATATCAAATGTAGTTTAAACGAACGGTATTAGAAACAGAGGCCGCTCCCCGGCCTCCCATGATTTGGGGGAAAAAGTTGCTCCAGTCTACAAAGTATTTTTGGTAGCAACAATCTCAACAAAACTAGTTGTTTGTTTGGTAAACTTTGTTTAGACACTGCCCGTGTTGACCTAAGACTAATCCGCAAATCCAGCCAGCTTCTCTGTGTGGAAATGGGAGGAGAATGTCATCTTGTCCATCTCCTCCTGCAGCAAAATGTCTCGGGCCAGCCCCAGTTCAGAAAAATAGCATGGTATAGCCAGTGTTAGCAAATGAGATATGAAAGCTAGGAGCTAAACGGCACCTTAAACCTAGGTAATGGGCGCAGCATCGGACTGTCTAAGCACACTTTTTTTATAACAAGAATACAAAGCTGAAAATGAGTGGACTGCGCTAAAATATTATATTCATCTTTCACATGGTCTAGTTCTTCCCCTGCCCACCCCCCTAATATTCTTAAGAGGGTCTCTTCTCCAGTCTGCAGAGAGTAGCTGGACGTGGGGAGGCAGGAAAAGGTCCTCCTTTCCTTCCACTCTGCAGTTTTAATAGGTGCAGTACCACACCCAGAGCTAAGAAACTGCTCCCACTAATGAAATTCTCCATCCAAAATGCACCTAGAACAATGGGAGTTTTGAACGTTGGGTATATCCCAATACCATGTTTGAACCCTGTGCCCCAGGTTTTCTGTTTTTGTGTAGCCCTACTGGGACTGAGGTGGCATTAAATCCTGCTGCATTTGGGTGGCGCTGTGGGTTAAACCACAGAGCCTAGGACTTGCCAATCAGAAGGTCGGCGGTTCTAATCCCCGCAACGGGGTGAGCTCCCGTTGCTCGGCCCTTGCTCCTGCCAACCTAGCACATCAAAGTGCAAGTAGATAAATAGGTACCGCACTGGCGGGAAGGTAAATGGCGTTTCCGTGCGCTGTTCTGGTTCTCCAGAAGCGTCTTAGTCATGCTGGCCACATGACCCGTAAGATGTACGCCGGCTCCCTTGGCCAATAAAGCGAGATGAGCGCCACAACCCCAGAGTCGGCCACGACTGGACCTAATGGCCAGGGGTCCCTTTACCCTTTAACTTTACTAGGCCTGGGGTGGCATTAAATCCTTCTGCGTTTGGCTACGTGCCCCAGTTACCCACAGGGAACTAGGGTGCAAAGCCAGACTGAGCAGTCCTGCTTCACTGTCTGCATGCTCTGCCTCCCTGCAAAGTGAACTATCTTAACGTGAGTTGGGCTTCCAGGATATTGATAAAGGTAAAGGTGAAGGGACCCCTGACCCTTAGGTCCAGTTGTGGACAACTCTGGGGTTGCGGCGCTCATCTTGCTTTATTGGTCGAGGGAGCCAGCGTTCAGCTTCCGGGTCATGTGGCCAGCATGACTAAGCCGCTTCTGGCGAACCAGAGCAATGCACGGAAACACCGTTTACCTTCCCGCCGGAACGGTACCTATTTATCTACTTGCACTTTGACGTGCTTTCAAACTGCTAGGTTGGCAGGAGCAGGGACCGAGAAACGGGAGCTCACCCCGTCGCGGGGATTTGAACCGCTGACCTTCTGATTGGCAGGTCCTAGGCTCTGTGGTTTAACCCACAGTGCCACCCTCAATTTACCTCTGCATTCAGTTGCTTGAATTTGTTTGGTATGTACCTCGACTTGAGTAAATGGGTTATTTTTCTCACCTGCGTTCTGAAGTGGTATAGTCCTGGGAAGGCTGCACCATGGAAATCTGTGTGTCCCATCTCTCTTGACCTATGAACATGTTTATTTCTCTCCGACTTCCCCACTCCAGGCCGCCCTCACATGAGGACAGAGTTGTTCTCTGGCAAGTGCCCCGACTCTATCATTGTCCAGGAAACAGACCGAGACTACCAGAGGATCCTTCTCTATTGTGAGTTCCTCATCCACAGATGTCTGAACTGGGGAGCTTAATTGGGTTAGAGCTGGGGTCAGCAAACTTTTTCAGCAGGGGGCCAGTCCACTGTCCCTCAGACCTTGTGGGGGGCCAGACTATATTTTTTTGAGGAGGAGAAATGAACGAATTCCTATGCCCTACAAATAACCCAGAGATGAGAGTCCCCAATTATAAAAACATAGAAAACGGGAGATACATAGCCACTCCAGCAACATATCTCTATATCCTCGCATCCAGAAACGCAAGAAGGGCTTTTACTCTTCCTAGAAGTTCAGCCTTGCTCTCACCAGTTCTGGAAGTCTCCTATAGAAGAGTCCTGTACACACAGAGACTTTGCGCCTGCCCATTACGGGAAATAGGAAGCCCCAAACACACCCCGTATTTTTTGCTCCATAAGACGCACCTGACCATAAGACGCACCTTGTTTTTAGAGGGGAAAACAAGGGGAGGAAATTCTGTGCAGAGCATATAAGCTTTAAACCCTTCCATCCCTTCTCCCACTTCGCCGAGAAGCCAGCAGAGCAAGAGCGATAGCTGCACAGCGCCTCTTCTGCTGGCTTCCCAGCAAAGCGGGATGAGGGACGAAAGGGAGCCCTTACAAGGGAGCACTGAGCAGAGCCTAGGTGGGGGAAAGGACAGAGGGCAGCCCGTCAGTCCCTTCTCCCACCTTGCGGAAAATCCAACAAGAGCCACACACACACTCTCTTTAAAGAGAGCGCGGCTCAAGCAAGAGCCTCCCGCCTGCATTCGCTTCATAAGACGCACACCCATTTCACCTTACTTTTTAGGAGGGGAAAAGTGTGTCTTATGGAGCGAAAAATACGGTATTTTTTAGATGTCCTTTTTATGCTGAGATTCGTAGAGACACCATTGATCCTTTGCTGAAGAGGCTCACCGATCTTTCAGACAAGTCTAACCCAGAGATGCATTTTAAATAAAAGGGCACATTCTACTCATGTGAAAACACGCTGATTCCTGGACTGTCCGTGGGCTGGATTTAGAAGGCGATTGGGCTGGATCCAGCTCCCGGGCCTTCGTTTGCCTACCCATGGGTTAGGGTAACGAATCTTGGAATTGAAATGTCCTTGCGTTTGAGCTGCGCTCGTCCTCTCTCCCCAGCCCGAGTCCTCCACCCTGCTGAGGGCTGTATTTCTGATTTCAAAGGCAAAGCTTCCTGCCTTGACATGAACGAATTCCTGCTTATACCCAGGACCCAAGGTAGGTATTCCTAGTGAACTGGGTGATGCTTTCCCTGTTGTTGCAGCTTTTCCGCTTTTAGCATCTCTCAGATGGAGGGTGGCCACATATACATCACCCCAAAAAGAGGACAAAAGAAAACACAGATAGGTTCACTTATACAGTGGTACCTTGGTTCTCAAACTTAATCCGTTCCGGAAGTCCGTTCCAAAACCAAAGCGTTCCTAAACCAAGGCGCGCTTTCTCATAGAAAGCAATGCAAAATAGATTAATCCGTTCCGGGCTTTTAAAAATAACCCCCAAAGAACAGCAATTTAACATGAATTTTGCTATCTTAACGAGACCGTTGATCCATAAAATGAAAGCAATAATCAATGTACTGTACTATAAAATAAATAAGACAGTATTGTAGGGGCTTTTATCCATTTCCGCAGTCACACAATCAGTCAGTAGCTGAACAGGGTTCCACACAGTCACAAAAACAAATTAAACGAAAAAGACTCAAAAACAAAAACACAAAATAAATAGTAAAAAAAAAAGGGCCAAACTTAATCTGTTCTGGAACTCCGTTTGACTTCTGAAATGTTCGAAAACCAAGGCACAGCTTTTGATTGGTGCAGGCGCCCTACAAACAATAGCTGACAACAGCACCGGACATTTGGCTTCTGAAAAATGTTCGGAAACCGGAACACTTATTTCCGGGTTTTCAGCATTTGAGAACCAAGGCGTTTGAGTACCAAGGTAACACTGAATATGGATTGATGCAAACTTGGAAATAATTATTAGGATTTAGATAGCAGTACTGTACATGTATCTCACCACGGTGGGGAAGACCACTCAGTCTGTTCCCCAGGTGGTAACAGCCGATGGGCAACTTCCAAGCCCCCTCCCCATGCTTCTTTCTTTTGCACCTCCAAACTGGGTTTGGACTGGAGAGCTCTTCCGATGGAGGACTATTTCAAACAGAGGGCTGTCCTTTGCAATGTAGGGCACCTGTCAACCTTAGTCAGATGTGACTGCTCCTTTCTACAGAGGCTGTTTCCGCAGCACCCCAAAATCAAGATTGTGTACCCCACACTTGCCCTAAGCAAAGCAATATCTTGTCATTTTAGCTCAGCTACAACATCCCAGAGTTAAAGGAGAGCAAGATTTCTTGTCCGTGACACACCCGGCTATGAAAACAACTTCACATTCCCATCCCTCGCTCTGCCCTGCAGACTCAAAATTCACTTCTGGATTCCAAAGACCGGAGTCACAACTAACTTTGCAAACGTTTGTGTACTAATCCTCATTGGCCTTCTCTCTTTCAGGTGCCTGTGAATTCCAAGCATTTTGACCTCAAACTCCTTGGGTAAGATAAGCCATCCTGTCCCCAACCCAAATACATATTTAACTTCCCTACCATCCTAAAATCACCATCTCCCTGTGGTATGAGTCAAACCTTAGGGTGCCTAATAGTAAAGAAATGTCCCTGATTCTATAGATGAGGGTTGGCTTCTAGCTCACTTTTTTCTTTTTGGAGTAAATTTTATTAGATTTTATAAAGAGAGATACAAAGATGATGATCAAACATATTTTTTGGCCAAACTAATAGGTTGATCTAGGTAAAATTAAAATATAGATCCAGAGGAAAAGAAGGGGAAAAGAAAGAAAGAGAGAGGGAGGGAGGGAGGGAGGGAGGGAGGGAGAGAAGGATTAAAATAGAGAGAAAATAAATAAATAAGGTTAAGATAAAGCACTTCTGGTTCTTCATCTGTCAGCTATATATAAACAATATTCAACTCATCTGCTCCAATATAACACTCAGCACAACTACTTTTTATAAGTAAACATTTTCTTCAGCCTTCAAACCCAAATGTCATTACAGTCATGCCTTGGAAGCTGAACGCCTTGCAACTCGAACGTTTTGGCTCCCAAACACCACAAACCCAGGAGCTTCCTGCAGCCAATTGGAAGCCACGCCTTGGTTTCCGAACATTTTGGAAGTTGAACGGAGTCCTTTCAACATCCAAGATACAACTGTATTTCTTTTTCACACCAAAAGCACTCAGGGCTGATTTCCTTAAAAATGGAGAGGTTTGATCTTCTTGAAATCCATGGGACTCTCAAGAGTCTCCTCCAGCACCATAATTCAAAAGCATAAATTCTTTGGCGATCAGCCTTCTTTATGGTCCAGCTCTCACTTCCATACATCACTACTGGGAAAACCATAGCTTTAACTATACGGACCTTTGTTGGCAAGGTGATGTCTCTGCTTTTTAAGATGCTGTCTAGAATGGGAATTAGTAGACCCAATTTGCTCACGTTCATTAATTTTAATGGCGCTACTCTTGAGTGGAACTTAGTTCAGTGCCACCCAAAGGAAGATGCCTCATTCAGAGTCAGACAACCGGCCAAGCTAGCTCACTGGCTGGCTCTGGCTTTCAGGGTTTCAGGCAGGAGACAATCGTAGCCCTGGCCTGGAGAAGCTGGGGTCTGAACCTGGGACCTTCTGCATGCAGGGCAGCTGTGCTGTCACTAAGCTACAGCCCTTCCCCAGCTTGCAGGCGAACGTCTGTGGCTCAGCGATATCAGCCTGCCCCTGGAATGCAGGGTTGCGTTGTGAATTCTTCTCCAGGGTGTGTTTGGGTCACAGCCTCACGTTCATGCAGGGGAAACCAGGAGGGCCTTAGCAAAAGGGCCAGAGCTCAGTCGGTAGAAGGTGTTCGAAATTATGAAGAGCACGGGGGCAGAACGGTTTTTCTCCATCTCTCAATACTGCCGGAACCCGGGCTCATCAACTGAAGCTGAATCTCGCAAGCTTCAGGCAAAAGAAAGGGCAAATGGTGCATTTTGCTCACACAGGAAGTAGTGATGGTGGGCAGTGACTCAGGGTGGTTGTGAAAGAGGAGTAGACAAATTCATGAAGGATGAAGCAATCAATGGCTACTAGATGAGACTCAAAACATTTGTGTCAGTACACGTTTAACGCTGCACCATGGTTAGGTTGGAAAAGGCAGAGGAGGGGAGATTTGCATACAATGCCCAGCAGAAAAAGGATTGTACAACAAGCCTCCAGGGCACTCCTGATCTCGTAACAGACGCCGGGAGTCACCGACAGGCAATTTTGCTTTTTGGTATCTACTTACCAGATCCAGTTCCCCAGTTGCTCACGAAACCAATGAAATACAAAACCTCAGATTATTTCAGTACCAGCCCTCCTCATTCCTTCCTTTCTTGTTTTCACCTCAGCTTTGGACCCGCTGCAGCTGGACTTAACCGTATACAGAAGTTCGTTTGCCTCACGCACTGGGGATGCGGGTGGTTTTACACGTCTTGTGGTGTTGAATAAAATTCCTTTGAGCCAAAAGTGGACTTCCAGGTCTCTGTGTCCAGCCTCTGGGATTCTCCTCAGACCACGCACTTCCTCAAGTGCTTTTGCCTGGCTGGAATGTGTCCCTGAACTGCGGTAACGCCTCTTGCTTGTCTGCATGGAGAGGTGTGTGCTTGTGTGTATGTGTGTGTGTGTGTGGATAGAAACCCAACTTTTGTGTGGCTAGAATGCAGCAAACACAGGACGCGGGTGGCGCTGTGGGTTAAACCACAGAGCCTAGGACTTGCTGATCAGAAGGTCGGTGGTTCGAATCCCCACGACGGGGTGAGCTCCCGTTGCTCGGTCCCTGCTCCTGCCAACCTAGCAGTTCGAAAGCACATCAAAGTGCAAGTAGATAAATAGGTGCCGCTCTGGCGGGAAGGAAAACAGCGTTTCCGTGCGCTGCTCTGGTTAGTCATGCTGGCCACATGATCCAGAAGCTGTACACCGGTTCTTTTAAAAAAAGGGGGGAGGGAGAATGCAGCAAACTGCACCATGCAGTGAAGGATAGCTCAGTTGGCAGAACACAAGACTTAATTGGCAGGGTTCGAGCCCGCATGTTGGGCAAAAATATTCCTGCATTGCAGGAGGTTGGACTAAATGATCCTTGTGGTTCCTTCCAGCTCTATGATTCTGTGATTAGTCACATCAGTTGCCTCCCTCCCACCTACTACTAGCATGGTCTCCACAAAGGAATTCGGCCAAAAGTATGTTCACCCCGCCACCCTGCTATAGTATTTTATTGCATACAATTCCATACAATAAAATACAAAACAAGAAAATAAAAGAAGCAATAAAAATGCAATTAAAAATTGATATGGATATTTCGCATGATGTATGAACTGCCTCCCGTGTTCCACCACAAATACACATAGACACACAGTGTTAATGAATGAAGTTTGTGGGCCCTGCTGTAAATCATTTTGCCTCCCAGCTGAGCTATGAAAAGTGAAAGGAGGAAGGGGGGGAAGGCAGGGACCCACAGCGCAGGGGGTATTTGCTGACGAGCACTGGCAGCCTCCAGAGGAATGATGAACCCCTTTCTTCCCTCTCCTCCAGTAAAAACTGCCTGATTGCTGTCCAGGCTTTATCCAGTTATCATGAGAACTAGCAACACGCACAGCTGTAGGTCGCTCCGGTTGCAACTGAGAATCGCAGAGCCTCGCATTGTTCTTTGAAGTTTCCCTTTTATTTAAATATATAGATATATAATTAACACAGGTTGGAAAAATAAACGAATCCAAATCAACAGTGTTTTAAACTGTTGAAACAGCAGTCAGGATATAGATACACAGGTTAGTTTATGCAGTTCTCCCGCCTGCAGCCGCCCCCTATACACAACCAATGCGTTCCCAAGTAAAACAGCGTCATTTGGTCCCCACCCCACCCCACCCAATGAAGAAAATAACCACTATGCTTCCAAAATCACAAACGGCAACACACTTTCTCAGGCACTGGGGAACATCTAGAGTGGTGCATGACCAAACAGGACAGGGAAGAGGTATATTTTGGCTTTCAAGGGGTTGCAGAGATGTACCGTTTTGTGGAGACACAGAGGCACCCAGCCTCCTTCTGGTGTTCATGAAGCACACACAGTTATTATTATTTTCTCTTGATCTTCCCTTCACTGGCAAACTCCTCACAGTTTTCATAACAACGCTGCCTCAGGATGGAGCCTATTAAAATTCTAGCATCTCCCTCCCTCCAACGCAGAATAGCACAGCCAGCAGTGCGATGATACAGGGTGCATAACGTTTCAGCAGGAACATCGCAGGCGGCTACTGGCTAGTATGTGTGACGCCACTCACACCCTTCAGTACCTGCCATTTTGAGATTGATTTGTACGCAATATAAATTTGCTGAGGAATTACTAGGTTTCCCAAATAAGCACTCTGGTAATCCCAGTAAGCGAGACGGCGAGGTTTTTTTTGTTTTTTTAAGAGCACTGCGTTGCATTGAAACCAACATAAGAAGTCAGTCACTACTAAGAGGGTGGAACGTCACATTATGTGGAAAAAACCAGGTTTCCAGCTTCGTCTGTTCCTTTTGGCACTTGTGCAGACAGGACACTTCCAGGGGAGGCAGGTGGAAGGCTTTAACCCTTCCTCAAGTTGCTCGTTCTCAAAAATGGCCTCACGGAATCCTTGTCACCCCCAACTCCGGCTCAGTTTGGTTGAGGAAAGAATGAGGTTTTTTTGTGGGGGGTGCAGTTGTTGTGGGAAATCAACAGATACCAGAATACTACCTTCCTCTCCCCAAGAAAGTTGCCACAAATTCACATTCAAAGATAGGTTTGCCAAGGAAGTTCTGCCTTCAAATGTTTTTGGGACTCACCCATTATAAGACTCAGTCGTTTCAAAATATTTTCTTCACTCCCCTCTCCCCTTCCCTTTCAAAAACAAGATGGGTTCCTAATCAGTTGTACAAGTGTCAGAAATCCTGTTCTGCCTGTTTCTGAGGTGTAGAGAGCTCTCTAGATCCAGCCCCAATAGTCCGTTGTCTAGATTAGCCCTCTTCCAGGAATAACAGTGACATTCCAGTGGGTGGAACGATGGCTTTGGCCCACAAGGATGGGGAACCTGTGGCCTTCCAGATGTTGTTGGACTACAGTTCCCATCATTCCCAGGTCACAGTCAGGGACGATGGGAGTTGTAGTATTAACAACAACCAAACAGCACAAGGGGAAGAATTCCGTAAGACTTTGTGCTAAGGAAGGATGTTTATGCTGGTGGATTTCGTTTTAGACTGGCTTGCGCCGCTCTGGACTGAATTAAAAAAACACAACAATATAGACCTACCCCAATGGGCTGTAGTCAAAATCAATTTGAGGAAACAGCTAATTCCGCTGCTAGGACACAACTGCGCTGGTGGCTCTACAGCTTCAAGTAAAGGTCTTGGAGTAATGGGCTGAAGGACAAAAGTAGACATTTCAGTACCACAGCTATACATCACAAGATGGGGTTTTTAGGAGTCCCTCGAGGCCATAGTATCACAGAAGTGTCACATCCATGACTGTTGCTAGTGGTCAGCCTAGTTAGTCAGCTACAAGGGCCCTGAGATTAAGGTGGGGACATTATCCAAAGCACCTTTCCCTCTCACTGCTCTCTGGAACGCCAGGTGAAAAGCTGTACCTGGATAGGAGAAAAATGTGATGTGTTCTAACTGTGGAAGGGGCTAGCTGCTGTTTGCCTCAGAGGGCCTCCCCGCCGGACCGCTTTCCTCAGAGTTAGGGAGCAACAAAGAGCGACAGCCATTGCGATGGCCTTCTACTCGTCCCTCAGCAAGAGGGCAAGATGTTCGTAGGTGAATGTGAAGGAGAAATTAAAAGGGTGTCCACTTCAGATCTGGCACCCAGAGAGACAAAGATCTAGCGCATGACCCTGGGCAAAGGGAACCGTTTCCTCTCAGTTCCTATCTCTGATTCAGGGGTGGGGAGCCTGTGGCCCTCCGGACTACAACTCCTATCATTCCTAATTACTGGCCGTTCTGACTAGGGCTGATGGGAGTTAGGATTCCGACAGCATTTGGGAGGCCAAAGCCCTGCTCTTCTTCCTGGAACAGGAATGCACACCACAAAAGCAGTGTTTGCCGGCACCCGCAGTGGCAGGCCAGAAGTTTGAAAGGATAGAGAAGGCATTCATTCTGCCTCAGAACCGGAACGCTTAAGTTTTTTATTCTCGCTCGAGGCATGGGACGTTCTGGCTCTATCCGGACAAGAGAGGGGATTCACTTGAAAGATATCACATGGGTATTAGACAATATTCAGAGAAGGAAATGAATCTGAGAAAGCTTTTGCAGAAAGGGTTGTGCATTTTTGGAAAAGGCCTTGAATCCAGAGGACGTTTCCTAGATGAAATGGGAGCGTTTCTGCTGAAAATGAGATTGCAGCTTGCTCTGAATGTGGTTGCAATGTAGAATTATTTCCTGCAACCATTTTTTTAAAAATAAATGATCCGATTTGCCACTTTCTTGTCTATCACAACATGGAGATCAAGTGGATCTCAAGGAGCTAGAGCGAGAGGGATGATCTAGCGGGGAAAGGGGACATCACAAAAGGGATTAATGAGAAAAAGGGCGATATGTTCTAGGTTCCAGAGACTCAAAATTAAGGCATATTTTATACATCACTGCTTGTGGCTAACAGAGGAGTGTGCAGAGGAGAGGTTAAACTGTATTTGTGTTTGTGGAAGGAGTGGGGACCACTCAGTGAGAACATCTGGTTTGGGGGCATTCTGGGCATGCATCAGAGACAGTGGATCTTGAAGGGAAGAAGGGGGCAGGGAGACAGAAATGTAAGGTGTATAACTGGGAAAGGACCTGACTGTGGACCTCACGTAGCTACACCATAAGATGGATTCCACACAAGAAGGTGGCGTTTGTTTTAGGAGATCACAACAGACATACTTGATCACAACAGAATTGAAGAATGAAGAGTGTTGAGCTGATCTGAAAGATGTGCTGACCTAGGAATGTGGAGGCCTTGCTAGAAATGAGCCTCCCCACTTTGAGGGAAGGAATAACGTTCCTACGAACACAACTGCCACATCCACTCTGGTGGTCCCTAGTTCCAGCGGCAAGCATGGCGCAATATAAACTTTCCATCCCCTGGCAAGAAAAACACAAACAGGACCTTGGAAGAGAGGCTGGTTTGGCCTATGGCTGGCAGCCCCAATTGCAAGCCTGAACAGGTAATCAAGCTGCCTGCAGGTGAACATTAATATTCTGGGAAACTTGGGTCACCCTCTTGCGAGGCAATAGGGCACACCTCAGGTGCAGGTGTGTGGTAAAGGTAGACATTTGTATCCCTGCGTGGCTCAAGCACACCTGGGCCGCAGAGAGGCGTGCTGAGATCCTCTCTCAATCACACCCAGATCCTTTGGGCAACACGTTGCCCACATTGCAAGCTGATCTGGTAGCATAAAATCTCAATATTGCTGAAGTTGTTTGGGGGTGAGTATCAAGAAAACAGGGCAAAGAGCTAGACTCTCCTGCTGCTGGAAAAAGTTCTAGATGCTGGTGAGGAGCAGGTGGGATCTAGCTGAAATTCTCGGCTCAGAACTGCGTATCCCTGAGGTTTGGGATGGAGGGGAAGATCAACTTTCTAAACAGCCACCTTGCCCCTTCAGAATAAGCTAAGGAGAGGCAGTCCGTTTCTAACAGGGAGTCCTCAGTAGTCCACCCCCATCCAGATTCCTCCTCAGTAGTTTCACATATTTCCTCATAATGCCCTCCAGAAGATCCTGAACTCCAACTCCCATGAGCCCCAGCAAGACCAGCCAATAACCAGGGATGATGGGAACTGTAGTCCAACCATCTCTGGAAGGTGCCATGATGGGTACCCCTGCTCTAAGTTGTGGGAGGCTTTCATGACTTTCTGGAATCTTCCTCCCCTAGATTAGATGTCATACCAATTAGAACACTTCCTGCCAAACCCCAGTCCTCCCATTGGCTCCTTTGAATCCTCTTGTGCAGGTACAATAGGTCTCTCTCATAGGATCTGACCCTTAGTTCTCAAATCCACCCCTCCCTATCCTCAGATAAATCCACTCTCTGGTCCCAGTTAAGATAGGATGTTCTCCATCCCCTGAGTACCCTACCCACTTGCCCCAGCCTGAGACGGGGGCAAGAAGATGCAATGTGGCATCTACTGGCCCTTCCCAGATCATTTCCCCTTGCCCTCTCCCTTCCACCCTCCAAAGTGATTGTCCAAAGCCTCTTGCCCTCACCTGCTGGGCCACCAGAGCAGAAAGCTGCACTTGCTTGCTGTTCAAGATCAAAGCACAGCTCCCAGTGTCCATTCTAGACGACTCACACTGGGTCTAGGGACGCCTCTGCTAAAACGTGAAGAGGACCCCACTGACTGATGAAATCACCAGTCTTTGCAGATTATAGGAACTGGGTATGTGCGGACCACCCCATCAACGCTTCTTCAAAACTGCCAGCCAAACATGCTCTACAGAGGCATGTCCATTCTTCAGTGGTCAAACACTTCCCCATCAATGAACCCTCGAGTCCCCTCACCTTCCCGCCAAATCTGGTTCCCAAGATCCACTGGGGGCAGGCAAGACAGGAAAACCAGACTCAGACTGGTTTGGATGTGGAGTGCACCCAACTCCCCCCACCCTCGTGCCCCATGATTTCTCCAAGGCCCCTCTGGGTGGTCATAGTTGTGATGGTGTTCCCCTCCCTTTGCTCCCCAAAAAGCCATTCACAAATGGGCATTGGAACCACCTGTGCGGGGGACGGGACATACACACATACATATGTTTTTTGCAACAATACACCCGCCGCACAACACTCTCTATTCCCTCCTCTTTTGTGCGTGTCTGTCCAGCCATCCTAAATGGGGACCACATCAGCTGCGCTCTTTGGCTTCATCCCCCAATTCTACCCCGAACAGCCGCATGAGGCGGGCCAACAGAGTCTTCCTCCTTATAGCGGCGGCGACTGCTTGCCTGGGCCAGCTGCCGACAGTTCCTCTTCCTTGGTTGGGTCGGAGTCGATGGGCTCTTTCTCCTCTGGGGGCTCAGACCCGCCGGCCTGGATACTGACACACAAGACCAGGGTCTGCAGGAAGCCGTAGAGGCAGGCAAACTGCACGAGGTACTCCTGCACCAGCCACAGGGCCAAGTACATCCCGTAAGCGGTGACTAAGAAGCAGGCAAAGCCGTGGAGCCAGACCTTCAGAGGGCCCCCGAACCCCAGGATATCCAAAACCAGCCGGAAGGCCGGGGACGAGGCACAGAGCAAAGTCACCACGCACAGGTCAAAGAGATGGCGGGCGAAGTTGAAGCAGATCTGCAACTGCTCTGGCGATTCGACGGATGCTTTCGGCGGCGAGAGGTGCTGAGGTATCCTGGCCAATAGGGAGCTCTCTCCAGCAGCGGAACTTTGGCCCCAGCCAATAGCGCCCAAGAGGCGTCGGCCGCTCCACCATCTTGGTTTCAGGGGCGCCGTGCTTTCCTCCGGCTCCCCCTGCAATTCCTCCTCATCCTTTTTCACATCTTTCGCCTTTCCTCGTCGCCAAGGCAGTCCAGGGAGCCATGACTTGGCTCTGCTGAGGAACATGGCGCAGGGAGAGGGTGCACGATAATATAGATATATTATTATAATGTAGATGAATACATGTAAACAAACTAAAGAGCAGGTGTGGGAGCTATACACCCAGAGCAACCAAGTTTACTTGGGACCCGAGGCTCGCGAAGATCAGCTCCCTGCCACGAAGAATGCGGCCTAGCATGGCATTTCCCGCTCCTCCTGCTCGCATCTGCTGCTTCAGATTGCCAAGGCTGGTGGTTCAGTCTTCAAGGAAACCACAATTGTGGGTTATCCATAAATCTTGGCTCTTCCGGGCTTGGAGCTGTCCTAGATGCTGGCTGCCGAGAACACGAATCTGCAGTGTCCAAGCAAATACATATGTTGGAGAACGGTTTGCTCACACAGAGGGAAGTTGAGCTTCCTGCCACATCACACTGATTTTTTCAACACTCCTGGCAAACCAGCCATCTTAGGACATGCAGGTCCGGTTCCCCAAACGGCATGGTGGGTTCAGTTCCCTGTTTCCAAAAGGATGTATTTGTGCCTCCCAAAATAAAATAAAAAATCTCAGCTTCTTATTAGTTCAGGGGCTCCAAAGACTCGCATCATGCCGCCTCAAATCAAAGATGGGATCTTTCACTCCTATGAAACAAAGCAAGAAATTTTCAGTCAGCAAACTGACCGCAGTTAGGACAGGATGGCAATTAAGGAGAGATTTCTGATTTAACCTACTTCTTATCTTGAAAAATGGTGGTAATAATGACCCATGGGCGTGTTGAAAGTGTGAACATGGTTTTAAATGCTGAAAACAGAAGACTAAAAGGCGAATAAACTTTAATTCTCATACCTCATGAAGATTTTCCATCTAGCTGGCAGGAAATGTTTCGGACCCCCAAGTACTGACAAGGCCCTGATATTAACTGTGGGTTATTGTCAACTAAGTTTACTCAGTGAAAATAAGATGAGTAACTTAGAGCCATTCACTTCAATAGGCCTACGATGAGTAAAACTAAGTAAAATGTAACTGAATACCACACTATGTTCCCTGGTAGTTTCTCTAGGGAAATTATCATTTAAAACAAAAAACAAAAAACTGATCACATGATCAGTTCCCAAAACACTGATTCTCACCAATTCTCAATACTGATTTTATCCAATAAGAAAATTATTGTTTCATTGATCAGGTTTGTATCCTCACCCTTCACCACAGGCTACACAAATCACAAAACAAAGCGTTGAATAAAATAATAAAAGAGCAGCTAAAACTTTAAAAGAATGCAACTGAACAGCAAGCAATGAAAAACAGCAACAGCATGGCCAGCACAATGCTCAAGACCTCCCAAAGGCCACAAGAGAGAAGTGTATCTTCAAGGAGTATCAGAACCAGACATACTTCAGAGAGGAGGTCATTCTGAAGATGGGCTTCTACTTCTAAGAAGGCTTTACAGTGGTACCTCTGGATACATACGCTTCAGGTTACAGACTCCACTAATCCAGAAATAGTGCTTCAGATTAAGAACTTTGCTTCAGGATGAGAACAGAAATTGTGCTCTCGTGACGCGGCAGCAGCAGGAGGCCCCATTAGCTAAAGTGGTGCTTCAGGTTAAGAACAGTTTCAGGTTAAGAACGGACCTCCGGAACGAATTAAGTACTTAACTTGAGGTACCACTGTACTTGGTGATGGAACTCTTGAGAAGGACCTCTCCTGTTGACCATAACACACAGGCAGGTTCCGTTATAGAGAGAGGCGTTCCTTCAGATATTTGGGCCCCACATCGTTTAGGGCTTTACACAGACCCCATTCCAAGTGCTGGTTTGGACCTATAAAACCTTAAAACAGAACCACAATGCCTCAAGGACGGCCTCTCTCCATATGAAACAATCCAGACTCTCCTCGTTCATCATCTGAGGCCCTTCTTCATGGGCCTCCTCTGTGAGAGGTCCGGAGGGTGGCAACACGAGAACGGGGCCTTCTCTGCAGCGGCTCCCTGTTTGTGTGATGCTGTCCCCAGGGAGGCTCGCCTGTCACCTTCATTATACAACTGGATTTATCAGTTGCAGCTTCCAAACTGTCTTCAGGAGCAGCACACTGCAATAATCCAACTTGGAGGTGTAACCAGAGCATGGGCAACTGTGGCAAAGCAAGACCAAAATGCAGTCCTTTGACCAAGAGAGCTTTTGCAGGCAAGGAAGTGATTAAGGGCCAGTTTAAAATCAAATTATTATACTGGATTCGACTACTTCAGAATGCAGGTAGGGGGGAACGAATCTTGAAAGCACTGCGTGCGTGTTCCTACATGTAAAAAAGCAGCATGTTGGGAAACCGTTCAAGCTCGTCTTCTCTGTATTTGTGCATCTACCAGGAGGATTCTCTGCTGGGGAAGCACTCAGACCTAATTTCCTGCAGTGGTACGCTCCAAAAAAACCGAAAATCCCTTTACATCACTCGAATCTGCTGCTTGTATACACTGACCCTAATCTCTCTCTGTGTCTCAGAATACAAATGCATTCTATCAGCCACCCCCAATCCCTTGATTGCTTTGGAATTTAATTGCAAAACTCCAAAAAGGGGTTTTATACCTCCAGAATTTTGATTTCCCCTATCTTAGGTTGACCTATCTTAGTTTCTCTCTGCTCCCCCCCCCCCCAATAATCTCTTTTGGATGGCATGAACCCAAAATGTGCAATTAGTTGAAAATAAACAGATGGATATCCACCATCTGTAGCCACAAAACAAGATCTGCATGGCGTAATAGATAAGATATTTTGCAACACCAAGCCGAAACCTGTTTCTATAACCGTCTATGCATTTCTGCTGCTGCTGCAGGGAGAAATATGCCAACAAGGAGCCCTCAAGACGAACAAAAACCTCATTTAAACTCTCAGGAAAGTGACTTCCCCAACCTGGCTGGGGCTGATGGGAGTTGTAGTCCAAAATACCTGGAAGGAACCAATCTGGGGAAGGCTCCCCCTTAGTGCATGAACAAACATGGCGGCCCTCCAGATAGGTATTTTGGACCACAACTCCCATCAGGCCCAGGCAGTGTGGCCCACAGAAAGGGATTATGGGAGCTGGAGTTCAATGGCATCAAGAGTTAAACACATCAGCTACCCCTGAATTACCTGTTGTTGTGGGGGGGCAGGATAGAACATATATACCACTCTAAGTTTCCCATAATCCAACTGCTTGTATGAAACTAGGGGTCAGAGGTGAATTTAGGGGAGCCAGACTGGTTCACCCACACTGGGCACTGATCCGAGAGGGCGCCGCAACAATGACAAAAGAGATTGGGGGGGGAATTTGGGTGTCATACAGAGTGCCGTGGAAATGTTAGAGCCCAAAGTTCGCCACTGCTAGGGGTTCACCAAGAGTGTCCCAGAGCACCTCAGAAGTGCTACCAATGAAAGAGAATGCCTCTGAGCATGTTCAGAGTGCTTTTCTGTTCACCACTGAATAACCACAACTCGTGCTTGAGGCTGAGGCAAAGGGCATGACTTTCACGCACCGCCAGATTTTCTAGCCAATCCATGTCAGATATACAGCAGCTTGCTTTCTTTTTAAAAAATGACTTTGGAAAGCCTTGATTTTTTCCTGTATTCTGCTTATTATAATGGCTGTTGGCTCTGCCTGTTCACCTTTTATCTCAGTTGTCTTATTACACTGATTTTACATATGTTAATGGGGTTGTGGCCCCTCTAGCCCAAGTCAAGAGTTGGAACTACAGTGGTAAAGGTAAAGGGACCCCTGACCATTAGGTCCAGTAGTGGGGCTGACTCTGGGGTTGTGGTGCTCATCTCGCTTTATTGGCCGAGGGAGCCAGCGTACAGCTTCCAGGTCATGTGGCCAGCATGACAAAGCCGCTTCTGACGAACCAAGCAGCGCACGGAAACGCCGTTTACCTTCCCACCGGAGTGGTACCTATTTATCTACTTGCACTTTGACGGGCTTTTGAACTGCTAGGTTGGCAGGAGCAGGGACCGAGAAACGGGAACTCACCCCGTCGCGGGGTTTCGAACCGCCAACCTTCTGATTGGCAAGTCCTAGGCTCTGTGGTTTAATCCACAGTGCCACTCGCATCCCTAACTACAGTGGTACCTCGGGTTAAGTACTTAATTCGTTCCGGAGGTCCGTTCTTAACTTGAAACTGTTCTTAACCTGAAGCACCACTTTAGCTAATGGGGCCTTCTGCTGCTGCCGCGCCACCAGAGCACAATTTCTGTTCTCAACCTGAGGCAAAGTTCTTAACCCAAGGTACCATTTCTGGGTTAGCGGAGTCTGTAACCTGAAGCCTATGTAACCTGAAGCATCTGTAACCCGAGGTACCACTTTACTGAAATGAATGATCGTGGCTAAACGTAGGGCCAACGGTTTCGATGGACCTGCTCCGGATAGGGCTAGCAAGGGACACAACAACCCTTTGCAGAAAATGAGAATGAACGAAACTATCATAAAACCCACAAGCACAAAATACTTCAGGCACCGGGAAAGGCGTAGCTTGACGAATCAAACCTTTTGCATGCATATGCAGAAACAGCCTACCTCAAAACTGCGTCTCTGTGTGTTAATGAAATAGCAAGGCTGCACCTTCTGCTGTGGTGATATTTGTGTGAGACAGGAAGCGAGGATGCGCTTGGGATTCCTCGTGAGCCACTTTCAGATTGGGCTGGGAGCCTGGTCTAGGTGTAATTATGGCGCCATATGTTCTGGTTGGGGGATCCCATTCCGACCAGTGTGGTTTTATTCGGCTTAGAGGGGATTGCGCCTGAGGAACTGTCGGTTATTAAGAGCGGGAGCCTCATGGCGCGGAATATTTTTGGCGTTATGTGTCATTTGCTCTCTGCAGCTCTGGAGTGTGCAGCAAGCATGACTTTTGCGAGACTAATCGGAAAAGGTGCCTCAACCGGAAAAAGGTGCCTCAACGTGTGTACATTTATAGCATAATAGTCTCTTTATAGAAGCATCCTGTATCGAATGCTTTTAAGTTCTTAAAACAATCAATGTGTGTGTGTCTGCAGGGCTGTGCAATAAGGATACTTGGGATTTTATATAAGGCATTTCAAGATATCTCTCACAACACATTTAACTCTGCAATGTTTCAAACCGTGTGTGTGGGGCGTGTGTTGGGGTTTGTCAACCAACATCTGGTCTATTTATAGGCTTCATGAGATTCCCGGCGGAGAGAACTGCCTTCTTAGGCCTTTATTGCAAAAAATAATAATACTCCCCCCTCCCTTCTAAATTAAAGAATCCTTGCAAACCCTCACCTGAATCCTAATCGATGCAGCCACACACACCAAAAAAAAAAAAAAAGCAAATTCCCCCCCCGAGCTGCTCCCTTAACTCAAAGATTCCTCCCTCCCCAGAGAATCTGTACACCCCCCTCCCTAAGCGACTGCACCCAACGATCCTAATTAGGGCCGATCTCCCGATCACCCCCACCCCCAAAATAAACCCCTCCAGGAATATCCACCACCCGCTTGCCGGAGAGACCGCAGCGCTGCAACACGCGCCCCCCCCTTCCACACACACACGCGTTTAGCACGTACCGGGTGAGATCCAGAGAAGCGATGCCTCCGTAGCAACTTTTTCCCTTTCCCCTCCCTACGGATTTCTTTCTCCTTCCCTTCCGATTTCAGCTTTTTATCTTGCAGAGTAGGGCGGTTTGATTTCATTCCTTTCCTCCACCTCCCCTGGAAGGTAGCAATGCTTTTCTTTTTAATATCCCCTACCTTTTTAAAATATATCTATATATATTTGTGTGTGTCCAAACTCCAGCAAAAGAGGGACTTTCCGGAGGATCTTTGGCCCCGCCGAGCAAAGGGAGAGAAGGAAGGGGAGAGACTAGCCCAGCCCTAGATGGAGAAGGAGGGGGAAGGAGACGCGGGGAGAGGGGGGGGGGAGAGAAAGAGAGAAGCCTCTTCCTTGGGATTTTCTGGTAGGACTGGATTCGGGAGAAGCGCCACCCCAAAGGCGGGAGGAGCCTCTAGGGAGGGGTCAACTGGGAAGGAGGGGCTACCTGGGGGGTGGAGGAAGTGGGAGAACTGGAAGGGCGGACTGGGTGTCGGAGGGAGCGGGAGGGGCTTGGAGCTGGCGCATCCCGGACTCCTGGGTTCCCTGCGAGGGCGCGAGGGACATTATGGTTTCATTCATTGCTGTTAGTCAATGCAACAGTATCAGAGGCAGTGTGAAGTGGGGTGTTGAAATTACAGTCTCAGGCAGGGGTCAGCAAACTTTTTCTGCAGGGGGCCCGTCCACTGTCCCTCAGACCTTGTGGTGGGGGGCGGACTATATTTTGAAAAGGGGGAAAAATAATGAACGAATTCCAATGCCCCACAAATAACCCGGAGATGCATTTTAAAGGACACATTCTACTCATGTAAAAACACACTGATTCCTGGACCATCCGCAGGCAGGATTTAGAAGGCAATTGGGCCGGATCCGGCCCCCGGGCCTTAGTTGGCCTATCCATGGTCAGGTATAGGAGGAATCCTACAAAAAAACAAGTTTCAGGTTTCAAAAGGATTACGCCTGTGGTTCCCAACCTTTTTTTTAGCCATGCCCCACCTAAGCATCTCTAAAATTCTGATCCCACCCCTACCCCGTTTGACATATAATTATTATTATTCAGAAATAAGATCCTGTTCACGCGGAGGAAGCCTAAAAGGCCATGGGGCATGTGCTCCATGTTGTGGAACCACAGGATTAGGCTGTAGTAGTAGTAGTAGTAATGCGGTTGGGTTGAGGGGGAGGGGAGCAAGAGCTGAAGGCGCGTAAGTTTTAGGAAGGGGCCGGTGGGAGCCAGGACTCCTGGGTTCTCCTAAGAAAGGGCTGGGTGGGAGCCAGGGTTCTCCTAAGAAAGAGCTAGGACCATGGCAGTAGAAGTCTTTATTATTTCTTAAATTGGTATGCCACCCTTTATCTGTAGATGTCAGGACAGTTCAGATACAAAATTAAAAATACAACAAACAAAACAATAATCCCCACCCCCCCCACCCAAGTAAAGCTTGGATTAGTGACAGTGGTGAAAGTTCCTAAATTAGAGGTGTTGTTGTTGTTTAGTCGTTTAGTCGGGTCCGACTCTTCGTGACCCCATGGACCAGAGTACACCAGGCACTCCTGTCTTCCACTGCCTCCTGCAGTTTGGTCAAACTCATGCTGGTAGCTTCGAGAACACTGTCCAACCATGTCGTCCCCTTCTCCTTGTGCCCTCCATCTTTCCCAACATCAGAGTCTTTTCCAGGGAGTCTTCTCTTCTCATGAGGTGGCCAAAGTATTGGAGCCTCAGCTTCAGGATCTGTCCTTCCAGTGAGCACTCAGGGCTGATTTCCTTCAGAATGGAGAGGTTTGATCTTCTTGCAGTCCATGGGACTCTCAGGAGTCTCCTCCAGCACCAACATTAGAGGTACAGGAACTCAAAGAGTGGCTTGTAAGAGCCATGCGGTCTGAAGCCGCAGCAACCAGCTAAGACATGCTCACCTTTTGAGCTTCCCTGGCAGATTGAAGGTGAACAATAGTCTTGATTACCTTCCTCCCAAGGCAAGTGGGAGTGACCTAGCTTAGCCTGGCAGGACATTTTACTCTATGGTCTTAACCCCTTCATGCATTAATTAGACTAAAGCATTGTTGGCTGTATGAGGCTGGTTATCCACATTGTTTTCTGGTTCCTGCTTGCAGTCTTCCTTTAGGCATCTGTTTGATTACTGTGAGAACACAATGCTAGATGAGGTAAGCCTTTGGCCTGATCCAGCAGACCGTTTCTTATGTCATGAAAAGAGTCCATTCCCCCAGAAAAATAGCAAGGTTAGGAGCCAAAAGTTAGGAGGAGGAGAAGCTGGACTGATTGAGTTACCATGCCAAAAGAGCTTCAGTCTCTTTAAACCTTACAATTTGAGGCACAGATTATGAACCCCTGGCCTTCCAGATGTTGTTGAGCCATTCTGGCTGACAGCGCTGGCCCACCCATTAGGCAAGGTGAGATAACTGCCTCAGGCATCAGGATCCACAGGGGCAGCAGATCCCAATGTAGATCACTATTTCTCCCTTTGTTCACTCATCCCTTCTTCGCTGGTGAGGAAGGGGTGCCACTTTGTGGTTCTCCTCAGGTACCAAAATGTCTTGGGCTGGCCCTGTTGGCTGAGATTTATGGGATCTGGAGGGTTATGGGTTCCCTTGTCCCTGCCATAATTCTTCATATATTAATCACTCAGAGGCTGCAGTTCTAAGCATAGTGGCATTGACTTTTGGGTAAGCGTCGTTTACAATAGCCTATTTATTTTGAAAGAAGTCACTTTGGAACAAATAGCCAGGCACCTATTGAGGATTTACGGCACCCATTATTTTTTTAAAGTCTGCTGGGTTCTGCTAAAACCAGCCAGAAAATATCCATGAACTCTTATCGTACCTTTTAAGTGCCATGTCAGAACTAGTTCATTTCCTCATGCTTCTGGCAAGTGCTGGCTTAATGTCAGCTACTAATCCATTTCTACAGTGTGAGTGTTCTTTATGGTCTATTAATTTTATCAGAAAGGCATGTCAGATTGTTAACTTCCTCAAGGGGGCAGAGAAGCAGGGTATAAATATTTTAAATAAATAAAACGCATGTTTGTGTTTTCGGTAGCCACCTATTGGACGTACATAGCTGAATAAAAGATGACAAATGGGCAAAAAAGGAGGGGAAAGACTCTGTTCTGAGACAGATAAAAGAATTTATTCTTAAAAGCACACCTCTGTAGGAATATCAAAAGAGATCCTTTACCAATTCAGTCTTTTAACCCAGAAGCCCAATGAACAGATACAAGAGCTGCAAAGAATTGTTTTTACAGGATCCCATCTCTCTTCCCTCAGGGATCAGAGATGGTATATTGTCCCCTATAGTTTTAACTGGGGGTGGGATCACAAGGGACGAGTAAGATATTTCAGGGTATTAACGCATGAAGAGCTGTTTTAATAACCCCAGTGGCCTTTTTTCAGGCACTTGTTAGGTCAGCCTAGAAATGAATAGGGGGCCTTGCAGTCACTGTGCATGCTATTTTTCGGGGAGGGCAGGGGCGCGCGATTCCGTTGCTATGGTAACCGCCTACCTTGAGGCCTTTCCCAGCCTAAGCAGAGCTGTGTTACTGTAATTAAGGCAACCCCCTGTAATAATCACCTTTTAACAGCTTTGTCTGCAGGCCTGAACTGGCCATTGGATAGTTCTGGCAAATTCCAGAGGGGGAACTCCCTGGGACTTTTATGCTCAGCAAGCAAATAATATCCCCTTTAAAAATGACACCTGATTTGCAATTCCTATGGGGGTTGTTAAACTGTGCAGGACCACAGCCCAAAGTGGGGTACACCCTCAGGTTCTCACTTGGAGGAGGAAACGGCCGAGTGTGAAAAGCAGTTTGGAAATTATGATATATGTAAACTACTAAAGATGAAGTATAATGAAAATCAGATAAGTGGACTTGAGGAAGCCCACTTAACAATGTTTAGAAAAATAAGGATATGACAAGAATTGTTTGTATTGTCTTTTCTGTTTGTTTTTTGTGTTATAAAATGAATAAAAAATTTTTGGGGGGGGGAAGCAGTTTGGGGGATTCAATGTTCGGTGAATGTACTTGTTTCTGTGGGTCTGCTCCGTAATGGTTTGGAAAGGGGCAGATTCGTCTTTTGATTAAGTCAGTAATAGGGGAATGGAGAAAAGCAGCGAAATGCTAACTTCAAGCAACACACTATGAGGTTGGAAGGAAAACCCATCTGGTATACTCTCCCTTTCCTTTTGATGCTGTTAGTGGAATTTTGCAGCAGCTTTTAGAAACTGAAGGAATTAAGTAGACGCGTTTAAGCCAATGACATGAGAATCTAACCAATTCCTTACCTTGCAGCGTTTAAATTTTTTTAGTATGTTTATTTAGGATGTGAAGCCTTACACGTATCAAATCAAAATTAAGCCATGACTTTATGATTGCACCTACTGTCCCCACTTTTTTATGCTGAAAAAGTCCCTCTTGGCTTATACTCGAGTGAGGGTCCTTTCAGGCTGCTCCTTCCTCCTCCTCCGCTGTCGGCGGAGGAACGAGCAGCCCGGAAGCAGCCCTTTGGGGCTGCTTGTTCTTCCTCTAGGCAGCGGGACGGGAGCAGAAGCCCTTTCTGCTGTGCGCACATGCGCACATACACATGCACTCCAGCCCACCAGGTGGTTTGGTGAACTGGCTTATACTCGAGTCAACAAGTTTTCCCAGTTTTTTGTGGTAAAACTAGGTGCCTCGGCTTATATTTGGGTCGGCTTATACTCGAGTATATACAGTATTTAAGCACTAATAAGCTGGTTGACACTGGCAACCAGTAACTGACATTTCAATCTAGGTGGGGTGGGGGGCTAGAGGGCAAGCTCTTCATCCCTTCTGTGCCCAGCTTAGCTTTCGGGAGCTTACAATGTAAGGTCGATCTAGTGTCAATTAAGTTCGCTTTCAGCACACAGGCCTTCCAGCACAGAGTATATTAAGCAACCGATTAGACAAAACCTAGTATTTTGTCCTGCTTCATTTGCTGTACTTTTCCGTGTGTAAAACAAGGGATTGTAATTTAAAAAGTATGTTTAACTCTGAGCTAATCTCCACCCCAAAAGCTAAACAACAATCCCCCCCCCAAAATTTTCTTAATTTGGAGTCCCCCAAAATAGGGACGTGTTATACACGGAAAAATATTGTATATTTATTTTTAAAATTATTCTGTGAGCTGTCTTGTGAACTTTAAGAATTCTTTCAAATAATGTCTCACACATTCAATGTGCATGTGTATCTTTCCAAGAAAACCTTTCTCTCTCTCTCTCTCTCACACACACACACCTACCGAGAGAGAGGGAATGCCCCCCATACAAGAGATACCCCTATCCTAAAGAATGAAGCCACACCAGCAAAAGGTTACTCACAAGACTAGTT